AAATCATCAACTTTAATGCGAGCACTTCAGTTTGCCTTCTATTAACACTCATTGAGATAATCAGTCCGTTTCACTGTTTTAGGACATACAGTAATCTTGGCAAACTTCAATTTTGATAAAGTCAACTTTGCTGAACACACACTGGAGATGTCTCTGCTGAAGCTCAACCCTTTGATCTCATCGGGAATTCGGGGTTATTCAATAGTGTGAAGTCAGAAACCCAGCACGGAAATAGCCAATCGATGTCACGCTTATATTAAGTCATTCCTAACGAAGAGTACTTGTTTGACAACCATCAAGAAAAAGTGAGCATACCGTCCTAAACTCCGATTTCATTTGTAAAAAAATGAGACGCTATGCGTCAGAATTATAGACGTTTAGGTTAATAGCAGCACCTGAGTTGAGAAAAATTTCCTCAATTAAGTACGATGAGCACAGGGATTTCTTACTGAACACGGCCTTACGTTACAAAAATTTTGCATAATTTAGGAACAACTTGAGGTCGTAGATTATCACATTGTTTGTCTGGTAAAACTGAATGAAATTCGAGCGAAACAGTGATGGTGGGAAATAGGGGCATTTTAATCAAAATAGAACTTAACATACAAGAGTACTAAGAGAAGACAAGCACTAGTACCATATGAAACTGATCGACAGGTTCGTCTTCAGTTTGAAAGGCTTCTTCTGTCATGTAGCCTGATTTTGACAAGTCAAAGACAGAGAGCTTCCCAGTTGATAGGTCTTCCTGGCCTGACCCTAGAGATTCCGGAAAAAACAGTATTTTCAGACATTCCAACGTCGTTTAGGACTTACGTTGGTAAAGGCTTCAGCCATAGCTCAACAAGAATCGCATAATAGAACACAAACGTCGGACTGATGTAGCAGAAACTGAGGCATTGATACCAGGACACACTCCCTGGACCAGATATTGTCCACTCTACTATAGTGAAACAAGCAGCCTCAGTCTTCACAGCATTTACTAGTTTACTATTCTCAGGTTCACTTAGCCAAGGCAAGGCCACATTTAACCTAGCTAATATCACACAATGTCACTGACCTCCTTTATAGGAGTCTCATACAACGGAGATGCACATAGACCATTAGATGACTGGATTATCTCCACATCCATCATGTGAGTGTCTATAGTTTGAACCAATCCAAGCTGTTTATGAACCAGTCGATATTTCGAAAATACAGCTGGTCTCTCGGTCGTGATGTGGTCCCTATATTACTATTTGCTCAGTAATTTTGGTTAAGATTTATGGAGCTCGGGGTGCTCATCTAGTAACGATTTGAAGTACGGATCGATAATACGTTTGACTCGGACTGAGCATAACTTATAACCCGAAAATGGAGTGGCACTAATTTTCTATTTAGTGTCAATGTTAACTAACCCTGTTTTCTTAGGTCAACGATCAGGGCATGGTGTGTTAGCAGGTCTATGACAACGATTGGCACTGACGTATCTGCAACAAAAAGATCTAATAGATGATTTTGCTTAAACTGACGTTGAGATAAACGTGCCACTTACCGTAAGTGAAACGCAATTTACCGTTTGCCGCCTGTAACTTGAAACGCGGTCTTGCAGAGTAAGAGCATATCATATGTTCCCGCCATTATTCTTCACGACCAATCATATCCGTGCGCAAATGATGGAATACGCGGCATTTTTGGCATAACCGTAAGACAATATAGATCTTGTAGCTTGAATTTCCTTCTTTTCAAGGCATTTAAATTGCCTATTGTAGTTCATGTGAGCTCGACTAAACTTTACGTAACTTCCACCATGTGTGATGTCATGAGTAGTTTTTGTGGATTTCCATTCCCTAAATGTCAGCGAATAAATTCTTCGTTTCAAAAGTTGGCTTTTCATAAGTTCATGTCATGTTTATGCCGCGGATATTGCCGGTTGCCGAAAAAGCTACGATAATTTATGTCGGGATGTTTTCTTGCCCACTTCTCACAACTGCCATCTTTGTTTACGTTCTTTCCAGTTCTTTAGAGGTATCAGTATTGTCAACAAACCTTCCAATAACCACCACTTGGTGTACTATTATATAATGAGTGTAACCTGAGTTATGTGCGTAAAGTTGGGTGGCTTAGCTGCAATGTATGTTGATGGTTAACTGCAAAGAGGTTTTTCCATTATTTCCTAATCTTCTTAATAACCACAGATATGCGATAAACTACTATATAAGTTGTTATTTCTGCGTTAGTCTTTGCTTGACAATGTGCGGGTTGCTGACCGCATGAACAAGTACAACCGTTCAGGAAATCCAGACGGTTAAACCTTTCCTTGTATCTATCGTAATACATCCAGATACCATATTATAAACCAAGATGACTAAAGTGAAGACAGTTTTCGTTGTCAATGTGAGTAAACTTGTAGAATTATGGTCTACTATGATATTAGTACTGCTCTAACAATAGACCTAATCCTAAATTTGTAGATTTGTCGTGATATAACTGCCTAATCTATAAGATCTTACGTGGAAGTCACACCATCGACTACACCAACTCACTGTATCGCATCAATTACCAATACATGATGTAGGACAAGGTTAGGCTGGAGAAAGAACAATATATTTAATATGAATAGAAGATATAAGGTAACATTCAGATGGAGACCACGCCTGCATGGTCGAGCCATGCCATCCGATCAACTCCAATCCATTCAATTCATTGTTCGCGCCTTCTCCATTCTTAGGTATTTCCCCGAGTTAAATATTGAATATCTATTTTCTGAGTAGTCTCGTGTTAACAGCTTTGTGGATTGTGTGGTTATTGTCCAATGCCACTACAAACTGATTACTGACGTACTGATATATGAAGTTATTGGTTGCAATCGCTTTTCACACTTTTCAGTTTGTATGATTATATTCGTTTGTACATCTTCCATGTACGACATGCTGACAAACATAAAAGCAGATAAGAACGCATATAAGGGTGAAATCTAAGAATTTCGTGATCTATTACGAACATTTTTACTACTTCCTCCAAGGTTTATGACTTAATTGCATTTTTTTAATCGTTTTTTTTTTCGATTGCACAATTCCATAGTCAGGCAGTTTATAGAGCTCCTATAATTTAGGCTGAGTATTAGCATGGTTTACCGATACGGAAATTATGAACTATTTAAAGTGGGTCGTCGTAAGGGTCATAGAACAATAACACATATGACCATTCGGTATAATTATATTGTAGTGGGTGGCCCTATGTCAAGCCCACATAGGTTGTTTTAGTTCCCGGACAGACCTATCTATCCATTCTTCTTAAATCACATTTTGACCTTGTCGCTTATTGGCTTATAGACCTTAAATGTTTTTATGTGAGTGAATCTGTAATTTATTTTTATGTGACTATAAATATCAATTTACTCTTGGTTAAATCGAGTTGGCTCGCCTGACGTCCCCACTGCGCGTCATTTTGCTTTGTTTCGCTCTGTGCACTTCGAATCCCCCTCTTCGTCTCTCTGGTTGTCTGTCCTGAACAAAGATTGTGCAAAATACGCGTATTCAAAACTTTATTCTCGTATTCGACTTATCATAATTCCGTTGTTCACTAACGTGAGTCAAGTCGATAATTATATACGAAGATTGGTGACATGTATATTTCGACAGCAATCATTCAACGACGATCATTCATCCAATCTAATTGGAGTCAGATACAAGGTCCAAAAAATATCACGTGTCTTGTCTTATCATTTGGCTATGAATTTAGACTGTGGCTGGGCCAAGTATATTAAGCTGAGAATCTTCAAGATTGGTTAACGATTTGGTTTAATGTGCACACAAAATAGAATTAATTGAAAACAATATATGTCTTCAATACTCTTAAAACAGTTTAAGAAATACGAAACCTACATAAAAGTCACTGTGGTAAACTTCTTTAATCTATCACTAATTGAATCAACATAACACACGTTAACTTCAATCATGTGGCCTACTGTAGCCGAATATATAACATCAAAAACTAGTAAATGGTGTATCTTAGTGGGACAAGTTGTATACTTTATTGAAAATAACTCTTTAACATCTCTTTTTTTACCAGTGGATGAACAAGAAAACAGACTATGTGCCACAAGATGTTTACATGACAAAATGTGGTATTTCACTGGCTGAAATTATGGGTCAGTTGAAGCTAGATCACTATGGAAAACCTGGAAGCACCGGACGGCCGTTTCGTCCTAGTATGTGACTCCTCAGTAGTGCGCATCCACGATCCCGCACCCCGAGGGATTCGAACCCAGGACCTATCAGTCTCGCGCCAGGCGCTTAAGCAATTAGACTGTAGGGCCAGTGAAATGTCACTGAGCCCTAGCCAAATCATCCGGCAGTTGGATCACTGAATGTCGAACAGTACCTTGATACGTCAATGGGGGTAGTCCACGTAAGGTGCTGACCACGAGGTGTGACTTCGACGTTAGTTGGTTCGTCACACCATTCACGCCTAACTCGAGTGGGCCTCCAATCATTTCGACATAGATCATCAACGTTGGTGATCTACAAGACCACTGAACTGGCATCCGACGGTGTCAATGTCTAACTTCGACCGATCCACCACCACCGTTACCAGCGGAGTTCAACCAGGTCTGTTGTGAGATATCAACTCACTGAAGACAATGGTGGCATTGATCACCACCCAGTGATCAATCAATTGTGATTACATTTCAGTCCTACAGGAGGTTAGTCACGGCTCGGAAAGCTCAGTGGTAACGTCTCTGACTGTGAAGCTGGGTGACACGAGATCGAATCCGCCAGGGAGCACCGGTTCCCTCAAGATTACAGGCACACCTTGTTGACGAGTGCCAAGTAGCACGAAACCCGGGTCCAGGGTTTCCTATTGACTACCTCCAACCACCATCTAAATTCAGAGTTGGATCAGCAACTGAAACGCTCGTCTCGAGCACCCGGTGGGAAATTTCGAGAGAAGGAAGATCCTATAAAAATACTTGCTGTTAGGATTAAAGCGAGCCAACTGGTACACTATTTTTCGTACTGATGACTGGTGATTGTACGCGCAACATTTTGCCAATTGCGGTACGTCAACATCGTATTTTGATTTGCTAGATATACAACCATTGCCATTTTTCTGGGGAACAGAAAACTGCAGCTGAGATCTGCATGTTGAGGCAAACTAAGTGAAGTATAAGTTGTGATAAAATAAAGGTTAATACAACTTTCCAGATCATTCCATGAAATTCGACGACCGTATATGAATGGTCCATTTTCTCAAACTATAATTGTTTAGTAATAGTTGTTTTTCAAAATCTTGAAATCGACGGAAGACCATTGTTGGCAGACATAGCTTGTTTCTGTATGTTAACATACATAACACAATTGTGTTATGTAAAATGGTACCGTCGCCAATACGCTAAACGGTCTTTTGAAACTACTTTTTAGGGTGTGTACATGTTCCATGTGTTTCAAAGAGATTTGAAATATATTGACTTGGCTGGCTAAATTCGATTTTAAGATAAATATGGGAATTATTCGTGGTTGGTTGGGGAGAACTTACTATCCAAATTATGGTGTTAGTCGAAACGAGTAATAAATGAACATTAAAAAAAGCTTAACAACACAATATCATGCGTCCTGACAGCTTGTTTTGCATTTGTGGTAATAGCTGGCTGCAAAATGGGTGGGACAATTCTGATCTATGTTACTACTTCGGAGTTAATTAACTCCGAACGTTTATCCTCGTCTGTTGACCATCATCACAAACGGAGTAGTTCTCATTCTTTTGCAGCGCAAATAATTGACCAGAATTACTCTGAAAGTTAGGTTCCGCTGGATTTCGACGAAGAAGGCTATTTTTCTGACCATGGTCCAGTCGATGAAATTTGGTTGCCTAGTCGGTGTAGGGTTTTTTGTTACAAATGTATAACAGTCGAGACTATATCACTTTACAGTAGAGCGAGAAGCCGAAAAGTGGAGAAACAGATGCCAAAACCATATTAACAGAAATGAAAAGGATTAAACATAAGAAGAAATATTAAGGGGATGGATGACGTAGAGTAATTAAGAGTATATAGTAACACTTCAAAGACAGGTGTCATGTTACTGTTGCAAGTAGTCTGTATGATCCGACCAACATTTGACCTTTGAGCAGTAACCGAACCTTGAAATTATACTGACTAGGTTCATGACTTATTTCTTTAGGATTCTAAAATATCAGAACACAGAATGTAGCAATTTTATTACTTTATTTTATTTAAACACATAGGTACAAGAAGACACCAAATAGGTATGCGCCACATAAATCATTCAATTTTTTTTGAGGGTTAGGATACTGCCTGGTGCTCAAACCAAAGCAAATGGTTTCCTTAGGAGGCCACACCTCGAGCTTTTGACCTAGAGGTCTGATCCACAAGGTAGTGGAGCAACGTCAGGAGATGCATTCCCATGGTAGGCGGTGACCAACGATTGGTTCATACGGCATCTGTCCCCTTAGGGTCCTGGTGCCCATGTGTATCACTGGTTTGGGATCAGGGTTTTCCAACATCCCTACGTGGATCCTCCATATCCACCAACCCGGTTAAAGCGCCGGAAATTCGCTTTTTGTCCTCTCAATTTCTTAAACAACAGTAATGCCACAATAAGGCGGTGAATAGGACTTCCCTGGCAGTGGTTGTATGTACGTGGCCATGTGAGAGCATTTCGAGAGGCGGAGTTCACTCTCGGCCGTATATGGGCATTTGGGAGCATGTAGCAATTTAGACAGTAGTTATCACATGGTGCCGACTATATGGAATTCGAGGTAGTTAGGACGTTTACCAATAAGTGGGGAAGAGCCCTGAGGCTATAGGCTTACTATCTGATTGACTTCGACAATAGTATTTAGTTTCACAAGTAGTGGAGTTTAATCCAATGAAAAGTGTGGGGAGGCAGAAACACAATGTGGCGGAAAGAGAAGGGATTCGTTTCTAACAAATTAAATAGGCTTTTTACAAGTGTGCTGCCAAATTGGTTAGATCTGATTGAGGCCGATGCTTAAAGAAAATTAAGGTTTATTGACATGTTCTAGGAATTACTTGTTACATCTAGAAGGTAATCTCGTAACCTTGATTTGTTTTTCAAGACCAGTCAGTTAGTTCGTCACCAACTTTCAGACTATTTATTTAGAACAAATTAATGTTCCTAAGAAACTACCCTTAAACATGTCACCACAAAGTCCTTTTATAGAGACACTAGCAATCGGTTTTGAATGTGGTAAACAAACAAATATTTGATTGAAAACTGTTATATGGTCTTCACTAATAAGGAACCATCAATTTACGTGCACTAAATTAATTGCGTTGACTTTTGGGTGACAAGGAAGCTCTAACTTATCATATAGACACAAACTTGGTTGCGCTTAGATAAACGGAAAATCGCATGTCTAGATGATATAGGTATAAAAAGCAACAGAAAGTAGATTCAATCAATTAAGTGGAAATGTGGGGATTAGCATTAGTGGTTCTAATTTCATTGTTTAAACTAGGCTTATGATTTCGGAACTAAGTCCGCAATGTAACTGATAATCCACAAAATTGCGAGTTTATTTATTCATTGTTAGCGCCAGGTTTCATGAACAAAACACCGATATATGGCTTTAATAATATTCCTTTATCTAGAAGCTCCGCATGACTTTCAACTAAGGGGTCTTGTGGTAGTATTTTACCTCGAAAGCTTTGCTAAAAGTACGTAAATCTTCCTAAATCCTCTGATTCGAAAGCTTGATCGTGTTAGAGTTTGTAACAAAATGTTGGTTGAGTCAGTAACTTAAGGTATCTGTCCCATATTTTCACTTAACTCCATTATATATACACACCTTCCCCATCTACCTTTTGAGACCTATCTTCTACTTTCGCAGGTTACAGTCCTGCTTAATGAAGATGGTGACAGAATGTAGCCTTTGGAATCTTTTGAGTAACAATGCAAGGATGTTTAGGGTATGTTCCCTTATCAATGTAATACTTAAATTCAGAGCTGGTCTTCATCAACATCTAGACTGATTATAGGCAGCAAAACTATTGTGCACGCTAACTACACTTCCTGTCGAGCATGAACCTCGGTTAGTTGATAGCTAACAAAGTCTTGGGACATATTCGAAAACTTTTCTCTGTTCTTGCCAACTTGCTTCGCTTGGGAATTATATATGTCTGTCAACCAAGGGGTATGTTGCACACCCGTCCTATCTGTGTTACTCTATGTTTATGAAACATAGTCTGTGAAAGTAGAAGATATATATAGGCTGCAAGTTTCTCACCATACGTTTCTTCGAAGCATTGGCTGCGTATCGTAGAACAACCGAGTGAGCTGTCATGAGGTTAGACGTACCATACAATATGGTTAATTGTTTGATAAGGTTGTAAGTCTTCATTGGCTGTGAGGTGTATTATATGTCCCCAACCATCATCATATTCAAGGCCCTTAGGCATTTCGGCCTCTAAATAGATTGCAAGAAAGCTGGCGGCAGTCAAATTAGGACATAACATTAGTCCATGGGGTCATTGATTGAGAGCTTCCCTGGTTGAGACATCAGTTGACGTGGCTAAAATTTGGTCGTATCGGTACAAATCTATTCATTCTTTATCTTGTCGATTTTAAATCTCAACACTTTGAACCTTATGTTCCTCTGTTTCATCCTTTTTCGGAACTCATGTTTGATTGTCTTCACAATCATTGACATTACTATTACCTTGATTCACCTCCCATGTATTTTGCTGGTTTCGTTCCTCTGTGATAATGTGGTGTGTCAAAGTAGGCTGATGCATATTTGTGCCAAGTCTTGACTGGTTTATAGTGCTATCGTCCATTTATGTAGTTGATAGATGACTTTCTACTGCGATCCTATTAGTAAATGCAAATTCTACTTCCAAGCTCACGCATAAACCCCACATTTACAGGAGCGTAAAATGACCCTATTAAATCACCAAAAAATCCCCTTGGCAAGTTTTGGATGTTTGCTTCATTGATCAAGTGCGTTCAAGTGAAGTTAAGGAGTAACACTTCAGATTTTTGGCTAGAGAGACGTGTCTTCCATTTGTACGTGGGATCCGATCACTGAGGACTTTAGTATATCGTCTGAACTACGATTTCCATCGCAGAGTATGAAGTAAAGGTGGTAATTCAGTCTGTATAGTATTGAGGACACACACACAGTTGCCAATAACTGCAACAATACACTGTTTAACATAGAAGTATGCTAAAATAAAACCAAGTGTTTACATCAGAATGACTCTGGTATGTGAAGTTATTAAATAATATGCTAAATCGTATTAAAAAGTGCAGTTTTCCCAGTAGGGATTTGGGAGAGTTGTTATTTTGGGCCGGACTGATGAAGTTGTGTTCATTTTTCGTTCTTCCTTTTAGCCTTAAATAGCGTTGCTTCATATTTCTCATTCTTCGACTACATTGATTCTTTAGACTACCTCTTATTTTTCATCATTCCCACCACTCTTGGTCTTATTAATTTAAATTTTACTTTTACACCTGTCGAGTTCTTGGTATTTTGTATTTTGCAACCTGGGGTGTGACTAATCTGTAGTATATCCTGTTTTTCTGCCTGTCTACTGAAGTGTTAGAAATTCAAGTCAAAATGTTTGTATTGACAGTAAGAATTTTGGCTGTTAATATCAGGACTAATAATTAATCTGTCATACATTGTTGTATCATTTTATATCGTAAAATTACAGAAGTTTCTTTTGTTGTTCTTTCGAAGTCTGATTAAAAAACTACATTTTTCAGCTTTATCCAATGGAAGCTGACAAAGAGCCGTCGATCAACATAGACAGTTCAGAAATAGTTGTCCTTAGTTCAGATGATGAAAATGATTCACAGAATTCTCATGACAATATTTCAAATGAAAAACTTTCAAGCAGTGTTATATCTGTCGAAGATGATGATGATAATAATACTAATAATGACGAGTCTGGCGAAAGCGATTGTGAGATCTTAAATGTTGAAGAGTTGCAAGGTGAAGAGAAGTGGCGTGATATTCATGGTATGTCTATGAAACGCTAATATTTAATTTGTGACATCCAATCACTAATCATTGAAGTGGTTTTTTAATATAAAGTTTAGTGAGGATTGGTTTAAATTTCTCCTATGCTCTTTATCACTAACAGTAGTATACTTCGTTCAGTCACCTCGTATAAATTATCTGGAGTATGTAATGGCATTCGGAGAGTAATCAGATTATTTTGCAAACCATAAATATTACAAACGTAGGAAAGTATATAAACTCAAATCACCACAATTCTCCAGAGCTTAAAAAGAGGATCGACAAGGTTTAAAAAAATTAAAGAAAAATGAAGAATAAATAAATCGAGAGGGGAATGTAATGAACTTGTAATTAATTTTTCATGATCATAACAACAAAAACTATCGTCTCATATATTAACTTTCTCACTGTAATAATGTTATAGTTACTTGAGTTGACACCATTTCCTTAATTTTCTCCTTCTGAATAATCAAGCCCCATTCGACCTACTTCAGTTTGGTCAGCCGTACAGTATCACTAGTTCAAGAGCCGAACAAAGATACATGTTACTTGATAATTGATCTTCACTTGTAACAACAGAATAGCTTTAAATGATCTTCCTCACGTAAGGTCCTGTTCTTTTTCCTACGCTCGTAACTTCATTTGGAACTCTACCCTTAAACGTACAAAAATTCTTACTGAGAACTTCGAATTTTACAGAAATGTTTTATCATAAGATGTTATGTGGAAAATTTGTTGAAATGAGAGTCGCTAAACTGCCGTTATTTTTCTGTTTTGGATATGTAACCTGTATGTCGTACAGCGTAGAGGCTTCACAAGAACCCAAGCAGAACAGATGGTTCTGCGGTTAGTATTAGTTTTTGGTGACAATTAAATGTGCACCAATTAGTATTCGTAGACAGCTTGTTTAAAACATGTAGTAGGCAATTTATTTTCCTCGTTGATCATTCCTATTATACTTAATTCTATGATTAATTTTTGGTAATAATCGTACGAAAAAGACAAATTAATAGTAGAAATTGCCATTTCAATTACGTTTCGGGACATAAATCACTTATTTTTTGTCCAAACATTATGGGTTTTTTTTCACCTTCAATATGAATTTATGCGATAAAATTTTATGTTATCAAATGAATTCATTGTCATTTGATGTTTGGTTGGCGTAATGTGAACAGGTGGTTTGAATTAGTTACTTACCTCTGTTTTCGGTCTCTAATTCATTGATTAATCTAAATTTTACTAAAAGGAGTTAGCATTCCGATTATTGATTTGTCATGTCAAACCAATTTATTGTTACCAGTATATATATTTTGTGTATATATATCGATATCGCCACTATCTTTTTTGATAATGCATGTTATTATCTAAAACCGCAGAGCTTAGGATAGGTTTAACGGGAAGGTGACTTATGACACCATAAATATTTCCTTATATGGAGTATGGGCCTGGGGATATCTATCAATGCAATTAGAAGTATCAACACATCACTTTTGTTTGGTTATCAATATTCTCCTCAGATAAAGTGATTTTTTTTCTTGGTGTTGTATTCGGGTCTTTGGAAACACTAGATTCCTGTGTATGATGGGTCCTACGTAGAATGAAACGACATAAATCAAAGTTCTAGCAATCCTACTTCATCTGTTACTTACACTGCATACTTGCGTTCAGAAACGACTGATTTTGAGAAGTCTTAATATCCTTTGCTGAATGTTAAAGTGTTGTTTTACGGTCAACTCTCACTTTTCTGTCTTCACACTAATCCCATTACTGTACGTGTGTAACAAAATAACCATTCAAGTAACAAACTAGATAACTAATGTTATAAATAGAATTCAAATGTATAGCCAAAATTTACACTAATATATTTTCGTGTATTAGCTAATTCAGGATTAACTGTATCACATAACACTTTAAGAACATTTATGTATCATATGAAAGAGCTTGATTGTTTTAGCTGCTCGGATAGGTGGAATCTATTATTTTAGATCCGTTTATCACATGTCTACGTTTTTTGTTTTAATCTCACATTTTTACTTCCTTATTCTTTCTCTGCAGTAACTTTAACCAAACTGCCGTTTCAACTACGTATACTTTTAGTTTAGTGTTTTTATTGGAATAGGTTTTGTCTATGATTATCATGTTCAGTATTTCTGAAGTAGATTCATCATAATGTTCTATCTAAATTTCTCATTTTCTCTTATTGAATGTAGTGTAAGTACTAATTGTTCCTATTATCTAAATCGCATCAGGTCCTTTCAAGCGGCTGAATAGGCTCATACAAGCTGGCTTTAATGATCCACGGCTATTGTTGGTTCGTGTTTTTGGGATGGATGAAAACTCTTTACCATCTGATCCTAACCAATTATTAAGTTTATTATTGACACTTTTGGCCGAACCTGCTCCACGACGTAGACTGCGCCGTATAAATAGTTTAGAAAAAGTTCTGTCACTTCTGTCTACTTGTACATCAATCCTCGTAATCACTGGTGCTGGGATTTCAGTGTCATGTGGAATTCCTGATTTTCGTTCTCGTGATGGTATTTATGCTCGCTTATCTCGGGATTATCCAGATCTATCAAGTCCACAGGCAATGTTTGACATGTCATATTTCAAACGAAATCCTATTCCTTTCTTTAAATTCGCCAAGGTATGGTTTATTTTTCTAGAAATCCTACTTCACGTAACATTGATAATTAGTGTGATAAAAATCTACTGATTAAAATTGACATAGATATTGAAATGCTGTAATACTCTACCTTCATAATAAGGGTCATTTTACGAATATGCATTAATTTATTTAAATGGATTATAATTGTTAAAGTGATAGCATTTAAACAATGTAATTCAATTATCGCTTGTATCTTTCAATCAAAGTTAACCAAATGTTACGAATTTTGTTTACTTTGGTGGACTACTAAAATTTAATGAATGAATATCTTCAGATAGTTTTGCGATATTTGTCATTTCTTTTAAATAACCTAAATATTTTTAAAGACATTTTGTCTTTCATGAGGTTTTTTGGTGAGACTATAATTTATAGACGATCTTCGAGCGATGCTGAAGTGACTATGAGAAAATTCAGCCACTTGCTAGCGTCAGAAGAGGGTTATGCATTAATGTTAGGAAATAAGATTAGTATTCAGAGTAAGAAAACAGAGTTAGTAATTAGGGTTGGGGTTTTCATCACAAACTGACATAAGCTATGATGGCAAAATGCTATTTAATCATATAAATGATTGAATTTTGCTCAAAAATCCTAGACTTGCTATCTTTAATCTCATTGAGTCGTCCGTGGATAATGGTTTCGCTGGTTAGCTCTCATAGCGTTGAGAAAAGTAGATAAATTAGCATTAAATTTTGTCGAATTTTACAATCATTTCTTTTCCACTGCGTCACAAATCGTCCATTTAAATCTCCAACATCTATTAAAGATAAGAAAATGTGCATTATTCGAAGCCTTTTGACTAAATATACTTGCTTGACTTTTTTTCAAGCTGTCAACTAATAACAAGTACAGAACGTTTCCAAATAATATCGACTATTAGAAGTCCTGATGATTTGTAATTCATTCCTGTCATATCAAGTGGGATATGTACACCATGTTGTTTTACGTTTGTTTAATTTGTTGTGTTATTTTCACCATATATCATTATGAAATAGAACAACTTACGTTTTATGAATGATATGTTTATTTGATTAACTGATCTGATATGTTGATTAGTTTGGACAAAATAGAAGAGTGATTAATACAATTTAAAGCAAATAAATATTATGTTGCCGTTATCACAGTCTAAATAAAACAGAAAATTGCACTTCTGAAACTCAAATACATTGACGATATCGTTGTACCTTGAGACACAGAACGAAAGACAATTATTCAATATTTTGGGACAGTTACTTTTAAGAAAGAATGTAAACTGACATCTTGAAAATTAAGCTTGTTCATGTAGGGATTTAGTTCATTGGTTTGTAATAGTTAAGAGATTTGTGACTTGCCATTTTTATGGTACACGATTGTTGCAAATATTACAGTACTAGACAATTTTTTGCTACATCATGTGTGATGCTTACATAAAAGAATGGTTATGTTGATTATGTTCATTTTATTTCTTTATCTTTACCGTTGAAAAACTTTAGGAGCTCTTCCCTGGTCAGTTTTCACCCTCGATTACTCACCGGATGATTGCCTTATTGGAGTCCAAAGACAAATTATTGCGTAACTACACACAGAATATCGATACTTTGGAACAGGCTGCTGGAATTACTCGACTTATTCAGTGTCATGGTGTGTAAGGGATTAATTGTTAGGTTTCATGTTTACCATGATATTTCTACTGTGTAATATTTCTTTGTCTTCATTTATATGTTTAAACACAACGCGGTAAACGGTCTCGAACAACTTGTTAGACTTTCTGGTCTTCATTACTTTCATGAAGTTTGGACATAGTATTAAAAGAAACGTGGGACAATTTTGTCTGTGAACTTATTACGAAACCAGCCGCTTTTGCAGTATAAGTATTAATTATCGAAGTGAGAGTAGTATTGAACTTTTTGGAGATTCTAGGTGAGTTTTCGTAAGTAATAATTATTAAAAGAAAGAGTTGGTTGAATCAAAGAGAAGCGGAGTACAGGGAAGCTGAGTCATTCTAACCAATTTCATGGAAAATCTGTCTCAAAAAAATCAATACTAGAATTTTTCTTATTCTCACCGCTGGGTTGAACACTCGATACTTATATTTTAGTTTACTGCTTTCAACTATAGCTTTATTCCATCGAGAAATTTTTGATGGAGATCAATGGTACAGCTAACATTTACCTAACTAGTTTACTGCATTGATCTATACTTGGCGACTTTTAATGCTTAACTCGTAATTTAAAAAATAGTTGATCCTAAAAATATCGTATTAAATAATAATCTCAATGTATTTGTTTGGAATTCATTTCAAACAGTTGAACTTATGAAAGCAAATATCTAAAATTAATTTTTCGAAAAATTCAAAGGTGATTAACCTGAGAAAGATGATATCAACCTGTCAGTTCGAAGTAGCTATAGTAAAGTCGGTTGAAGTGTAAGCCTAGACCATAAACATCCAACTTGATCATCTCTAGAACTTAAAGAATTACTATACAATTAGTCAATATATACAGAGAGAATCAATCTGGAAAGGTAGAGGGTTTACGATAAATCATTTGCTACACTTAATTTACATGTCTGTGTTTATTTCATAGTTGTCAATCCAAGGTCATTGGGACTAAGTTTACCTGCCAATATAAAGTTTTATCTTTCTCGGCCGATGAAGATCAATATAAGCTTTTATATATATCAGGTGCCATTGTGGTTGTTGTACTATTTTATATTTTTTTCCTGTCATTTAACATGTTTAAAAATAAGCAATCAGCCCGAATTTTTTAATTCGTCGAATGCAATAATCAGCCGACAGACTGACAGCTTATTCAAGTCTATTGTATTAATTCTGTTAAATTGTTCGTAAAATCAGTTGCGACGAAACTATCTGGGTCAGCATTCTGCTCAGTGTTTGAGTTACTATCAAAATCTCGTCAAACTGATCTTCAAAGTCTATTATTCCTAAGGGTTTGGGTTTTCCTATTGCTGATATTCATAACTAAATTTTGACCAATCACTTTCGGGATATATGCAATCTGAGTGGGTACCTTGATCTTCAACATATTCTTCACACTATCTTAGCTTGTAATTCTGAGGTTTTTCATACACATAGTTCCTTTTATCATTTTGAAAAGAGCAAGAACAAAGATTCTAGCAGAATAGCATGAATTCATTTTATTTCGTAGGTTCTCGACAGCTGCTTACAACCTGTGATATTTAAAAATCATAATTACATAATGGGTTTAAATTGCTAACTGAATATTGTAAATATATACCTAATGTGAAAGAATATTCTACAACATTAATTGTGACAACAGTTCAAAAGTGGGTTAGGAACAATTGATTACATAATGAATAAACATTGATAGGAATATAGTGAATAGAGTTCAGTTGAATGATTATTAATTTGAAAGATAGTTGAATAAAACCAGTGATGTAATAAGTGCAAAAGAAAAAAAGAAAAAAAATTTTTAAAGGTGCAGTGAAGGAATATTTGTCACCAGGGCAAGGAAATATTAACCACGGTCTCCTTTTGAATACATAGGTCAGGTTTTTGACGCCTGATGGCATCGGCTTCAGCAAACTTCAGAAGACTGGAGTTTGGCTGCTTACTAATCACCCTAAAGGATTGTAAGGTATCTACCCGACATATTCAGTAAGCAATTTAAACCCATTATGTAACTATGATTTTTAAATATCACAGGTTGTAAGCAGCTGTCGAAAACCTACGAAATAAAATGAATTCATGCTATTCTGCTAGAATCTTTGTTCTTGCTCTTTTCAATTCTGAGATTTGTTCCATTGGTTTATATTCCTCACTGTTACTTACAGTAAATATTACATTTCATATACGACCCCAGTATGTTTGGACAACTTGAAGCTGATTGTCTATACATCTTTTTCTTTGAGTAGAACAAGGCTCTAATTTCAGTTATTACACACTCTCAATGTTAATATCTTTTGTTTTGCTAAATTCGATTTTTTCAGTTTTCTAACACTCTCCACTTTTTCATTTATTGATCTGTCAATCAATCAATCAATCAATCAATCAATTAGAAAAAGCTTAGAAACGTATTGATGTTAATAGTCTTTAATTAATATTGTTTTTCATTTGTTACACCTTGATCACCATTAAAAAAGAATGAATATATATATTTCTTGTTTTGTTTTAATTAAACAGAAATACATAACTTTCATATTAACCGTATCTATTTGTCATTGTTTATAATTTTTAATATTGAAATTTGTTGTTTTCTATTTTATGAATGAAAATAGTTTCTAATTATGAATTAAATTTCTATTATAATGATATTTTTCAATAATTATTATTGTTTTCTTTAACTTATATCAATTAATCATTATTGATTTATTGATTTATCACATTATTAGGTTCATTTGCATCAGCCACTTGTACAAACTGTAAACTAAAAGTTTCATCGGATTTTATTAAAGAGGCTATTTTTAATCAATCTATACCACGATGTACAAATTGTTGGCCGTCGAAAATCGATTCGTCATCATTATTACCAGATGAAATGAATGACTCGGAGTCTACAAATCATTCATCTGATTTATCTACCGTAGAAGAAAATCCTAATAATAATAGTAATAATAATAATAATAATAATATGTCAGTTGATACATCTCCAAAAGTTAAATCGAAACGAACTAATAAATCTCGACGTAGACTAGCTTCATATGGTGTATTAAAACCAGATATCGTGTTTTTTGGTGAAGGTTTATCAAATGAATTTCATGACTCTCTTTCCAATGATATAAAACAGACGGATCTAGTTTTAGTTATTGGATCATCGTTAAAAGTTCGACCTGTCTCTCATATTCCTAGTAAGTATTATTGTTTTATTTTCGCTATGAAACTGATTATTATTTCCTTCATAAAGACTACTTAAATAGATTTACTTGACTCCAGAAATAAATTCAAATGACATACATGATGTACATCACTTTTTATGTGATTTATGTACGGTCAGATTAACTACCAGGTTTATTTAATTTGTCTGAGTAGTATTTAACATCAATTAATCAGTAACTTATTATATGAATACATATTTACTGTATCATGCTTATCAATTTTTACACTGACTGACTTTTTCTATTTCTGATTCCGTTATATCATCTCTTGAGAGTAAGTTCGATTGAAACCGTTAGAATAGGTGCACATAACTCTCCCTCTCTTGAAGAATGTGTAACCTTCAGGGAGTAATGATCAGCATCTTGTAGCTCGGCTCATCATCTGATTGACACAACTGAACGTTAAAGCTGGATGATTATAAGTTAATATGAATTTATAAGATATTTTATTGCCAATATGATTATATGAATGAAAAGTGATACAACATTTAGGGCTGATAATATGACTATTAAATTGATAAATACCTTTAAATAGTACACCAATAGATCCGATAACTTCATTATCACGGTTAGCAATATCTTGCATGACATTTGAGATTTCGTCGCATGCCGGATTTGGGTCTAAATGTGACTTGACTATGTTGGTGGTCATTAATTTGGCTGACAGTCACCCTGAACCGGACGACTGAATCGAACTGGACAGTATCGAAGCGAACTTCTCCAACCTTTCCATAACTATCTTCTGAGATGCTTCGAATAGGTACTTTTGTCACTTCAAAATGGATTGGAGCTCCTCTGTTAATATTGATATTATTAATCTATTTCCCCATAGCTACTGTTATGTTTGTTACAAAGACTGTTGATATGTATTTATTTGTCCCCGGAAATAGATCAATGTGATATATCCGTACACTACTTTCTATATGATCTATGTAAAGTGATGTGATTGTAAATTACTACTGCCATTCGAAACTTAATGGTTATACTTCTCTGTGACTTTATACGTTGTCGTATAAAAATCTATTTCATATTTCCTACAAGATCATTTACATTATTATATTATATTTTTCTTGACGCAATTGTAGTAGCTTTGTAAACACAATAGCTACTTGGTGGACCATAATCTACAACTATTGTGTTTATGGGTTAGCTATTATGGCTACCTATTCTAAACTATGTAGGGTGTGTAGTTTTGAACCTGAGTGATAGTTAATCCACCTAAACCCTTAATTAGATCATACCTTCACAATTTCTTGTAACTTCTTTCAACACTATTAGCTGCTACCCGTTTTCCATTTTCGACTTGATTGTTATCAGATTTTGCAATTTTAATTTAATATCTCAAAAATATTAACTCTGAAACATGGGACCAATGGATAGTGTAGTGCTGTGCCTATTCATGACTCTATTCACTAGCTTGAAATTAGTTTAAAGATAAGTACAGTATAAGATGCACAAATTAGTTGCTTCATGCTATTTTGAAAACCTTCAAGATTACTTTCGTACTGAATTTTTCTAGCACTTCTTAATGTTTCGAGATCTAACTTACTCCCTACTTCAAACCCATTTTATCTCTTTTTTCCAACACAGATGCTGTTCCTAGACAAGTTCCACAAATACTTATTAATAGAGAACCTTTATCTAATCATGATTTCGATGTTGAATTGCTTGGAGATTGTGATATCATTGTCAGCGAATTATGCCATCGATTGGGTTGGGAAGTTTCCGGATTATCAGACTATACACCTCTTACTGAAATTCCCTTAAATTCGCTAAAAAATACAACTGAACCACTAAAATCTGATGAAAAATCTCCAAATATATCCCATCTCATTGCTCAGGACACAGTGTCTTCGGACTTAGTGAACAATCAATCCCAAATAAATAATTCAGAAGTTGATGGAAAGACTTGTACCTCTACTGTTGTTTCTACGTCTGATAATTCTTCAGAGGTGATTAATAAGAATTCTCCGAATGATGCAGTAATTGAAGTCAGTGAAGATGAGGAAGATGGAGAGTGTGTTTGGGAGGTAGCGTCAAGTTTACCACGTAAGTAGTCTATCATTTTAATATGTAACTATTACAAAAATATTTTTTAACCTTCTGTTGAAAAAACACTATTACAATTTTTAGATATATTTTCTAACCGGTATATTTTTGCATCCTTTTTTTATTGTAATAATTTCACTGTTGTCGTATAAAAATCTAATTACATAGTATCCATAGTAAAGTAAATAAGATATTGGCATTTAAACTATGTAAAGAATGGACTAATAACATTTTTTGAATATAAAATGCACTCATTATCTGAATAGTCAATAGAAGCACCTTTTCTTTTAAGCTAAATAACATAGATTGTCCCTTTTACGATTGGTAGTTATATTTTCTCATTGTTATTGTTAAATCATCGTATAGAGTTATTTTGTAAAGCGCAAAAGCAGTAATCTCGGCTCACACTGGAGTGTACTTGGGTTTGTTTGTGATCTATTTTGTAAAAAAATGGTATCAGTCATCCGATTCCCTGAAAATCAGAAGTTGAGGGTTTGGTATTTTGGATATTCGAATTCCAATTACAGAGCTGTGAGTTCAAATCAGTCATTTCGCATGGAACAAGTATATGTAATCACAACTGAGTGAATAGCAAATAGATCAGAGTAATGAGTAGTATTAATAATAATAAGAAAGACTAAACATTTAGAATATGGTTCTGAAATAAGGAATATAACAATAGAATAAGATTGTGACATCTACTATGATGAAGTTAATTGAAAAAATGAAGATAGTGAATAGCCCTGTTGAGCGATTCGTCAAGTTGTTGATTCCGATGATAGTTTGCTGTAAGATGTAATTCGATCAGGTGTTCAAGTAAAAAGTCTATAGGTGTATACTTTTTTTGGGACACCTCCCAATAACAAACACTAACAATGCTTCTGAGTTGATGGAATCAACTGCTAGTTACAGTTGAATGTTAGTATGTGTTTTAAAGCCTGCCGAAGAACAAAGATTCGATGATTACACCCGCGGCTAGGTATGGAACCAGTCTCATACCCATTTTTGTACTGTATTACTATTCTTTCGTAAACAAATTCTAATGACTCAAATTCTTTATAATGGGAGCCAGTTATATTCTAAAAATACGCGATTCCTATTCTAAAGATGAAAAAACAATCTTTTTTTCATGAGCGGAAGCCATACTACTTTTTTTCGTGGAAATAGAATTTTCATTACATAAATTTCTTCTTTTTACACTTTTCAGTATTTCTCCACTAATGAGTGACCAGTAACTTACCTGTGGTTATTTCCCGCTAATGTTTATGCGGTGTTCCTAAATACACTTCACCTTTTCAAATTGCTTTGAATCGTCCTCGTCTTTTTTATTTGTTGGGATGAATAGGGGTATTAATTAGATTACGATGTATGTTCCTAACCTGTTATATAAATATTCCCCTTTCTGTCAACAAGTGAACTTCATCTTTTTAATTCGAATTCCTGAACATTTCCATCCACCCGGCTATCGAGTTGTGATTGTTAAACAAGCAATGTTTAGGATGTAACATATATCAACATTAATGAGTCCTTGTATGACACTCATCAAATAACAAAGGTTGCTTATTATGATTATTGTCAAAGTTTTAATATTTTAATTTAAGGTTTTGTGGATGTTAACTTAATTTATTGGTGGTGTTAATCACAAGTTGATGTCATTTAGGAGGTGGTGACTTGGATAACGATGGTTTAATAGTTAAAGAGTTGAATTCCAACTAATGGTTCTCATTTCCGAGTCCCTCTCCACATACTTTGGCTTGAGCAGCCGGGTAATGTCACCACCTCCCACACATAGTAGTTAGTCAGTGAGTTATATGCATTTACTGAGAACCGAAGAGAGCCGAATGGTTGTCTCATTACAGTACGAAATTCATAAATACTGTGCCGTTGACACTGATCAGACCTATGGGCTTCAAATCCCACATTGAGTGTGTTACCTTTAGGCCACTAAATTGGGATCCAATGGTACCCTAATTAAGGTGTCAATCTGTAATGTATTCTATCTCCAAACATAATAATATCAATTCTCACTGTTTTAATTAATTAATCTTACATATTTTTTAAAAATTTTTTAGCTGGAACATTTACTCGTATTTATCCAAATCAATATGTTTTCCCTGGTGCTGAAATATATTTAGACAGTAAACCCGGTGAAGTAACGATCTCATGTAATGCCTCAGATATCTCTATTACGTCGAATGCATCATCAGCATCGTCTACTTCCGGTCATAATGATGACTTAGATCAGATAAGAGATTCACTTAAAGATGAATCTGTTTCCATTGATATAACTGAAAAAGAAGAGTCCAGTATTCATTCATCTGATTCGCGTAAATCTTTAAAACGGCATAATTCCAATGAGAATCTGTCTTTGAATAAACAATCATCGTTAAAACAACCTCGATCTATGTAAAGAAAATAACTAAAAAAAAATAAAAGTAAACTGGAAGACATGAAAATCATTCAGTAAAGAAGTAGAAAAGAAAACAATTAACATGAATCTCATTAAAACAAAGACGACAACAAAAAGCTTGTTAGCTATTTTTATTCTTTTTCTTCTCATCCCATCGTTGCTTATATCCATAAATTTTTGTGTAAATAATATATATATATATATATATATATATATATACCACATATTTTGTGTGTTTATTTTTATTCTTTACCGATATATGTGTGTATATCCTTCTTTTTTTCAATGGAACATTTCGTGACTACCTGTTTATGACCACTTTTCATTGAGTTAAATTAATTCACACATTGTTAATATAGATTCTGTAAAAAAAAAGGAGGAACGAAGATTATAATGATAATTATTATCAGTGTTTCCTTTCAAACACATTTCCATGTATGTTTCTCACTTATTTTATTTGAAAAAGTTCTTCCCCCTTTCCTTTCTTATTATTAATTTATTCATGATGAATTTTGAACATGTTTTTCTATGCATTTGTTGTACACTATAAACTTATTTTCTCGGTTATTGTTTTACAAACAATTATTATATTAACAAGTTCTTAAGAGATAAATATTGCTTTTTTTAAAAATTTAATGGAACAATATGTCATCGTTTAGCAATTTATGCATATGTTATTCACGTAAAACTAATCGCGAAATACACTTGGTATTGTTTGGCTTGTATCTTCCCATTGAGGTTTAAGACTGCAATTGATCAGTCTGTTATTGGCATATGTGCATACTGTGCGTATGCCTCGATATTACCTTAATTCACAAGCTATTTGTAAGCAATGATGGATAGTGGCTAGCAGTGGGATCCAGGACGCGCATTTCGTCCTATTTGGGACTCGTCAGCTGGATGTACCTGCATCTCAGAGTTGATTTTCACTCTGGGACTCGAACGCAGTACCATTCGCTTCAAACGCCATCGCGTTATCCACTCAGCTACTGAATCCTGATAGCCACTTGCTTGTGCAGTGGGATCGTGAAATAGTTTACACCATAGCGTATTGACAATTATAAAAAAATTTCATGCGTTGTATCATATTCTAATCAGTATAGGAGTATGTGGAGATTGTTGAATTTTCATAGATTACATCGTAGATTGATCTTAGATAACTATAGAAAACCAAGAAGCACTGGACATCTTTATTTTTTTGGGTATGGGACTACTTGGCAATGTACATCAAACCGAGGATGGAATCTAGGATCTTCGGTTTCACGAGTGCTTGACCTCTAGATCGTTAAACAGTCATTCATTAGTGTATGTGTCTAACTTATCACGATTTGATGTATTGGAAAAACAAAAGGACTGTGGTTTAAATTTGTTGTTCAAGCCTTCTCCCACATAATTATACAGTTTTTAACGCTTTTCACTCTTCAAACTGGTCGCCCAATAATATTGGTAATTTTAAAAATGATAGAATAGTTTAATATTGTTTTGAGATGGACATAAAAGCCAATAACATGTGTACTGATTACTTTCTTAATAACAATGGACTCCAGTAATCACTAATACGGATTCAAGTTTAAACGTGGTTACGATCAGAGATTATTCTATAGTATCAGGATACTATATCATCATTTATTTCGGAGGAAGAAGTGTCCACGTAGATATTTGGAGCAAATATTTCGATAATACTTGAACTAACCACTATTTCAAAATATTTATTGCCATACACTCAAAATTTGTCGTTAGGGCTAAGCAAAATAGTTGTTTTTAAGTCTGATAAATTAAGGATTTCATGCCTCTTTACCTTATAATGTGATAAATTTCTGAATCCTTTAGTATTTAAACATGTCCCGACCCACGATGTCTTGGGCAACTGGATTGTGTCTACTACTGTGACACAGTCTACAGTTCGGCACTTAGATTTATTATATAACTACTGTCCAGTTTTGTTTATACTAGGTATAGTACAGATGGAAGATTATTGGATTCAAATCTCCATTTACTTATATTTCAGATGTCATATTACTAGATATTTCCAAATCTTTATGCATAATTATTTCTAATATCATCGCAGCATTTCTCCCAAAGGTACTTGTAGTAGTAATCATGCTTGTAACTTGTTACCATAAACATTTCTTAATTATTCACAGTTTCAATAATATCCTTCTAAAGTTAAGTTTTATTGTCAAATCTATTTCAAGTTAGTGTACTTTTCGATGTTGTTGAATACCCACCTATATGATAATGATGTTGAGTTTAAACTTCAATTTGAAACGGGAACTTCTCTACTGATTTCTTTTACAATAAAATAGGTAGATCTTAATAAAAAGTAATTTGTTTAAGGTAGTCACAACAAGAATTAAGTGAGCCGGTATGGGTAATAATATATAGCGCAAATGTGTATTGTGTCATTTTGGTGGGGTTTCGTTCTTTGAGCTGGAAGACGAAACTTCACCAAAATCGTCTATTTGAACTACAAATTTTTACCATCTCATGTATTGACTCAGGTCGTCGTATTATGTACAATGAAAGAGAATTACCAAAATAAAAAAGAAAAGAAATAGGAAAATAACCTAATCTGATTTGTGAGAAAACGGATCATGATATTTATTCTCTGAATGGAAGCTGATTTGGCCATCTTGTAATGATTTCTTTCAAAAATTAAAATAGTCATGATGAGATTTAATTCACACGATAACTATAAAAGTGTTGTGAATTCACGACTACTTTGAAGATGTCTATATGCTACCATTACAATGCATCATCCTATTTATTTAGATAAAAATGTCAACGACATATGAATTGATTCATTTTCAGAATATGAACATAGTAACCAGTTCACTCCAATCCTTGAAGATAATTATCCTCTTCTAGGCGATTATAATTTTCCAGTAATCCAACCATATCGTTTCTCAGAAACAATCAATATTTAAAATCCGTTGATGTCAAGTGATTGAAGGCATGTGAGAGAAACCCTATGTGGATCCATGTTTCACGTGAGTTATCGACTAGTTAGTTGCCTTTCGCTTTTACAAAATACTATTTACAAGTACGGAAAACTAGAAAGAATCGTTAAGTTGAATTCAAGCTTACACTCTACTTTCCAATAATCTATCGGTGTAAAACTTTGTTCATGAACAATCTCCTCTTAGAAAGATTACTTCCAAGAAAAAAATCTATAGACATCATTAATATAGATGTATTTCTATTTTCATATAAGCTGACAATGAATAATAACAATAAGAGAACTTTTTTTTACAACAGAAATTGAATGATACAAGCGTATGAAGGAATCTCGGAAAACACAAAGATAATGAGAAATACAGAATAACTAAATAGTTCATCACACAAATAAAAAGAGATAAATAAAAGAGCACAAGATAAAATATTCATAAGAACAAATAAAATAACAAGAATTAACTTGAATTCGTAAGTAGATACAATAAAAGTTATTAGCACAAAAATAATGGCAGCTGTATGTAAATAATATAATATTAGAATTGATAAAGACAAATATGACAACAACGCTGTTTGATTGATCTAACCACTGCCCATTCACCGCATACCGCCTCTTTGACCTATTCATTCAATTGATTAAATAATTAACCCATTCCCAATAATAAAATACATAAAATCTAGAAATCACTTTTGTAGACACTTTTTTTTTAAAAACGATATGTAAATGTTTTTGCAATTGTTGTTGTTATTGTTGTTGCTACGTCATTCGGAACAAAGAGTGTAAAAGAAGAAATTGAAGTGAACTTTTAGATATTTAATAAAATTATATGAAGAAAAAAAGGGCGTTTGTTGCATAAAGGCAATTTTTCAAGTGCACATATCTAATATTCTTATTTATTTATACAATAAGTAAGTAGATCTTATCTTCAAATCTGTGATGTGTAAAGCAAAATAAATAAAAAAGGAGGAAGAAAAAAGAAAAAAAAGAATAATACAGCACACAATAAATAATAAACTCTACTTCCAATAAAATAAATGATAATGTGATGAAATAAAAGAAAACAAATTCGAAAATAAATTAACGAAAGTAACCATTTTTAAGTGGTTTAGGTGAATTTTGATATACACATTTAGTTGAATTAAAATAAACAACTAATAAACAGTTTTTCACATAGATCTATTATTATTATCATTATTATCATTTGTGGTGTCAGCATCCGCGGTAACGTCTATTAATTCTGTCGATTGTTGATAGTTTGAATTGTCAGTGTTTAGATTAGATTGTAATAAAGGAATTTTAGATTTTGATAACATATCTATACGTGAATTATTACAAGTTGAACCGGGCATAGTTACAGAATCTTTATTTGTTTTCGTATTGGATTGAATTAAATTAGAATCAGTTGGTAATGAATCATTTCTAGGTGAGGATGTAGAAAGTTGAGATTTAGACATTGTTTTACTTATTTGAGGTAAATGTTCAGATTGAATGACACCTATCAAAGTATTGACAAAAAAACATTTAAAAAAAATGAAACAGTTCAGTACAACTTTTGGTAATAAAAACTCAATAAATCAGTCGAACATAGTCAACTTAGTACCTGGTATCAATTGAAATAAATTCCAATACCTACGCCACAACAACAAGAATAAAGAATATGGAATAGAAGCTAAAGAATTTAGTAAACAGTTACTAGATAAATGCAGTCAAGACTTTGTTATAAATATTGTATCTACAATATGAACTAAATGAGATCCAAGCTAATCAACAAAATTTATGCAATCTCATTTCGACATTAGTAAACTACCTTTAATATGATAAAATTATGATTTATCCAATTCTGAAGTAAAATATCACTGATACTAATCATCTTCTTACAGATGAGTACAAAAAGAAATTCAAATGTCAAATAATTACTATTGTAAATTCATATATTAATTACATTGTCCAATTAATGATTCGTTTGATTAAAACCAATTTTTCTTTCAACAATTTTCTGTTAAATCATATCAATTTTTAGCTTGTAGAATAGTTTAGACAGTGATCATCCAATACCTACACCACAACAACAATTAGTGATCATAAACATTTAGTCTATTGAATAATAATATACAGTTAGTTTCTCTTTTTAATCATTTAAAATTGTTTAACTGAAATTAAACCATATAGTAATCTCATTGATTTCAACCATTTAACTAAGATATTCTTCGAGACCTTGGGTACATTTGAATTATGCATAAACTACTTATTCATCAGTAACTAAAGACAAGAAATCAATATAAGAATATTTGTCAAAATGAGAAAGAATAGTTCGACAGAAATTGGTTGCCGAGTATAGAGAAGACATTTGATGTATATAATTTTCAGACAAGAACTCAGTAGTCTAATATATATTGCTTTGAAGTCCAGAGTAATACATTCTTGCCTGAAATTTTCCATTGGAACCCTTATATTTAATAATTTACATGTGTTTCCAACTGGAAAGTTTTCAAGTAGATAAATCGACTATCCAGGATTAATTACATTGTAATTCATTTACAACATTCTAAATTACATAATAAATAAAGAATAATATGTTAGGGATGCAGAGGAATATACCAATAATTATCATGTTAAGTCTAATGGTGTCCTTGGACGTTAAATGGACATTTCCATTGGTCAATATTCATTTCACCTGTCAAATATTGTACAAATGTTGTTTTCTATTTTATGGTACGATGTGGTCTGGTTAGTTGGTACATAAATAGAGTATGTCTGAAATATAATGATTCACATCTCAGAGGCTGTGACTTGCGTTCTGGACTCAACTGGCTGGGCTAGACAGGAAAGCGGGACTAATCAGAACTCTAGGCCGTTCACTACGTGTTTTACGTGTCACTGGATCGATCAATAATACGCTGCGCATCTAACCTGCAGTCCACACGTTACAACATAATACTAACGAAATTTATAAGTTAACAGTTAGGTAATCAAAATTTAGTTTCAGTGGTATATTTAACATTTTTAGGATAATGTGTGAGTAATAATTTTTTCCGTAAAAAGCTCTTCATATGAATCAATATCAACTGAAAATGTATTGTATTCACTACTTAAGACGTGCTAGTAGTATTCATCTTTTGATTCTGATCAAATGCTACTACTACTACTTCTATTACTAAATACAATCGACATGTGTCTCAGTCATTACACTGCAATTAAGCCAATGATGAAATTGTATGAAGATTTCATTAAACTACATTTATAAACTGATTTATTAAATTCTATTTTCCTGTCTTAACAGTATTATGATCAAAGATGGTTGATGAATAGCAGTGGAATTCAGGACGCGGGTTTCGCCATATTTAGTATTCGTCAGTTAGATGTTCATCACGTGTGAGCTGAAAGTTTTGGTTTTGATTTCATAATTGAGTACTGTTGAGTAGTTACGACCTATTTAGTGTTATTTAGCTTTCATATGATTTATATTTGTGATAAAGACTACATACATACCAGATTGTTTGTTATTGAATTCTTTGGAAAATGTTGGTGTTGTGTTACTTATGGAAGGTATACAAATTGCTGAAGCACGCCTTTGATGTAAATTATCATCTACACTTTTTTCATAAATTGTTTCACCATGCATACTATTTCTATGAGGTTGAGATAATGAAGCAGCAGAATGACGAGATGGTATTATCGCCTGTCGATCATGACGATACTTAATATTATTACTATTAGCATTAGTGTTATCAGTGATAGTATTATCATTTTCATCGTTATTTTTAACTACATTCAAATCATGATTTGATGTAGGTAATGATGCATATGAACTGGCTGACGTTGTACTATATTGTGATGTTGGTGATGATCGTAGACGATGGGCGAAGGAAGAGGATTTACGCTGAAGCGTTGCCAATATAGGTGTGATTGGTGCGATTGCACAATCAGATGAACTGTGTAAATCTTCATTAAAATCACCAATCGGTTTCCATTGAGGAGCTAATTTTGTTTAACAAGAGAAAAGAGACAAAAATGAGGAAAAAATAAGGGACAAGTGAAAACACAAGCGATTATTTTATGCTCTGACATCAAAACATAAGTATAAGGGGTTTGTGGAGGTAGTTGAATTTTCACAGTTTATATCATGGACTGATCTTAGATAACCATTGAAAATCGAGAAGCAATTCAACTGAGGATGGAACCCAGGAACTTCAGTTTCACGACTAGTGCCTGACCTCTAGATCATTTAACAGTTACTCAATGGTGTATATGTCTAACTTCAATCAATTCATGATATTGTGCAATAATCAACCACTGCCATTGGCGCATAACCGTCTGATGCTTCTTGGCTTTCAGTGATTATCTAACTAAGATCAGTCTGTTATTAAAACTATGAAAATAAAATATAGACCAAATAGTTATCGATGTCTGTTACGATGAACGCATACATATATATATTCTGAAACTAATTGGAGTATCAGTGAAAACTATAGAACATTCAGTATGGACATATGATCTTTAGGTCTCCCAGCGGGTGTATCACCAATAAACTGGTGAGTTGATGAACGTTGGTTAATATTTTTAATTTGTGATATGGTAGGACATGTATTCAATGTTTGATAGTTCTTATTTCACTTCCTACAATGTCTCAATGGAGCACCAAGAATTCCTCTTTATTAGCCACCAGAGATATACTGTTGATAGGGTGGGAAGTCAGTGAAGACTGGATCATATTACAAAACTACTAAATGGTATGACTAATAGTCCAAGTAGACCAATATCAAACAGTTGAATGTTAGATTAAAAGCAGTTGGTAGAAAGTTCTAGACCTAGGTTCCTTTATAATTGACCCCTATCTGCAAAACGTAACTGCTCATTTTGATGGAACATATGTTCTTTCTAGTATTTGAACTCGTGAAACACAGTTTGATAGTCAAATATTTTAATACTGTGTGATGAGTGTTTAAAACTAAGGATGAAGGAAATCAGTTTTCTCTCAGGATTACTAATAAACTCTATTAACAAGTGTTAACTGTCATGAATTTTAGACTCAAGGCATCTTGATGACCGCTTTTAGTAACTTTGTAGTAAACATAGTATACAATTTCTATAAATAATTCCTATACTTCAATCATATCCCATTATCATTTAAATATGCAGTGAATAAAATTCCTGTTGCAACCCTCAGTCTGTGATGTTAAAATTGACATTTCAGAAAAGGAGTACATTATAAAAAGTACAGAATTAGAGGGTAATTATGATCAATAAAATTTGTGGATATTAAACATCAGAATAAGGTCTCAATCACTTCAGTTTGATTTTATATACAGTATAAACCAAGAATTTTAATTCAGCCAGTTGGATTTTCGAATTAGTTGAATCCCACTAATCAACCTTCACAAATGACCTATATCAAAAAGGTAATCGAATATTTTATAACTTTTTGATTGAGATGATGAATCGATCAATGTTAGACTACCAGATTAAGATAAATAAAATCATACAGTTTTAGTGAAAGAAATTTTTGGTTACTGAATACTGTTTATTTCGGTTAAAATTTTTTTTCACTATTTTGGTGTCATTTTTTCCATACAGAAAAGTCGATTTTATTTCCGAACATATTTCCTCAGTTGGTTAGTGGTTTAGATTTCGTTTGAGATAAGATAGTCAATTGTATGACCAAATTATCAGTTCGACTACTTGGATCATTCTAGCACTTATTCAACTAATTATTTAGTGACAATAAAAGTTCAATAACTAGTGTTAAATTATTTATATGATTGTAGGTCAACTGATAAAACTGGTTAATTCATTATCTGGTTGTGACCTGATTTTCTATATTGACATTGATTATTTACATAGTACACAGTGATAGAAATTAGGACTATTTGAATGATTATACACTTACATGATCCAATAATTATCTTTACTGTAGATTATCATAAGTGAATTTCAAGGAATTAATGTGTTTACAAAGTGAAGCAGAATGAATTTGAACTATAGATTCATAAACACAGATTTTCATAGTATTTTTGATCGAGATCATGAATTGATCAACGTTAGATCACCACTGAGAACCTGGAATCACTGGACGGCCATTTCGTCCCAGTATGGAACTCCTCAACAGTATGCATCCACGATATTGCACACAGAATTCAAACCTAAGACCGGTCTCGTGAGCGAACACCTAACCTCTAGATCAGTGAGCCGGCGTCCAACAGTGTATTTAATGAGATAATACATTAGTAACGAATAATGAAGTCAAAATACCATTTGCCAGTCAGTTTCTGATAATCTTTAATGTTAATTTGTGTTTAATGATAACTGAATGCTATCGATTTGGTTGTATAAACTATGTATAAACTTAAGTGAGGTCACTATCATTATTCACCACTTTCATGATGATTTATTAGGGACAGTCTGGACGGGGGTATCCAATTGGGGATTTGTAATGTATTGCAGTCATATGCTTTGCTGTTGGATATCAATTAATATAAAACTAAAATTAGGTGGCTTTTACCAAGGATTAATTTTCAAGAAGTTAATGTAGTATGAATTCTTTCTTCAATCTAAATAGGACGAAAAGACTTCTTATATAACTTGGATTTTAAGCATGGTTTTCAATACTATGTACCGTTAGTGGTAAAACACACCAAATAATGTTCAAACCATAGATATCTATTTAATGGCTCATTATCGTTCCAGATCAGTAATTATATTCTTAAAAATATACGTAACATCAATAAAAGTACAGGTCTAAAATATTTAATTACTATTTCATACCAGTAAATAAATATCAAGTTATGATAAATATATATTTTTAATGTAAATCATGAACTGATTTCAGCTAGAACACCGTTGAAAATCTGAAAGCATTGGACTGTCGTTTCGTCCTATTATGAGACTCCTCAGAGATGGTGATCCAAGATATCTCAGGACCACAGGTCTCACTTGTGAACGCTTAACCTTTAGACCAGAGAGCCAGCATCGAGATTTAAACTATGAAAATCCTACAATCTCTACAAACCCTCTTATACATTCTTGATTCGTAAGGTAAGGTTGATACATCTTTAAGAAAGTACGTTGCATAATATAATCGTACTAATATATATATGCATAGCAACTACAACTTAATTGTATACGACCACGTTAAAACAGCATGCATGATATATATGAAAACAAATATCAAGTGCATTGAAACAAATGTGTTGAATAAATTTGATAGGCTTCACAACAACAATAGAACGATCACAACATACTTTAACAAACATTATGATGATAATGACGATAGTGCTTTAAATGATGACAGTGATGATGGTAATATTTAAGCATTTCACTTAAAAAATTATTAACAACATGTAGCACAACACAATATCAAACAGTAATTATGATGCATGCTTACTGGATCATAATAACAAATTTAAATATAGATGACTAGATTCCATTTGATCAAAGTAAAGACAATAATTACTCCAGTGTTGGCCAATGTAAAGAACATCATGAATGTTAAGTTAAATTACAAAGAAAACATTTTATATATTTAAAGAATTGATAACTAAATAACTTTTAAGAATTTTAGAAGTTGGTTTTGTGTAAAATGAAGAAATAACGTATAAAGTGTGAATATATGCATATATATAAATGTATATTTATGAATGCATGTAGTTTGTAGTTGACATAGTTTATTAAGAAGTTTAGATTATTTTCTAGTATGTAATGATTGATGTTTCTTTCCTAGTGTATGAGAATTAGTGGTATTATTATTATCATAACTACAGTTATTATGATTTGCTGGATTAGGCTTTGTACTAGGCATGACTAAATAAAATGCATTATCTTGTCCAGGACCATTCATCATTAATTGATATAAATTATGAGTATCATTACGTGAACGTTTATGAACAGTTTTTAAACGTGATGAACTAGATAAAGATGATTCAGAAGATTTAATTATAGAATTTTTAGTCGTTGTATTCGATATAAGATAATCAGTAATCTGTTTACCATCATGACAACTACTACTGTGACCACTTTCACTACAGCTACTTGTTGAACTAATCACTGGATGATTATATTTATAATTATTACTACTATTATTTAAGTTGTTTCGATGATTTGATTTTATTGTTGAAGATGAATGTTGAAAAGTAACAGATGAAGGAAACCAGTATGAACCGTGACCAACACCGGCTGCTTTAGCTAAATCTGCTATACTAGTTAGACGTTCACAGGCATCTAAAAAATAAATATGCGTGTGTATGTGTGCATGCATTATAGACCAGAATGTGCGAATATTGTAGTGAATAGAATCATACACATGGAAATATGCATGCAATAGTAAAATTGAGATTTCATATGCGAAATTCATATACATATACGATTTTATGTGTACAATAAAAAGAGAGAGATGTGTCAAATGGATAGGATAATATAAATGAAAAACATAGGAGAAAAGCAAAAGAAAAAAGTTCATATAATAAGAAGCAATAAACAATATGAAATATATACAATATTTAACTATTTGAAATTATTTATATATCAAATGAGTGTACTGATCTGAAGTCTGGTGTTAAGGTGTACATTACTACGAACTGTCTAGAAAGTAAACATCATTCAAAACACTGTTCTCAAGACGTCCAGCCACCAACTGGATAATGTTAAGTTTAGACAGAATTTTAAACAAAATAAAATCCACTAATGCATTTGTCAACTTATATTGATCAAACCAGGTGGGATATATTTTACATATACTGAAACTCTATTTACTTTAACGCGACATGTTAGTTGATAATAAAAACTATGTTATACAGTGGCCAGGTAGTTACACAACACTGATCTATGTAGTCTGTAGCAATTATTTCTTATGAGCCTCAAAATAGCAGCTTAAGTGGACGTTTAGTAGCATGAATTAAGGTGGAATAGCCGCCTAGTAGTTAAAAGACAGCTTTCAATAATTCATTCTAAGATTCGAACTTAGCTTCGCCTCTCAATTTCGGTAGTTAAACAGTGTTGGTAGTTTTTATATGGAAACTGTGTCTTTGAAGTGAGCACTTTAAACTTTGTGTTTGGCTACTGAGCTACATAAAGAAATAAATAAAATACATGGCCTACAATTAATCTTATTGATCTATCCAAATAAGCGATATTTCATCATTTTACATATTTCTGTCCTTTGCTCTAATTTTTTTCTTATGACCTTTCAATCTTACGATTTTTTTCCAGTGTGGATATTGATATTTTCATTCCTTTCAACCTTCTTTACATAATTTTCTTTGTGGTGCTAACACAAAGTAAGGGTTTTATTATGCCTCGTTCATCCTCATATATCTAAAATTTATGCTAAATATATGCATAAACGTATATGTACACTACTTTAGATTCATATGGTATACACCTTAGACTTCATAGGTCTTCTTAACTCGTACTCAAGCGTGTATAAACATCTACGAATTAGCATTAACAAAATAACTACTGAAAACTAAACAGCACTGATTATCTATTTCTTCCAAGTATGAAACTCCTTAGAACTGAAGACAAATGATCCTTCTGTTGACAACCATATATATATATATATATATATATATATATATATATATATATATATATATATATATATATCAGAAAAGTAATTTAATATGTGTTGGGAAGGTATACAAACTTTGTGAAAAGATATTAGTAATGGTTTGTAATTTCCAACTTTTTTTTCACGGCTGCAATTGATCAGTCCCTATTGACATATGTGTACCCAAAGCAAATCATCCCGCTGGCTTGGTGGATAATAAGTTAGAGTTTAAAGCAATAAGCGTTGGGTTCGAATCCTGGCGTGAACATTAACACTAGTATGCAGGTATGTTTAACTGATGATCCTCAGATACTGTAGTGGACGCTACACACAATATTGTGTTAGCAATGAGTAGTGGAACTTGACATCGATGACCTACAACTGTCAGATGGAATGAAGGGTTTAAGTACATCGAAAACAAGGTGTTACCACAACACGAAGAGATCAGACTAGAAGATGGTTCAAATTGAAGAACGCACCGATAATGCAAATGGAAGATTGAAGGCTATATATATGTAATATGTAGATACTTCCTACAATAAAAATAAACTCCTTGTGCCTATTGTCGTGTTTTGCAATACTATGAAACGTGGAGCCTGGATTCTACATTTATTCATAATCAAAAATTTAGTCTTGTATATATATATATAATAGAGGAGAGGAAAATGAGAATGAAACGTACCTCGACATGGATCATTTTTAACTAAAAATTCGTCCAGTGTCACCCAACCACCACCTACACGAACCATTACAGCACTACGAAGGATGCGAACTAGACATAATTTTTGTGAGTCACCGAACTGTATATCAGGAAAAAAACATTGATCAGTTTACAATATATCATAAAGAAAAGAGACAAGAGAATACTTATATAAAATACGATATGATATTTAAATGAAATTTCGTGTAGCAAGATATATACAAGAAACCTAATACATTCTAGTCAATATTAACTTACAGTTGATTAAGTAAAAATAAAGCAGAATGAATTTCAAATGTTTACATGATGGTTTTATGAGTCATTTAACTAATTTATTGAGTGATTATTCAAGAAACAATATCCTCAACATATAATATAAATAATAAAGTAAGGAGATTAATAATATTTATCAGCCTTTTGAAAACAAATCAACTTTATACCATTGAAAAGTTTATCATTGAAATGATACTTCAGGTGATTGGAGATAGTCACCAGGAAGCTCTGCTACTTAGATTAGTGGTTACATAGGATCTTGATAAATAATCTTTGTTTACCACCAAAAAGTAGCCGGATATGAGATTGATCATTACTCATTGACTAGTCAGCGTAATTAGTAACACATATTTATATTATTTTCTAATATCTGTATATTCTTTGTTTTATATGCTTTTCTAAACTATATAGAAACTTTATCCTTAAAGTTTATAACGAATAAGTACCGTGGAGAGTTTTCCTGGACTGATTACGAAAAAGTACTTGTTAACATGAAGATATTACTGTCACATGAGATTTAAGTCCTTTTGCAAATAAAACGATAGTCTTAAATTTACTTTATAACAGCAAAATCATTATCTGTTCCTGTATAAAACTATTAATTATGAAAACTAGTCTCTAAATAGAATATTTATAAAGAATGGTTAGTATTTATAAGCTTTGAGTTAAGGAGACGCTTATTAGTAATATTTCTGAAAATAAATACAAGGTTATCTTGAAAGTTAATTATAAAAATATTTTGTGTATGACATGAACATGAAACTTGTTCCACATTTCAAAAAAATTGATATAGAATTTATAGAGCCCAGTGATATTGAATTTCAACCCTCCAAAAATACTAGATGAGTACCTGGAAAGTTTCGAAGAATAACGAATGGTGTATTATCTATTCTATACAACCATTTTATTAACCAAGTACTCTGAATGAATTCACGCTGTTAGACAATGGTAGTCAGTCTACAAGGACTAAGGTATTGTATATACTGTTAAGCACTAAAAAAACTATATATCTTCAATATCAAAACACTCTATAATTTCCCTGTCTTTTTGATAGTCTTGAAATTTCATACTGTAGCCAGAGATACTGCAATCTAGATCAACAGTGAATAACACTGAGTTAAGTTTCTTGAGATTCAAATTGTAAACTTGATATAAAGAAAAAAAATTCTATTAATTACTGTGATATTGTCAGATTTATAAAATGCATTGTTAGTTTGTAAATCCACTATATTTATTTATACTGAATTAAAACTAACCCGATATTTATTTGTTGCCATTTTCTTAATTTTATATGTGTTATGACATGTACACAATCCAACTTGACGTTTTAATTCATCATTAATGGTTTCTTCATCCGATGGACCGAAACGATTTAAACTTAATGAACTACCACCATTAGTATTCGATGATGATGTTCTATCCAAATTACTATAATTAGCTCTTAGTGCATTTAAACATTCACGATAATCAATATATCCATCTCCATTAGCATCGAATATATCTGCAACTGTTTCCATTTCAACACGACTTGTTTGGAATTCTATATAAATGGAGAGAAAAGACTTTATTCAGAAAAAAAAGATCTGAAAGAATTGAGAAGAATCTTTAGAGAATGATGTATTATTTGGTAGGAGATGATAATTTAATCAAAGAATTATAAAAAAAGAAATCTACTTTCCAGAAGAAAATTACAAATAACATATATCAACAGTTAAAGCATTTCCAAAGAGCATTATACATCATGAAAGAAGTTAAATTTCAATCTATTTATGTAAAGACAATAGCATAAAGCTAAACTATTTGTATATAAGAAAAAAAAAATATATATACTCGAGAACCAGACAATAAAACTATGATAACAATCTACTTAGAATGAAAATAAATCTAAATATGACTTGTTAAATATTTAAAAAATTTTAATCCCCCCCTAATAGTAAAATTGACTAGATTGTACCAGGGCAGTTAGTTTTTCGAGTACAATGTAAACAGAGTGTACTCAAGAGGCGGTAAGTCGTGTTCAATGTTTAAGACTCGCAATGATTGGAAGACCATCGAGTTGGGGGTAGTCACAGAAACCAAAAAAAGTTCATATAATTGTGATTTAATATAATGGGAAATTTTTAGCGATTAAAAACATTTTAATCCTACTAAAATAACATAAATGTTGATAATTTCAATAGTTTTGTTAAGATAATTTATCAGTTGTGATTATTTCTCAACTTATATGTAGATTATCCTGAAAGATGAAACGAAATGAGAATATTCTATGCCTAGAAAAGATAAGAACTAATTAGAAATAAAAGTCTTCAAAACGCAACTTTCAAAATTGATTATAATATTTTATCTTATTTTTCACTCTACAACTATTTACTACTCGTCTGAGTATGTTCTAGTTCCTCATTACAAATATTATTACTATTATTATTAACTTTTATGGTTTGTAAACTTATTGTTCGTTATGTTGTTTCTACCTAGTTACAGTGGTGTACTAATTTATTGGCCTCTATATTGTGGTCCATTTTGCCTGTCTATCTGTCTACCTAAATGTCAAAGGAGGGTTTTTATGAAAAGTCCCAAATAGCACTGAACACAGTTACCAGGCTCGGAAAGCCATTCAGACTGGATTACTAGTGTAAAATTTTGATTAGCTCATAAATCAAGCATTATTTTTGAGTAAAACAAAAAGTAGTAAGAGTAATCGATAATCTTAGAATACAGTCAAGGTCAAAATAATTGTTTTCTATGTCAATCAGTCATAGAATTAATATAAACAGTCAAGTATAAACAAAGTTTGACCTGACATAAAGGTGTAACAGTTCTAGTGGTCACATTTTAGATCAATATAACAGGAGGAAATCGATGAGCGAGAAATTCAGGCGCTGAAATAATAACAATAAAGGTAGTGTACACATTAGATTTGAAATAATCTCAGCGACCGAAATTTATGTAATTCCGACGTTTGGTCCTTCAATCTTATCTGGACTTCTTCAGGATAGTGAAAAAAATTGAAAAAGATGAATGGGTAAAGTGAGACATTTTTGTCCAACGATAAAAAGTAACCGCATAATACATAAGCATATTGTGATGTGCGCTACTTAGGCAGATAGATATGAATAGTATATAGAGGGAATAGGAAGTGGAATACTTACCAGCAGAAGATTGAAACAAAGAGGAGAGGAAGGGAGATCGAGGGCAATCAAAATAACAACAGGACTGGAAACACGATGAGGAATGTAAGGGGCAGCTCAAGGAAGATATGCAAATAATGGACTTAATGTATGGTTTTCATATTTTACAAAGGTACTGTGTGATTTCACACAAAATAAACCTGTTTACCTTATTGTCTTTAGTTCGTGCCCCCAAATGCCCTGGTACGGCCGAGAGTCGGGAGAGTCCGCTCTCCCTCTCCAAATGCTCTCACATGGCCACGAATATATAGCCTCTGCTAGGGAAGTCCTACTCACTGCCTTCTCGTGGCGGGGTTGTTGTTTACGAAAATGAGAGGACGAAAAGCGAATGTCCGGCGCTCAAACCGGATTCCAAACCAATGGTGCACATGGGCTCCAGTATCCTGCGGGAACAAATGGCGTATGAACAAATTGTTGGTCACTGGCTTACATGAGACTGCATCTCCTGACGACGCTCCACTGCCTTGTGGATCAGACCTTCAGGTCGAAGACCCGGGGAGTGGCCCCCTAAGAAAACCACCTGCTTCGGTCTGGGCACCCGGTCAGTATCACAGACCTCACACATATCGAATGAGATTTGTATGGCGCATATGTATTTGGTGCCTCCTTTTACCAATATCTATGTGTTAAAATAAATAAATAAATCGTGCCAATACGTTACAGTCAGTTGTCGCATAATTTGGACGTTGTTTATTTGTGCAAAATAAAATGGGCACAAAACATCTAGTTTTAAATCTTTGAAAAGTTAAATAATTTTCGGAGGGATTTTTGAATGGTTTCTTTGTAAAAAGTGATCATCAGTATTGCTCAAAGGAAATATGTAAAATAGGATGCTAGTTTATAGTTTATTGATTTATCGATTAGTAAGATAACTGACCAAAGTGAACAGGTTTATCTATGACAAACAGGTTGAGAGTTTGATGTTTAAAAGTAACCAGAATATCAATAGTTAAAATGAAATATTGTGAAGACCGCTGTTCTTTGATACAACCAAAGACGTGTGATACTTTTTTGGAATGCGATGTTAGCTCTTGACCACGTTTTTTGGTAAAAATCGTAAATGGTCGAACACAAATTTAGAGTATAAATCAAATATTAAGGATTTACTTCAAATTCTTTCACTGAGATTTTAAAAATACATTCTCCCTCTTTAATGTCTCACATTAACTTGGCGCCCAAATATTGTGAAACTATCCGTTCAAATTTAGACGAAAGTTCTTATTTAAATATTAAGGTTGTATGAGTCATTATTGTTCAAAATAAACAGACGGTGAGTAGTACATATGAGGAAATAGTTATATAATTAAGCTCGTATTCTAAATTTTAAACTTGGTAGGAATAAAACGCTACCAAGTTTAACTAAGTTTCTATCAGTAGTTTAGGGAAATAGTTGAATATCAGAAGAAATGTCTCATTAAAAACGTGTTCGATTACTTTCTAGCTAAACAGACCAGTAACAAACATTGTGATGAATAGATAATAAAATCATCAAAGTAAAAATCGTTTATTTGTTAGACTTATTTTGAGCATGATACTCATAACTCATGGTAGATGTCCATGACCTGTAGAATCAGTCAAATTGAGAATAAACTAAATATCCATCGATAAAACATCAGATGAGTGTAGTGATGGGATATATCAATCACTACAGGAAATACATGAATGCATACGTTTTGATATTATGTGTGGTAGTAGGTGTAGACTACTGAAATGATAACTAGAATAGAACAAGTACAAAATGTTCTCTACTATGCAGTAATTTTTCATACACCATCAGTTATAGATGAAAGTATTTCATAAGCTACTAATTCACTGTTTCAAAAGCATTAGTTGTAATTTACTAGTTACACGTAAAACCATATACCAAGTTGAGTATTGTATAGAAGCTTACAATATTGTTATTATTTTCAATATAGATTAAACCATATTTGAATCTATGATTCTGTTGTATTAAAAGTTGACTAACTGTACTAATAAACAGATTTAAACCCTACACTTTACTAAATTCAATTTGGGCAGTTGGATAATGTTCTTAGCCCTTTCACTTAAAATATTAGCTTAAAGCCAAATGTACAATGCTCTGTAGTTGATAAATAAATTCGATAAATCAATTAATTAAACTAATTAGCTACTATTTCTTATTCCTAGAACTTTGTTCTGTATAAGTTGTTAAACGTCTAGTCGAATACATCCTTTATCTATTACATTATGTACATTAACTTACTAAAATGCATCGATAAATACAATATTTATTTCTAATTAGAATAAGGGTTACATGTACATAATATTAGTTCACTTTTCTTGTTGTTTTGTCTTTATTATTATTATGTTACGTTAATTCTAGAACTGTGATAGTATTTTTGACACCATTTACAAATAAATATAATGTAATATAAATATATTGATGTTCAAAGTTATCGGCTATTCATAACTGAGCAACTAAGTAAATGAAAGTTTACTTAGAACATCTACTAGTTCAAGGTTGATTACCTTTTTCAAATTAATACTATTTAGCGTGTTTATTTTGTTATATGTTAGTGCATTCTTGCATTAAGTAACTTATTATGATTTACAGAGTCAACTAAATCAGAGATGTGGTTGTAATTCATTGATTAAGCTGAATGGATTTTGTGAAATCGGAGTCTAACTTAACAAATCAATGATATCATGTTCATAATGAACTCTGAGGATTTAAAATTTTAAACCTTATATTGAAGTCATGTGTGTATGTACTGATGAGATGTCTTGTACTAGGACAAAAACACTGTCCAGTCGTTCTAAGCTTCTAGTGGTTCTTAAACTAATTTGCAGTCACTATCAAAATTATGTAAACGATGTATTCTTTGTTTTAGAATCAAATAAATCTTGGAGTGAAAATTGCTTAGTATTTTAACTACGGTTTACACACAGAATTTATGTTTCCAGCATTGCGTATGAGATTCAAATTCGGTAGATGAGATCTTACGAAATCTACATGATATATGATTATATATTATTTCGTTCGGTTTTCGAAATGTAACTGGAAAAGAACAGAGTGTTTAAATTTTCTCAGCCTTAAAAACCTACCTTCAGTATGTTCTAGTGAGGTATTTTTAAAGGTACATCGTTTACTGGATATTTTCTAAATCACCTATTTCTTTTCGTATTGTATTTAGACTAGAATTGCGCTGATCGAATTGGTTTCATCTGTTAAACGAAACTAAATCCCTGAAATACCTTTGTCCTTGAAATCAGCTACCAAATCGACGAGGTTTTTCAACATTGTGACATCTGACGAACTTCCGTCTAATATGTAAATATGTATATTTCAAAAGCTATATAAAAGTTTGTGTACTTGGCTATTCGTCACAATTATTATAGGAAAGCCAATGATCCTAGCTAGCTGCCAGAGTTTTACTGAGCGAAGCAAAAGTCGAATATATAACTTGATGATTAGTTGCTGAAGTTGAATGATTAAACAAAGACAGTGATATATCAGAAGAAGTGAACATCAAGGTTATCTTTATATGGAATGCATACATATACACCTGCATATGAATTTTTAAGATATTTTATACAAAATGAGATATGATATGTACTATGAGATCCAATTATGTGAAATTGATAGTTTCACTATCGAATTCGACATTAACAGAACAAACTGTGAAGAAATTCTGATAATTAACTTCTATTTAAAGTATGTGCTGATGATGTTGTCAGAAATAAGCAACAACAGTGAAAGCTACACTATCAAACCGTCAAGTTCACAAAACACAATATCTCCAAAAAAGGGTGTTGTGCATACACTTAGCTTATAGGTAAGAAAGGTTATATTTACATATTATATGATAATGAGAATACTGTCCAGTGTTACTAAGAGCTACCTCGACATCAAATTTGCACATTACAAACAGTAAAAGTATATACTGATAACAGAAATCAAGTACACTTTAATTATTCTAAAGAGATCAGTAGATAAGAATATCTTATTGTAAAGTAGAATCAATTTACTAACAAGATAATTGTGAATTAACTTAGTAATATGTATCTAATGATGAGTTAGATTTATGTGTCACCCATATATTTTAACTGCAATCAACAATCTACTTATGTTATGAAAAAAGTTTTGAGTAGTAATAATATGAGAATAATTTCAGAAAGCAAAAAGCATATATCAACACAGCGAAAGTAACATGCCCAACAGAATAAGGACATATACTTTGGATGAAAGAAAAATTTAGCAATACTATAACACTAGCTTGAATTCAATCCATTTAATTGTGTCATAGTATGCAGAAAGCATTTTAAAAGATTTGCCCAAGAAGATGCAAGCGAAAAAAAGTACGCAAGAAATTTGAATATACAAGCACAATTATAACGTTTTAAAAGTAAAAGAATAGAAAAAAGTAGTCGAAGTACACAACTTATTCATGTTGAACACAATCGAAAAATACACAAAGAAAAAATCGATAACGTTGTACACATACATATACATATACTTACACACGCACACACACTTACTTTTTCGACTTGCATTGTCTATTTAGTATTAAACGCAGAAAAATCAATTTAGGATTAAAGGGAAAAGAGTGTAGATAATGATCTCTCAGTAGTAGATCAGTTGACATAAAATTGCACCGAGAATCAGGGCGATCTATTCTACAACTACCATATTCAGTGAACGAAAAAAAAGATTCAAAGCAATTCGTAAGTACTAACCAGAAAATTTACTACTCTTGTGAGCCACTTTTGACCGAGAAGTACGAAGTTCAAACCTAAAACCTAACTGTTGAAAGTCAAATACTGTATTCGTTGGACTACCATTTGACTAGACTATTCAGTAATGTAATAGAAAGGCTTAGAGCTCTTTTGGGGTTACTATCGATCCTAAGCCCGGTTAAACGAGGAGGGTTGGGGACGGGATTAGTAACCTCAACCCATAGAAAGCCTTGTTAAAAACGCACACCAGAAAAAATAACTCAAACCATAGACAGAGTGATTCCGTTATACCACTGAGGGTTTGTACAAGCTTGCCGAAGTTGGTGTTACTTCAAGAATAATGTCTTTAAATTGGATCATTGAAGATAAAACATTGTTACTAAGTATGTATCAAGTAATGATAAAAATAGAAACTGGAAACAGGAAAATTATAATTTCAGGTTGGTTTGTTTTTTTAAAAAGACATTATATAGTAAAGCATCATTATTCACTGCCCAGTACTTAATTATATACTACGGAAGATGTGAAATAATTGGATTTCCTTTTCTAAAATAGCTTCTAATTTAGAACAGTTATTTTCAAGCTAAATGCTTACTATTCAACAAAATATATCATAATGTTAAAAACTATCATTTAGGATTGTAAATAACACAACTATTCATCATCATTACATACTTACGAAGTAATAAGTTAGATTTTATATTTTCTACACAAAACTTACTCATTTCTATTATACCATCAATAAATTCAGCTCTTGTAAGTCGACCATCTCGATCACGATCTTTACGATGAAATAAATCAATAACACGTGCTTTATTTGTACTTAACCATGAAACATAACGTTGACGCCATGATTCAAAATGAAAATCTTTCATTTTTTCCACTTCATTTAAATAAGCTAAACGTTCATTTAATTGGGATTTACGTGTTAACATTGCAATCCATAATTCTCTCCAATTTAAATATAATTGATTAATATTCGGTGAAGTGAAAACTGATATAGATGGATTATGTTGTTGATTTGGTGTATTAATAGAACGGTTGAATAGATTACCACTGGGTCGTATTGGTAAACGACTTCGGCGATTATTATTATTAATATTATGAGATGATTTAACTGGTGTACGTCGTTTAGCATGTTTTATAATATTTTCATAAATAGGTTGTTTTTGTTTCACTTCTTCTTCTAAATGACTATGTAGATTGAGTAATTGTTCAATGATTTTTGAATCGGTTATTTCATTTAAAACTGTTGTAAAATCAGTAAGAATTTCAGGTTGTTTTAAATCTTTACTATTTATACTACTATTACTATTGACAACAACGTTAGGTTGGCGAACTAAAGAAGTAATAGTTGATATAGCAATACGTTCTTGAGTTATGGAAAATAAGTCTTTGGAGTCTATTGATTTTGAATCATTTGAGTCTAGTTTACTCTTAGCTGATTGTAAATTAGTCGATGAAGATGACAATGATGATATCGGTATTGATGTTGGAATACTTTTTAGTTCACTCGTTTTTACATGTATCCAGTGCATGAGTTCTTCACGTTGAAGTTTACGTTTATTCTGTTCTTCTAAAGCTTCTCGCAAACGATCTCCACGTTGTTCAGACCATGAAGTTAACTGGGTAAATTTTTTGTTTAGAAAAAAATTAATGAATAACAATTAATGGAATTAATTTAAATGCAGTTAAACATACTAGTTGAATTAGGTTATGGACACATTTATGTTAGTATTGCAAAACAAAATCACGAGGGAATGGAGGACGATCTTCTCTTTTAGTTCGTCTTTCATTAAAGTTGATCATCTGATCCATTTAGATTGTGAGTTCAATATTCATAGTCACAATATTTAAAGTCCTTAGAAACTAATCTATTTTAATTGAAATAAGTAAGTACAAAATCAACGATTCATACCCAAAAGCATTATTATTCAAAATTACAAATCCTTTACTTTACAAGCTTGAATCAATTTCCGCCTAATTTGGTTTGAACCACCGAAGTGTCACTTGAAAGCTCTGACTCAAAGCTGAGTAAGCGAGTCTTCATTTTACTGTTGTAAAGGATTAGTTTGCTAAGTCAATCTAATTACCAAGACGGTATAGTTTTTCGAAACAACTCTCCATGATATTTCTATATCTGTTAAACAACTACTGGAAATAGGATGTACAATCGGTAAACATCTCATCTGAATGTAGGACAATTTAATAAACTACAAACAAAACTCTTTCGTTATCTAATGGAGAAAGATTACAAAAACTTGATAATTTAACTATCCAACTCACCATGATTTTGTTTATACTCAATTGACATCAAGTTAAATTGAAAATCGTTTCCTAATTTATGAGAAATACTGTTTCACTAAGTTAAATTGGGCTTGATAGAATGAACTTAATCTATATCTTACAAAATGATTTTAGTTTTGAATTTTAAAAATGTGAACATTCCAGCAGGAGTTCTTAAACAACAAATTCAATGATCAAAATGAATTTCATTTATAACATTTTACTTGATAACCTCTATATAATGTATTTGTTTGTTGGGGCCAACAAAAAGATAAATAGCTGGATAATGATGAGGTATCTTGTAGTAAATAAAAGTTATTCTTAGTTAACATTTGTTAATGTATCTTAACTCCTATTCTTCATACGGGAATTTAGAGATTATAAAACTGGGTGGCTTGATACATAATTAATATGTGATAATAAAATGAAATCAATTAACCTTAATCCAGTGGTTTTATTTTGTTTTCTATACGTGTTGAAATAGGTGAATATTAAAAAGAGTATCTATTAGGAGTATGTGAAGTATTTATAAACTGGTTATCATAATTCAGAACAAGATAATCAGCAAATAAGTGACAGGTTACAGATATACTGAAATTAGGCTTCACTTATTCAATTGCCAATTAATTAAACTTGTAACACTAAAGAAACTAGCTAAATTTTCATTGAACAAGCAACATAAAAATACCCAATCTATCAGACACAATAAAAGTATATAACTACATGAAACTAGCAATGGAATTATATGTAATTAACTGATTCTCGTGTTACTTCCTACTTTCTTATCGACAATATTCTAGAAATAGTTTTGAGGGGAATGTGTAGGGAAAGTAGCGACATCGAAAACAGGAATAAAAGTATCTTTTTTGTAAGGAAATATAAACTCATATATTTAATAAGAAGTCAGCCTGTAAATGTTCAAGGTCGTTAAGTAGGATATTTATTACATATCACTCAAAGGTAAATTACTATTTAAAATTCAGTCGTAACGTAGAACTTGGTATACATGTACATCGGTTCAAGTAGCCACACTCCATTAGGACAACGAGATCAAATCGTTAGGGCGAATCCAGTAGTACTAGAGGTAGTACCAATATTAGTGGTAATAAAAAAGGTTAGTCATCAAAGACACTATTAGGGAAGAAAATGTAAATTAATGAAATAAAAAAATTATGAGGAGTTGAGAAGTTTAGAATCTGGGAGAAGACAAAGAATGAATGCGCCATTGCGAACGGTTTCGAGCCATGTTATTCAAGGTCTTTAACCACCGGTTACGGTCATCACGCGGATCTTAACCGGGTTATACATACCTATTACGGTGGTTCAGTCCAGTCGTCGTTGACTTTATGGAAACCAATGCATCCACTGATCCTTGATGCTTATTAATCAATGATTAAAGCCAGCGACTGTCATGCTACAGTTATTTTGCAACATATAAAATAACTAATGGGAACTCAGGATGGTTATTTATGCTTATTTTCTGTTTTTTGGTGAGATTTAATATCCCTTACTCTTCTTCGGTTTATTAAGTTGAAAGCATTCTTCTATATATCACAAAAATGCATCAAGTCTACACTGTAAATGGAAACGGTAATAATAATAATAATAGCCATATGTACAGTACGCATACCTCCTCCCATCGTGTACGAATAGTATTAACCCATTGACGTAAACGTTTCACAGCTGCTGGATGAGCTTGAGATAAAAGTTTATTTCCTAATTGTAAAGCAGCTTCAACTCGATCAGCTTGATTCATTAAATTAGAATGTGTTTGTCGATGAGCTGTAATTGCATCTGTTAAATTAGTTGGTGGATTGTTAGTGCCAGCAATTTCAATTTCCAGTTCGCCATCATCATCAAAGGTGGGTAAAGCAGCCAAACGATGAATAACACGTTCTGCGCCAGCAAAATAATCCATTAAACTTCGACATGTATCCTGAAATTGCTGCGCCTGTAAGTGAAGACAATAGTATTTGTGAAATGTATCTACTTGAGAGGATGCTGATAACGTAAGTCAGTAATAAAATGTACGTTAACTTATTTGGCTTTAAGATACAATTTTTCTAAGAGGACTGAAAATCTACCAAGCTTCTCAAACTGATATGTGTGCGTTGAGCCTTCAACTTGTGAATTAATGATTACAATTTAAATGCCTCAACTACCTAATATTTAATATTTCACTATACAATTCGTAACCTATAGTGCTATAAGTAATCTAAAATACCATGTAATGAAGATGCGTTTATCTGACAAGGTAATAAAGTTGTGTGATAAAAATACATAATTTGAATTAAATAACCTCGAAAATTTGAACAATTTAAAAACGGTTTCTTAATCAGAAACAAGCAGGCATTGGAAACTAAGGTGTACTTGTTGAGTCGTGTTCTATGTTAAGCCCATATAGTTTATTCTAGCTTGCAGGTAGACCAATTTATTCGTTCTCTTTGAGTCGTATTTTGACCTCGTTAATTTTTCGCTTATCGACCTTGACTGTTTTTATGTAAGCGTATGTGTGTGCAGTTCTTATCCTACTCAACATATGTCTGTAACTTATTTTTGTCTGACTATAAATATCGATCCATGTTTGGTTAAATCGAGTTGGTTAACACACACCTTCTTCACTGAGGGTCATTTAATTTCGCGGTGAGACTATAATTTATGGACGGCCTCTAAGCGACGATAAAAATACCTTGAGGATGTCCGTCTGCATACTACGGCTAAATGATGGTTATAAACCAGTGTGAGTAATTAGGATTAATATTTACGGTTGATAGATAGGGTTAGGAATTTGATTTAGGGTTCTCATCACGAACTGACATCAGCTATAATGCCAAAACTATATTTAGCCAAGTGAATGAATTAGTTTCGCGCCAAAATTCAAGACCTGTTATCGTAAACTTGATTGGTTCGTCCACAAACTATAGTCTCACTAGTTTCGCTTCTCTCCTCTTCTCTTCCTTCGCTCCGTCTCCTTGACTGTCTGTTCAGATCAACGATTGTGTGAAATATACGTATTCAAACTTCATTCTCGTATTCGACTTATTTAATCCCGTTATTCACAAACATGAGTTGAGTCAATGATTATATACGAGGGTAGCCAGGATGTATATTTCGATAACTTGATGACAATCATTCGTACGATCCTATTGGAATCAGATATCGGGCCACTAAATACTAAACAGTTTGTTCTTAATACCCTATGACTACATAGTGTGATATAAGTTAAAGTATTTCAGGATTAAACCCAGAACTTCCAGTTATTATAGTGAGCACCCTACTGTTAAGCCAATAAGATGTAACCAAATGGCCAGTAATGCAATGTTTTACTATATATCGCTACCATTCTTCAGCATCTGAGACAATGGATGACACTTTGTAGACGCCAATCTCTAGCACTGGATGCAAATCAAGTAGAATATGAAACTAGAAAGCGATGATTGACAATAAGAATAGACGAAAATATAAGAAATGGAGAAGAGAAAGAGGTTGACAGTTTGACCTGCACCAAACCGTCGAGGGCCACATAGAAGTTCGCTATTTATAAAAAAAGACTAGCCCGCCTCTCTGCTTCTAGGATGTCAACATCACTGAACATGTGAGTTATCCACCGAGGAACAACTTACTACCCCAGCATTGTGGTAAAGTTCAAAGAATAACCTTGTCCTCAAAACTGGGACATTCTGGTTTTGGTCAAGACATCCTTCATCTAGTATGTTTGTAATGGTAGGATCTAATGGAACAAGTGTTGTATTTAATATATCTGGAGATCATCGAGTTAAGGTAATAGCTACGGTTGGAATTCGCTACTACTTGAGAGAAGGTTTGAGATGCTATAGACCTAATACGATACATCTCACATATAAAGTGAACCTGAGAATAATTATGAAATAATGAGTCGGCATAAGTGAAAAAAACTGAAAAGTGGAATACATAACACAGGAAATTTGTTTTTCATGATTGGTTTTATGATTTGGACTGTCAGAGATAGTTGAGCTGATCGGGAGTTCTTAAAAGTCCACCTGCTTACTAAGCGGAAATATCTATTGATAATTATTAAATACTGGCGGCATCATGATTACACTGGATCTCGTGACAAGCTATTATACAAACATAGTACAGTCACCATTATTATAAACAAACAACTCTAAGATGTATTCCAGAAAACGGAAATATTTTTGATTAATGTATGAAATTCCTATCGATCCATGACTTTTACACTAGTAGATTATGTGACAACCAATTAAAATAAATTGTGAAGTAGGTTAAGATCACTAAAAAATATTTGCATACCAGTTAATGCAAATATTACAAGGTGTTTACTCAAATATTACCATTTTTAATGCATGATCCAATCGTTCACTTCGACGTTGAGTTAAATTCTGTACACGATCCCATATTTTAGATAAATGATTTAATTGAGCTTGCATAGCAAACACATCAGCTTGATTGCTAGCTGATGAACCAGCTCCAGAGTCAGTAGTAGATGAAGCTTTATTCATTAAATCACTGGCAGCTTGATGTATTAATTTCACAGATGTGGCACGTTGTTCCAGCTCAGCTTTGAAACGATTATGAGATTCTAACAATTGCTGAAATACGAAACAAATAATTTACATTTTCATCCGTATAACAGGGTTTTATAAGAAACCAATGTTTAAAATACAGAAAATGTGACCTAGTTGAATCAATTTTAAACAATAGCCGTGTATGTAGTTAATTTAGTTATCAACCCAACACCTAAATTAGTAATCACCAACAAGGCTAAGTGCAACCTCGAAGAAGAGGTTATACAACTTATCAGTGAAGTGAAGAAATTAGCATCGATCAAATCCATGAACGTATAAGTTACTTAATAGCATGGTTGGATCATAACTAATGAACTGGCTAAGTTGGTGTTGGTTAAACAACAGCTGATAACCAGCCAAAAAAGTTCAGTAAAGTTAGCTCAAAACTTTTCAATAATGTTCACAGTCGATCAACAATTATAATTAAGAAGTGGCTAACCTCAACAATATCCACATCACCATAGTTTCCAGTTTGTTGTTCAGCTAATTGTGGTTCAATCTTATTCAACCAATCAAGTAAAGCTTCCAATGCTTCTTTATAAAGACCAGCTGCCAAGAGAGCTTGTTCTAAAGTGCGTTGTCTAAAAGAGAAGGGAAAAATTGGATATGATATGTATGTCTATGCAGAAAATCAATGTCCCAAATAGTGTCAAGTCAGTCAATTGGATAGAATTCGTATGTTTATATTTTCTACAATTCAGTCACTTTTTAATGCGGTGTAAAATGCCCGTGCAATGCTCTGTAACTAATTTAATTTTACTAGCTTTGAATCAAGTCGTTATTCGTTTCTTTTTCTGAAATCCAGAAACACAGCTAAATCATGAACCACTTGTTATCCATGCAGTTCAAAACAAGGTCAGGAGATTTAAAGTTCCACTCATCCCATATAGTATACAATAAATGAAAACTAAATCATGAGATCATTAGTAACTAACTGCGAAGACTAAACCCGGGAGTTCTAGTGAGAATACGACCATGTTAGTAGCGAAGTATTTACTCATCAATAGCAACGGATAGTGATTGCAAAATATCATGAATTGATTGAAGTTATTAATCCAAACTACTGGATACCAACTCAGCGCTCTGTAAGTTAAACATGTGCCAGGAGGCTTGAGGATTTTGGGTTGGATTTCCGTTGGGTTCGTGGGTGTGCACTCCCGAGAAGTTCCATAATAAGACGAAACGGCTGTTTAGTGATCCTCGACTTTCAACAAACAACTGACTAGGGTCAGTTAAATAGAGAGCCAATCAGAAGTGGAGAAAAGGTCACACGATGGTAACCGAAAGTGACCTAAAGGTCAAATGCATTTCGGTGGGGTCAGTGGGTCAATCTTCTAAGGATAGTGGTATATATAGGAATGAGTAGTTGGGTATTTCACTCGGTATTCCAATACACTTTCTCGCTCACTCGTGTGTTCTCGCTCAAGTAGTCAGTTGGAGGGAGGTGGGTCAGCAAATCGCGTATTCTGTATCAGTATCAGATTTCGGACACCACACGTCACAAGTCAGTTTGTGATTGATATTACAAAAATACATCTATTGAGTGGCTCGTGAGATTATTGTCTAAACCTAAAATAGTCAATATCTTTATTCCGAAAATTCTAAATCGATACTCTTAGCATTATTAAGTTTATTATGAGCTTTTAACAACTTGGTAAAAATTTATACGAAAAACAAATTAGACAAGCTTGATGGGCCCAAACAACTGTTTAGGAAAAGCACTACTAACCCATAAATTACAGTAATGTTACATCGAAAAATCAACAGATGTACCATAAAAGTGAAAACTGTATTTACTTCAAAGTGGTTAAACGAAAAAAACTGATCGGTAACCCACAGTTGTGTACATTTTAAAGTATCTTCAAAGTAAGCAAATTTCTACTAATCAACTCACTGTGTATGTGCCGTTTGTTTCAAAGAACATGAACTGTTAAGTCTCAAAGATTACTGAACCATTCTAAATTTATCATGTTTCTATTAAATTATAAAGGGTTATTATTAAACTTGATTCTTTCTCTCGCCTTATTTCATCAACATATATGACCTTTCATTTTTGGATTTCCTTGTAACAATTGTTGCTGTAATACCATACCGCGAAGATTAAAGCAATGAATAGTTACATAGACTATTTGAGATGATCATGACCGGTAGACTGATTTTTACTGACGATAACTAAGCTCAAAAACGTGGTCATCGGACAACCGACCCGGTCCTCCATTGACAAAACTGCTACGCCTTACAGCTAAATAGATCTCAGTTTCATTTTATTTATAGAGTGCAGTTCTTGCATTCTATGTAAACGGATGATATACACTTGTCAGCACCTTATTTTTTTAGCTGTCCAGTCAAGTTTTTTCAACTCCATTCCTCTAGTTCCTCCAGAGAGTAGAAGATCGAACACTGCTGAAACTAGTTTCAAACATTGACAGTGAATATAATACGTGGAATGTAACAATCATAATGAATGCATAAATTATGAATGAGAAATTTTGTATTAGATCATATTCATTACTTGTTAAAACTAGTTTATAAAGAATGACGGTACGAATAAGTTCATACGAATTCATGATTAAAGTATGAATTTCAGATTTAGTTATAAATGATATTTAATAGAAGGTTAGAGATTATGAAATTACCTCGCTAAGGCTTTCGTACACACTGCTTGCCATAAATGCTTTAATTCACTGACCATATCATCTAATTCATCATGATCACATACTGGTGCTCTATCACGTAGTTGTCTAGCGTAACGACGCACTCCATCATAAGCCACAGTACGTGTGCTTAATGCTCGCTGTAATTCACGATGTAATGCTAATTGATAAGCGACTTTCTCAGGTCTTGTAGCGACACGATCACCATCTTCCTCCAATGAAGCTAAGTTTTCCTTTAACCAATCTGTTAACGATGTCCAGTTATCCAGAAAGTTACTGGCCTCCTAAAATTTAATCGAAAAGATCATATCACCTTTAAGTAGAATATCAAATCATTCGTCCGTTACTTAAGTGTTCCAGCATTATGAGCAAAAGTAGCCAGTCAATCTAAAACATACCAGCACATTTAAACTTTAAGGTGATTTTATATAACAGTTAGTCTACTCATTATTTTTGCCAATACTTGGATCCATTCTTTTCTTTCTGTTCAAGAAGGTCGAATAGTTCAAACTGTCATTTGCTGTTATTATTAATTCCGGTTAATTATCTACGTTTTCTTAGTTGTATTTCACTCTATAAAAAGCCAATTAGCTACATAAAGAATCCCACAGTTAAGAATCACTCATCAATACTGCACTTTCAATACTACTTAAACAGTAAAATTTGTACAAGTTTACGTGACGTGGATACAGAGTGATTCAGTCAGCGAAAAGCAACTTAAGGTCGGAAATAAACGTGTTCATGTATTCACTTTCGAAAAGCACTTCTATTTGGGAATCAGTAATACTAAGAGGACTGTCTAGATCAAAGTATATCAAGAGAATTTCAATTCTGGTGAATAAATCATGGAAGTCAAGTCCCCTAACCAATGTGCATACGTGCCAACAAAATTGCCAAAGATGAGGAACTAAACAACACATTGTAATTTGTTGAGTTTCAGGTTAGGAGCGTAAATGAAGAGGAAGAGTGAACATGTGATGTGAGATATTAAGGCACATAGAACACTACCTAGAAAAAAACCGGGGCATGTTTTACATAAGAAGAAAGAGAGTACTCATTCAGACGACTAAGAAAACTCATTGTCTTTTATTTTCATCCTGGATAGCTAAAATGAATCACGTAAACAAAATACTCCTTTATATTTGTCAGGATATATTTACCGCACTGACTATCATCCATTCATTTGCAAAGAAACAATATGTAGTAGACAAAACGATTTTTACAGGGAATAGAATATTCAGAAAATGAAAGAATTACCATGGTATTTTGGAAGAAAGCGGAAAACAACAAACTAACCTTCAGACCAGTGTTAAGTTGACGTGTACGTTCTGCACTACGTGAAACTAATTGCTCCCATCTAGTATGAATACTAGATAAAAGATTTTTTACCAATATTACATCTTGTTTTTGTGATTGACATTGTATTTGACTTGCTAAACGATCTAAATTAATTAAAGCATCACGATGTCCAGTAATTTCTTTACGTAATTCAGTGTGATCACGTATTAATTGAAATAGGCGAGCTACGATACGACTGACTGGTTTCTGTTGTAGTATAGTACGTTCCATTTGTGTAAGCCATTGCATCATTTGTGATAAATGATCATGTAACTCTTCGACTTGTTTTAAACCTAATTCCATACGGTCACGAATATCTTGAGCATGTTTTAACAACTGAGCATAATGGTCAGAGAAACGTTCAAGATTAGTAGTTAATTGATTACATGACTCTGCTGCTGACTGATTAACTAACAATGCAGCTGAATTTCGACGCAGTTCATCAAGCTGTTTACGTAGGAAAAAAGAATAATAAAGCACGAGTTAACTTAAGCATGCATAAACATATAGCAACTACCCTACCAATTAATTTCGGTTAATCCCTTTTATTAACTTAACAGACAATATATATATATATATATATATATATATATATATATATATATATATATATATATATATATATATATATATATATATATATATATATATATATATTAGCCTTTGCCTTGCTTAGCTGTGCACTTATTCGATTTGACTATAAATTTGCCTCTGTATGTATTTGCTCACATACAAATTCGCCAGTCTGCCTCAAATTCGCTCGATGTGCTTAAAGCTTTGTTATTCGTGCTATGCGCTAATAATCTATAGTTGCCACTTCTTATTGCCTTCTGATTTCAAACACCGTGAGATTTATATAATAACGGTGATTGATTAACGAAGCAAAGCCACTACAAATAAAATGAAGTAATTACTACTGTCTACAATAAGCATATGACAAATAGTTGAAATAAATACATTATTTACCTCTGATCCAATTTTTACAAGTTCATCATAAACTTCCATGAAGCGACGTAGCTGTTCACGTGCACTATCTGGTAAACCACCCATAATGCGTGCACCTGGTGGGGGCATTCGACTTTTTAACTGTCGAGTGCGACGTATAAGTTGATCCAGTTGACCATGAAAATTAAAGGTCTACAAAACAAAAAGATTTGAGATTATTTGAAATATTGATGTCTGTAAGAAAACTGCAAAAGTTGTACCGGAAGATATTTAACATGTTTGTTCCACGCAGTTCATTGGTAAGGTCAAATTTACTACATTTTAATTCATTGCCTTTTTCCGGCTTCTACTATGCAGTTAGAAGTTGTCTCCTACTCATCTTTATTTTGTCATCGTTGAAATAATGAAAACGTAGCTTGTGATATTTTCCAACAATTTACTTCCAAGATAGAGTGTCATCAATTATAGACAACGTCGAATGTACATTACTTATAATTCTCTTTTTCTTATTCAATTACACTATGGGTTATTTTAATTCTCTTTTAGTTAAACTAACATGAATTAGTCATAAACAGTTACTGCTTTGAGTGAAACAGGTTATTTAAAAAAACTATCTGTACAGACCATCATACCTCACTCAATGCTTCTTCTAATGCTGCTTGTTTATTGCGTACACTCAGTTTCAAATGTTCCCATGCTTTATTCATTTGAATAATTTTATCTCGGATATCTGATGTTTTAAAATCTGAAGTCTGTGATTTTCTTTTGACATCTTTATCAGTATCTACTCCAGAGGGTTTATCGATTTTGTTGCAATCAGCACGTTCTAATTTCCTTGCTTGTTCTTCTATTCTTACAACAGATAATTGATGACTGTTAATATTGTGATGAATTACCTTAGTGACAAAGTAAAAGAGAAAAATAATTAACCAAGAAAATTATAAAACTACATAACTCATAAATATTAAGCATTGATTAATAGGCAAAAATTCAGACTTGGTTACTTTAACTTCTGCAATGAAAACATCTTAAGTTGTTAGCATTGTAAACTGAGATCGTAATAACTGAGTGAGACTAAAAATATACTTAGTTGATGAATGTAAATAAGAACGGAAAGTTGATCAAGTGCATACTATTGATCATCTTTAGATTTTCAGGCTAAAACATTCTACACATACAGAAACTTTAATGGCTGAATTCATGAGTCGATTTAAGCCAGACCTCCATGGAAAACCTGGAAGAACTGGAAGGATATTTCGCCATTTGTATGGGACTCTTCAGCGGTGTGGGTGCGGGATCGTGGATGCGCACTGCTGAGGAGTTCCATACTAGAGCGAAACGTCCGTCCAGTTCTTCCAGGATTTCCATGGTAGTCTAGCTTAAATCGACTCATGAATTCAACCATTAAATTACTACAATTTCCACAAACTCACATACAGAAACGTTATATTTTAGTAACTATAGTTAAATAAGTTTAGTAGGGTTTATGGTATTTTAACAGCTTTTATGTTATTAAACACCCGCATGATTTAACCCTACTTCTGAACAGGCTTTATTAACTCAGATATTATTTGACTACCGGGTCATTTTTGCCTTCTTACTAACTCTATTGTCTTCATAGGAGATTATGACTTGCAGTACCACTACTTCATAGATTCATTTCCTTGTAAATCTATACCTATACATCTCATATATGCTCGTATATATCTGTACTCTTATTTCTTCATCAAATGCCTGTCTCCTTATTGCATCATGAATTATTTGCTGTTATTTTTACGTTTATAACGAGTAATATTTTAAGTAGATCTGTTTTCTTCACTTCTTATCTCTTCGTCTATCTCCCGAATATATGAAATACAGAGATCCGAAACATTCGTATTTGAATTTTTATATCCATGTTACTATTAGCGGGACTTGTCGATATAACATATACGAAATTGAGTAAGATATGTTTCAATAACATCAAGGTCATTCGATCGTTATGCAGTCAACAACAGGCACTAAAGCAAAATGCTGTGATTAGACATTATTATTTCATAACTAAAGTATACTGAATTATTAGTCAGTTAATTACATTACCAAATGAATTACTCTTCGAGAAGCTTTTATGCTTAGATATTTTTTTATGTTGACCTTTTCATGGACATCATTCAGTGTTGTCCTACTTAAAAAGAAGTTATACAATATGATGTTGAGAAGAGTTAAAATAACATCACATCATATTAGCAAATACATATTTTAAAGTAAAGAATATTTAGTTAACACATATAGAGCATACGCCAGCTTCTAGAAGAATATCTGACCCCAAAGGATATTTGACTAATAGACCATAACAACGTAATCCAATTTCTTAGCGAGTTCCTATACGTTCTGTATTATTGTAAATCAGATTTGCATTTCTGAATTCTAAACAGATATTATGCTGTATAACTTATAATCTACTTGTGTGTGAATAAATGAGTACTGAAAACAGTCTTGGTATTTTGAAAGTATGGAATAGTGTTTCACAATTTGCTAACCGCATCCCTTGTTAATTAATTTGAGAAAAAAGATCTTTTCTTTGCACTTAAAGTAGGCCACGTGTTACGTATGCCTGAACACCGATTACCACGTTGTGCAATGCTAACGGGTGTTAGAGATGGTTGGAAGAGAATTAGGGGCAGCCAAACCAAAACGTGGCATCAGTGCTTGAAGTTACTAACGTCTGATCTGAGCCATATTGGTAGATGCAGACTACTTGGTTGGGGGCCGCGTGACTGTCGTAACCAATGGTTGGAGACTCTGCGTGACATGGCTCAGAATCTATCACAATAGCGTAAGTGTATACACTCTCTGTCTTCCCTTAAACTAAGAGATTAAAATCACTTCATATCTTTCTTTCTACGAACTAATTCTTTCTTCCTGTACTATATCCTTATATGCAATCTTCCTCCTATATATTACCACCATTGACTTAACTACTTTTATGAATCCGGTGTTCATCTTGTTGTGCTAATGAGGTATGGCAACTTGGACCGATATATATATATGCCTGGTCTTACGTTGTAGCTGACTGACTGACTGACTTAAAGTAGGCTCAATAAATATAACTACTTGTAAGTAGTGTAGATATACTTAAAAACTTTTCAGGGGGTTGTTCATAATCCAAGATTTATGTAACAATCGTATGGAGTAGCTTATAAGTCTACGAAACTAGTAAATGAATATGGCACATTCAAAACTCATTACTTCATCTCCATTTTCAGTATCAATACGATTTAGGACCATAACATTGTACTGATAGCGTGTGATAAGTTTGACAAATAACTGTTTAAGTATGAATAGGTATGGCCAAAATAATAATTGTGATTATTATTCAAGCCAATTTTTATGTCCATAACCACATAAAACATAAAATAATATATATGAACACACACAGAAATAGGTACACATTAACACCATATCCCACATAGAGTAAATTATGCAACATCCAAGTGATTATCACACAAAATAAACAAAATAATATGAAAAAAGATAGAAAATGGGAGAAATGGGAGAAATGATGAGTTATTTGAAGTTAAAAAGATATTCAATCAAAATTAAATAGTCAAAAAACACATTTCTCACAAAATCAGAAATTCTAACTGGTTTTTAACTGAATTATAAACTTAAGTATTTAGAGATAGAGATGCTAAATCTATAGATTAAACTAATGAGGAATATTGGGATCGCAACTTTATGCTTGTTAGTATTGTCTCACTTTACGAACCTTGTGCCTTAGAAGTATTTTGAAACTTTTCCATTAACTCTGGTATATACTTCTCTTAACACGAAGATTTTTACACGAAAAGGCTACTCAATAGTATTATGAGTTTGAATTCATTCATTTCAAAAGCCTAATAAAATCATAACACTTGAAAAAACCCAGTCATTTCTGCTATTAAAAGTTAGTATCATCAACTGTTCGTTCACACAGGTTCATATTGAATTTTAATGGTGGACTAAACATTCAGGAAATTTCAACTTAAATGGTAGAATCAATTATTTGGCCGGATTAAGACGATATTACAAATGTGGGATTTAGATGGTGGTTGGAAGTAGTCAACAGGAAACTCTGGATCCGCGTTTCGTGCTACTTGAGACTCGTCAACAAGGTGTACCTGTAATCCTGAGGGAACTGGTGCTCCCTGGCGGATTCGATCTCGTGTCACCCAGCTTCACAGTCAGAGACGTTACCATTGAGCTATCCAACCATCATCTAATCTCAATATATAGTGCCCGCAATGTCGAGTCACCTAGTCTGGTGGCCACATTGCAACATGGTCGATATCATTCGATTTGCACTAATAAGGACTAGACACGCATGACATTGATCGCCACCCAGTGATCAATCAATTGTGAAATGTGGGATTTCTTTTTACCACAATCGCATATTACTGTATAGAGATTCTACGTTTAAAATATGAAGATATATATTATTAAGTCCTGCATCTTTTGAGAAATTCCTGTTTATAATATTCAAGAGTAGTTTGAATATTTCTATTATAATAAATTGAGAAAATAAAATGGGCAAATATTTTTTATAGTTTCTTGTCAGACTTTACATTACAATGAACTATATAGGTAATTGTAAGATATTTGTATAATCATTGTCACCATAATTAATTTCTAATTCGTGTATTATAATCTTGTTGATCATCAAAACAGTCTGAACGATCAAAATGGCTAGTTTTATTTTTAATTGTAAAACATAAAGAAAGTTTACTGAATTTAGATATTCAAGAATGATTTGAGAAATATGCATGAATTCCAGAAGACATTTTCTAAGTTAAGCAAATTGTTTGAGTAATACGTATGTTCCAGTAATATCCATTTTTTTTACAAAAAATGAATTAATAGGAACTGTTAACTAGATATTTGTATTACCAACGCGTATTAAGTAGTGTAATAACCCATCCGTCATAAAGAAGCAGTTTTTTTTTCAAAAAGAGATTGGTATAAATAGTAGTTAAATAAAGTGTTGATGAGAATTAACGTTACTACTGACTAAGGAAATTAAAATGATTTTCAAGCCATCAACACTTCACTATAATTAATATAAGCTTAGAAGATTTATAGCATTAACGTTTCTATCCCATTCGTTCATCATACTATCAATATAACAAAATAAATAAAAGAATGGTGAAATATTAACTACAAAAAGGTTATCGAACTCAAGAAACAAATGACTTACTTTAATGCGTGCTAAATCAGCTTCTAATCCTCGAATATTTGCCCGACGTATAGGTATTTGATCTACAGCTGTTTGCATTTGATCAATCCATTTAATTAATCCATCAATAGCACTTTCAAATTCACCTAAACCAAGTAGAACAGTTTGTAAACGATGACGTCTACTATTGCCGGAATCTAATAAATTGTCCCATCGTCGATTAGCTACAGTTAGATCAGATTGTAATGATGTAGTATTTTGTACTGGAAATGTTCCGTCATCGCCTGTAAAAAAATCAGTAAAATGGAATAAAATGTAATGAGCATGTAATGTGCATAGTAATTTATTGGATATAAAGTGTATAAATCGCTAATTCACTTCCGAGTACAAATTTCATAAAACTATCGGTCAGTCAGTAAGCTACAACGTAAGACCAGGCATATATATACATCGGTCCAAGTTGCCATACCTCATTAGCACAACAAGATGAACACCGGATTCATAAAAGTAGTTAAGTCAATGGTGGTAATATATAGGAGGAAGATTGCATATAAGGATATAGTACAGGAAGAAAGAATTAGTTCGTAGAAAGAAAGATATGAAGTGATTTTAATCTCTTAGTTTAAGGGAAGACAGAGAGTGTATACACTTACGCTATTGTGATAGATTCTGAGCCATGTCACGCAGAGTCTCCAACCATTGGTTACGACAGTCACGCGGCCCCCAACCAAGTAGTCTGCATCTACCAATATGGCTCAGATCAGACGTTAGTAACTTCAAGCACTGATGCCACGTTTTGGTTTGGCTGCCCCTAACTTTCTCCCAACCGTCTCCAACACTAGTCATACGATTATCACATATTAATCAAACAATAACGGTATAATACTCCGCAAATTACCAACAAGGTGGACAGAAGAATGGAAAGGATAGATTGTAGGGGCTGGTACTATGTCAAGCACACAGGTTATTCTAGCCTCTGAACAGACCAATCTATTTATTTTCCTCAAGCCACATTGTTACCCTGTGACTTATTTGTTTATCAACCTTGACTTTTGTTATTTAAGCGTACGTGTGTGAGTTGACTCACTCACCTTCGCTTTCCGATCAATGATTGTACAAAATATACGAATTCAAAAATTCATTCTCGTATTTCACTAACACGAGTTAAGTCGATAATTAAATGCGAAGATTGGCTACATATATAAGTCGATAACAATCGGTCATACGATCTAATTGGAGTCAGATCACGGGCCACCAAAAGATCTTGACGAAAGAGACTTGATCGTACTTCAAGGAAAGTCAGTGATGTGGACAATGCTATTGATAATATACTGTTTGCATTACATCGGATTACAAACAATAAAATAGTTATATATAAAGGATTATGGAACACTCAATCTGCAGCGATAAAGTAATAAGTCGAACGGTTATCAAATTATTCATAAAGTGACCCCAGAAACTAAAAAAACTACTGGTTCCGATAAAAAGCTAGAGTACATTCTGATTACGGTTTGATCAGAAAATATAGAGTTTTGTAAGGTCCTTTATTTTGACGCCGATTGGATCGAACGAGTGATTGTTGTCGACAGGTTGACTACATTAGTGGTGGCCCTGTATATGACTCCAGTTCGATCGTATGAATGATTGTTATTGAATTATACATCCCGGCTACCCTCGTATATGACCATCGACTTAACTCGAATTAGTGAATAACGGAATTAAATAACACGAATACGAGAATGAAGCTTGAATACATATATTTCACACAATCGTTGATCTGAACGGACAATCAGAGACTGAATGAAGGAAGTGAAGAGGAAAGAGCAAAGCGAAACGGATCAGAGAAGGCATGTGAGCTAACTCGATTTAAGCAAGTGTGAATCTATATTTATAGTTAAACAAAAAATAAGTTACAGACATGTGATGAGTAAGATAATAAATGCACGCACATACGATCATATAGAAAATAGCCAGGGTTACTAAGCCAATAAGTGATAGGGTAAAAATGTGGCTTGAAGAGAATGAATAGATTGGTTTGTCCAGAGGCTAGAATAACCTATGTGCGCTTGACATATTACCGATCCCCACAAGAGGACTCTAAATATCGTTGGTCATCCTCTTCATAATATAATACTGATTATTTTATGGTTGTGAATATGCTTCTGACATTTTGTTTTGTTACTTTGCAAACTTAATAAAAGTAATGCACAATGGTGTTGTATCATTTACCTTTAATAGTAGAAAACATTTGATTAATACTACGGATTTCCCCAACAAAACCACTTATTAATAGACATATTTTTGTTATATCCCAATGAATAAAAAAATCGTATTTCTGAGGTCTCGTCACTTGATGTAAGCCACTTCTTCAGAGTAAATAAATAACCGACATTAAATGAATACAAGTTTAAATAGTACATAGGAAACCACTTATTTAAAAGACAACAAAGTACATGGTCTGAATTAGTCATAAGTAAAATTGTTAATTAATTTTTCTTACTTGTATCATCCAAAGTAAAACGTTCATTATCTGTATTAGACATCAATTTTCCAGCTAACCAATTTAATGCTTCAACTTCGGAATGTTTATTCATTAAATTATCATTCCATTGAACAATTTCATCTAATTGTTTCGTAACAATATCAACATTATTTGATATAGGCTGAAAATTATCCCATACACTTTCCTGCTCCGTCAACCATTTTATTAAATTTATTAAATCAGACTAGAATAAAAAAAAGATTGGGAAAAAGGCATATATATACATGATGCTTGCATCATTCGCGTATTTTTCCCCTATTTGTATATACTACTTTATTAACACTTAAGTAACTACGAATATACAATGAAATTTGGAGTGTATCTATTGTGCTTAGACTTATTAATCCGGTAAAATTCAAGTGAAACACTTGAATTTAATGTATGATATGATGCTAAGTTATAATAATTAAGATTTTTATGAGATGGAAACTTTGTGTGGATGTAGTTCATATATGTGATTCTTTACATAAGTCAAGGTAAATAGGTTTTGCTTAAAGTTTTATTACTGAAAGTACCGACTTTTTAAGACACGGACTGGCACTTAGAGGGGGGGGGGTAACATTTGTGAAGAAACCTTCGAAAAGTTACATCATTTGGACCCATAATTTTAGGGGAGCTCCTTTTTATGTTCTGTCAGTAAATTATAGAGGGCACTCAAATGATTAAGTTTGTTAGTGTAATTACGATTGTGTCTACGGACAAGGATGTGTAGACTGTAAGGCATTGTATAGTCTGGAGTCTGAATTCGTGACTCGTGCCAAAGAACATTTAATCTATACAAAAGACCTCTAAATAATCTCGCAAAACTAGAATTTCTACAAATTAATTTAGAGCTATCAATACATTCTATCTTTAAAAACCATCAACTCGATATTAATTATATCAAGATAATTAAAAAAAAACGTTTTCTAATTATAAGGAAATGCGATTGGCTGAAGTATTTCAAATTTCGTTAAACGAAACCGCGCTTAACGATCCATCCTTTATGGACCATTTATCAATACAATTAATCCTATTCACATCTAACATCATAAACAAACATACAAACATATAAATATCACATTTTCCACACTCACTAACACATACACAAATACACACAGCTAGATCGCACATAGAATAACCATGATCAAAATAACTTGGTCAAACATATTCAATTTTGATTATACTAAAGATATTCTGTTTTGCTTTCTTTGTACTACTTAAAGTTGTGTTAATTTAATTTGTTGCTTATTATTGTTATTCTATGAAGAATTGAGCTATACTACATCACGGAACGTCAATGAATTTAATTTTCTACTCATTGGCACTTAACAAATATATTATAGAAAACACTTACTTAAGCCTGTTACCCCTCGTGGAGGAGCATAGGCCGTCGACTATTATAGGAAACAGGTGATGAATAATTTTAGCATTGGAACTAAGAAATGAATGTTAGCAAGAATAATGTGTTTTTATGTAGATTTTCAACAGAGTTTGGTTGATGCTTCATGTTTCCTGATGAGATGCACAAAGAATTAGCTGTAAGGTATGACAATGAAATCATAATTTAAAGTATCTACAGTTAGAGGGCTTGAAATGTTATGGTCGTTCTTCACAACAATTGGAAACTTTGACAAGGATGTGTTTTGAATACTGCGCATCATTTATGAAAATCATCAGTCAAAGTATCGTATTCAGAAGATTGATGAAACCAAGCTAATTAGCACAAATATGTCTATTATGTAAGTAATAAGCTGACGATAGAAGTTTACAGGCTATGTTGGGAAAGTGACTAAATGAGTTTCATAGTCTTCAAGACAATTGAATGTGAGGTTGAAGGAACACAAACAATGTTTGAAAAGTGTTCTCAAATCCTCGGTTGACCTAAAGAAACTTGAGAATAAGTCGGCGATAGCGTTGGAAACATGACACAAGATCAATTTTGAAGGGACGAGAATACTTCAGAAAGGTTTTAACACTCACAAGGAAAGATTGACAACAGAAGCACTGTATATATGAGCAAATAATAACAATATGAACAGAAAGGATGGTATTCAACTACATGGCAAATATTCGTTAACAAGTAATTGGACCTTTTCTCTATCCAACCTGTTTATTTTACATGCATCGTTATTTTGACTGAAGTTAATGTGGGTTATTTTAACAATACAATTGTGTATTTAATTGAAATTATGAGTCAATTGAAGCTAGACCGCCATGGAAAATCTGGAAGCACTGGACGGCCGTTCCGTTATATTATGGGACTCCTCAGCAGTGGGCGTCCGCGATACCGCACCCCGCGGGATTCGAACTCAAAGCCTATCAGTCTCGCGCCAGGCGCTTAACAAACTAGACCACTGGGCCGGCATCTAATGGTGTTAATGTCTAACATCAACCAATCCACGAGATTGCGCGACCATCTGCCATTGTACTGGGGCAGACACCTGTTTCCACCTGACGCGGATTAACTCCACTGGTCACGGCTTCTCACCAGAACTCCGAGAATGGTCGCACAATTTCGAGCATTGGTTGAGGTTAGACATTAACGCCATTAGATACCGGCTCAGTGGTCTAGTTGGTTAGGCGCTTGGCACGAGACTGATGGGTCCCGGGTTCGGATCTCGCGAGGTGCGGGATCGTGGACGCGCACTGCTGAGGAGTCCCGCAATAGGACGAAACGACCGTCCAGTGCTTCCAGGTTTCTGATGGTGGTCTAGCTTCAATTGACTCATGATTTCAATCAAAAATTTAACAATCTCCACAACCCCTAAACTGATAACTGTGTATTTGATAATTTTCATTTTATAGGCACATCGATGATTCAGAAAATGATTTTTCAACCTTCAACTTGCACTTTTATCTTTCCTTCATATAAAAACAAGTTAACACAGAATATCTAATATTAATAACTCAAACTTACACAGACATAAACACTCACATACACACAATTCATTCAGTTATTTATTTTCACATCGTGAACTTTTCACATAATTCGCATTTAACTGACCAATGTTATCCTTTTTACTAAAGTCAGCATCTAAATATGATTGGATTAACACAGTATAGATTTGATCTGATTTGATTATTAAAACGCACAGTTCTCTTTAAAACGCTATGTGTTTCTTTGATGATTTTGAGTGTTATCCTAAAGAAGTCCAGACAAGTGTGCTGGACGAAACGTTGGAATAATTAAAATTTCAATCACTGAGATTATTTCAAATATAATTTTCACATATAATGAATATTGAGAAGAGTTTAACAAATCAATATAGACTAAATATGATCACTTCTTTAAAAAAAAAGAATTATTTATTGACCTACCTTAAACTGTGAGGCACATAATTCACGTTCATTGAGTTGTTTAATTAAACATTCACATTTATCAACAAGATGTTCCTGTGATACTTTTAAGCCATGCAAAGCATAATCAACTTCATTACGTATAGCTTGTTCTTCATCTCGTCTTAAACTAAAGCTATCAGTCATTATTGTTGGCATTAGTGATGTTTGTGATAGCGATGATGGTATTGAATTGTCAGTCATTTGTCCATTAATTAAATTAATCAATTTCTGACCAGCTTCATAGGATTCATTCAATTGTTGACTTATATCATTCAATTCTTCTCTTAATTCAAATAAATCTTTACATTGTTCTTTATAACTATTTGAATCAAGTGGATCACGTCGAATACACGGATCATTTAAACTACAACCTGATCCGATAATATTTAATGATTCTTTAATTTTATCTAATCTATTTCTTAGATCTGAAATAATTGGCCAAAATTGTTCTGATGATGTTTTGTAAGCTGATTGTAGTGTAATTACACGTGAATTTAATTTGTTATGTAATTGTATCCAATCTGTTTGAAGTTTTTCAGCATTTTTCAAAACTAATAAATAATAATGATAAATAATAAGAAGTAGAGTAAAGAAAACTCTATGAATCTTATTAGAAAGAAAATACTATAAATATTAGAACTTTTCTTACTATGTGGTAATGAATTTTTGAGACTAGTTGACCTAAAACTATATACATAACAGTCTCAGGAAGATACACATATTACAAATATAAGTTATTTAATGGTTGTGAGGAATCAATTATAAATCTTACAGAAGCTATCGTGGTCAACAAGAACACAAACGGTGATGACTAGATGTATTAGAGCATGAAATTACACAATCTCTTAATAAAATCTGAGAACCACACAATAAATACCTTATTTGCAAAATTTCCATTAATTGTTTCGGAATTTATTTTTTCTTCATTTCCATACCAATCGCTTTCTGTTCTCGTTCTCTTCTCTTCGATCTTCTCAATCTTCTGACGCCAGGCGTCCCACTTTCGATTGGTAATACATACTACTTATATTTGTCGACATCAGTAGCACACACCACATAATAATTATTCCTCTCTTTCAATACTAATTTATATGAATAATGATGGTAGCATTCATGTCAGTTTTCATCAAGGATGAAAGTCAACTGACGTGCCATTGAATGGAATGAAGCGTTGGAGTGGCTACATTCTATGCTTCAAAATAATGTAAACTCAAATAATCTTCCATTAAAATAGTTTTATACTCTTTTCAACTAGCTAAATTTTCATGATAATCCCGGCATTAGTGTGATGATATAAAGTTATAAGTGATTGTTCCTTTTTTAAAGTCGAACTGAATTATATTATCGATGGTTTAGATAGAAACTAACTATGCCTTTTTCGTCTTATTTGAGGCTCATTAGTTGAGAGAAGTTGTGATCAAAGTATTGATGTTTTGAATGGCAAGGGAAACAACAACAGAAATAACGAAGACGAAAACAGTAAAATAGCAACAACATGAAACTACAAATACTAGTGCATGACCGGGATAAATTCGACTTATATTATTTATTCGTTCTCATGAATATACCAGACAATTCTAGCGACTCTACAATAACTCCTATATGAGTTTATTCCAGTTTGTGGACAGACGAGTCATTGAGTATTCTGTACACCTTATATTCAGCTTATTTACTTATTATTTACTTTTCATCTTGAGCATATTTATACGTGTGCATACTAGTACGTGTGTGTCATTTTATTTACTTGTATTTCTTAGATTGGGTATAAAAAATTAGTGTGTTATCAAATCCAATGATCAACCTATTCACTACATCTCTCATTGTTTGTCTGCTTCTTAATGTTCGAATGTATGAAATATATGTATCCAGAACACACTTTGTATTTAACTTATTTTATACTGTAATTACTAATGCGTCTGAGTAAGTGCACGTATACGAAGTAATAAGATCTTATATTCTATTCGCCTTTATTTAACTGGAGTCAATTAACGACTAGAGAACACCTTTTAACTACATTTAAATCATGAGTCGATCTAAATTAGACCACTATTCAAAATCTGGAAGAACTGTACGGCTGTTTTATACTAGTATGGTACTTCTCTAGGTTTTCAGTGTTGATCCAACTTAGATCAATTCATAATTTCAAGGAAATTGAACAATCTCCACGATGCCATACTGACTATCTAACTAATCGTGTAGAACAAATATATACACACAAACACATTCACATGTACATATTTATAAAATGAAAGGGTGCATAAACATAAAAAAGTATTCTTTTAACAGCATTTCAGTACAAAAACAAAAATGTTAATAAAGGAAAAATTACAACAAATAATAAAGTAAAACAAAATAAAATCCCCATCCATTGAAATTATAAGGTATCGATAAGTAATCAGTACATTTAACATGCAGACCCTTTAATTGAACGTAGGGATGAGAAATATGTTACAATTGAATAGTTAAAAGGACTGATTACGGAAAATTCTAAAACTGCACAACATTTATGAATTGGTTTAAAAATAACGAGAACAAAATAGTGATTATATGTTGATAAACCTCGATACATATAAACAGACTGGATAGATATAAGAAAACGACTACTTTTTTCATCAAGAAAAACGATCATGTACAAAATGACATAAACGACCTCTGTCGAGAATAATTATTCGAATAATCAGAATCCTCAATAGTGAAACATCAAAAAAAGGATATACACGTAAACTCAGCACTACTTAATAATCCTCAGTAGTTTGAGAACATTTGTTGTATTTTTAACTCAATGAACTACCTATCCCATCCACTTGTGCTTTTATTCAAATATTTTTGTTTATCTTTTACTTGTAACAGTATCTCTTTGTTCTTTCAGAATGTATTCCTTCTTTCGAATTTCATTCCTTGAAGTTCAATTTACCTTGGATGTCTTGCTTAATTGTGGAACAACGTTCATCTATTTCGTGTTTGTAACTAAAATTCATACTTGACGTATTTGTGTATTATTTTTCGATATACTGTATTCACTGAAAATTCATTATCCTTCACTTATTTCATAGGTGAAATTTCCCTCTGACTGTTTTTCTGTCGGCTACGCCAACAAACTAACACCTTATAATTTGAAGTTTGTGAAAATTCAGAATTTAAGTTGATTTCCACAGTGGTCTAATATTTTTGGGAACATCTCATCTTCTGACTCAGATTATATACATGTATATAGTAATAAGTCACTAGTACCAACGGATAGCCATCAATTTATATCACTAACCTACTAAATTTGAAAATGTGGATCATCAGATCAATTGTTAATTTACTCGCTGCAACTCTAAATAGTTTGTATTAAATCCTATGCGTTGTCACTAGCGTACGCCAATGAGGAGCTCTAAACCAGAACAAAACAGTTATCTAATACGTCTTGATTTCTAACGGTTTTCTGGCTAACTGCAGTATGATGTGAAAATTATATTTACACAGTTAGTTTTGTGTTAATAACATGTGCTTACATTTAATTATTAACCATTAAATAAAATTACTATCACCAATTAAGCATGCTTTTAAATGAATAATAGACTGTCGCAGTCATTTCATTCAACTCTATAACCATTAAGAAAGAATATATGCATATCTATAAATGTATACTAACAGAAAACAAAATTATCTAAATTATACAAAACATGCACCATAAATGCTTACTGGAACTATGTAAAGCATACAATTGGCCTGGAAAATAAATACGTTGCGTAAGTTTAGAAAGAGAAATAGTAGAACAGTCAGAAGTTTCCACTAAACCTGACTGAATAGAATAATTTGGCTTGTACAGATAAACAAAATTTAAATTTTAACAATTTTTATTTCCGAGTAGTATCTGACGTACAATTACAACATAATCCCGAACATCTAGGAATAGTGTTTTACTGGAAGTCAGTAACTTTAATTTCTGAAGTTACAACACCCAGTATTTTTAAGCTAGCTAATCGGTAAGTAGTACTGGAGTTCTCTAACTCAGCGGTGCTTCAAACCCTGATATAATAAACAGTAAATACTTTTGAAATGTATGCGATTTTCAGGAAAAGTCCCAGAGTTCAGCAAAATTTTCAGAGAATCAATTCAATAAATAATGTGAATAAGTTGTTCAGTTTGTTGTTTACATTATGGACTGACTTTAGTTAGACAATCACTGAAAATCTGGAGTACTGGACACCTATTTCGTTCAGGTAGTGGACTCTTCAGTACCGCTTTCAGATGAACCTCGTATGAACCAATGTCTATTTGAGAGAGGAAAGAATACGTTAATTTATCTACAGAACATGAGCAACACTGAAGAAGGGACTATGGAGAATACAATACAACAATCATACTAACCTGCTTCTAAATCAACCGATTCAATTAATTCAACTGTTCCTGGTTCACGTGTGGTAGTCGACTCTTTGACAGTTGGTTTCGACTCCAATTGAGCACGAATACTAATAGTAAGTGCTTCCAATTCCGGTAAACGACATTCCAATGCTTCCATAAGAGCAGATGTTCCACTAATATGTTCTTGTAAATGATCTGGTTGAACACTTGTCATTGAATGTATTCGGCCCAACATATCTAAAGCATGATGTTGGTCAAGTAACTGTTTTGAACTTTCATTTTGAACGTTAGATAATATGGACGGTTTAACAGTTGTACCAGATACTTCCAGAGGAACACCTAGTCTAACAGCTTGTTCTGATATAGCAGAAAACAGGTCTGACATTGAATTTAATTGCTCGACAAACTGAAATATTACAGGAAAGACATTCACACAATTGTTAAACATGAAAATTATGATACATTTGAGGAAGTACACAGTTATATTATCAATATCAATACTATTAATTGTAGTAACTGTCTAAGTTCAAATCTATTCATTCAATTTTAAAATATTCTAGATTAAATCATTGAGGAACAAAGAAAGATATAACACTAGATCTATACTACACCTTATCATTTATAAAACAACGTAAGAGATTGTGAAGTGATATATTACCAAATGAGATATTATTGTAATTCTACCAGGTAATTAACCGTTGTTCTTCAGCTGAAAAAAACGTACGGTTAATTTTTTCTTCAACCATATTACTTTAAGAAAAAAAGGCAGAAACTTTTCTAAATCATTCAAGAGCGTATGTAATACAGACAATATTAGAGATGTTTTTTTCTTCACTGTGTATAGTAGAAATAGATGAAGATGTACAACATAGAACAAAACTAATACACAAACTTGCCTCATCTGATTGTTTCAAATTGGCTTCTGCCTTGATTGCACGAGTTTTAATCAATTTACGTAAATTAGCATAATGATCACAGATTTGTTTAACTTGTAAACGAACAGTATTAGCTTCATTTGGAGCAATTAAAGATAATAATGGTCCACTTGTTCTTAAAATTCTATCCAATACAGATTTTTGACGTTCAATCTCGTCATCTAAATTCTGAACATAAGAATTAAAAAGATATAAGAAAATATTTATTTACACTGAATAGTCATTGAGCAGTTAAGTGTATCATATTCGTTTGATCTTTAATGCTGATCATATATCATTGATCAATACAACCACTAGTCTAAGGGACTTTATATTGAATGTTAGATGATAATAAATTAGTTCCTATATTTTGATTGTTCAATGATATTTCTAGAGTTGGTATTTCTTGTGTTAATATAAAGAAATAACTTTCAAGAAGTGTGGTTCAGTAATTTACACGGCTAATTATCATTCTCAGGAATTTTTCTTTTCAAACTTATTACATTTACACTTACTTCAATGTATATAGCCAGGTAGTAACATGCATATTATAAGACTTATAGGATAGAATGCTGTAATGTATGTAGTTAATGATGTGTTTATTTTAACAAGATTTCTTAAACCTAAATAAACAGAGTTCTAAATTCTAAAAATATCTGATATAATCGTATCCAACTCAAATTATTGATGATATTTAGTGAAATGATTTAATAACCTAAAAACCTATACTTAACAGTGATCCGAAAATTGTCTATTACAAAATAAGCAATAAACATAAGGTATAGATTAATTATATCATGAACTGAAAATAAATATTTAATACAATTTCTTATAAACCAATCATCAGGGAAATAGGATTACGCCTAGATTTACATGTATATCCAATGGCGATGCAACAACAACGCACTGAAGAGCCTTATAAAAAACATCGATAACGGTTAAAAAATAAAGAATATATAGTTAAGTTTTAGTAGCTAAGTATTTTTCCAATTGATAGTTCTAACCCTATAAGAAGTAAACCAGTGTAACTGTGACTCTTTTATTGCTCCCCTCCAATTAAACAACTTAGGTAATAAGTTATACTGTGGAAACGGTCACTGCTTGCTAACTCATGACATAAAATTAGGCCTTCAAGAAATCAATAGGAAAATAGAGAGACCCGAGGAAATATATACAATTTAAAGTGATGATACATATAATGTTAAATTCTGCTAGTTTATTCCAGGTAAAATAGATTTTATGTACAACAAGCTTCCATTTGACGATGTCTAGTGATTCGACACTTCAAAGTATCATGGAACTGTGGAGGATATTTTGTGAGTTCCATTTCAGTTAATAAATGAATGATAAGGGATTTGTTGAGTGGTTTCATGTACATAAATTATCCTCATTCATTTCAGTAATTCGATTTGATTAGACTAGAATATATCAGTATTTTGGAATTTTGTTAATATTTTTAGTCATTGACTTCAGATAACTAACGAATTCGTCTTTCAACAAAATGAATCAGTTATATTTCAATTTAAAACACTAGAAGTTACCTTAATCATTTCAATTCGTTTACGATTACCTCCTAAATCATCAACTGTAACACTGGAATCTGATAAATTGTCAGCGATTTCATTTTTTGCTTCTTCAATATGTTGAAGCCAGTTTTGAAATTCATACATATCAGTTGTAAAACATTTAGCTAATGGATAAACTTCAGCAAATTTAATTTCTGTTTGACTTAACCGATTATCAAGTGTTATCATTTGTTTTGAAACACTAGACACAGCATCACTTAATTCATGATAAAATTTATCCGTTGTAAATGGTACGAAAGATTTGTTTGTTTTTATAGGCGATGATGATAATGATGATTTTATAGCACTATTCTGATTAGTAGAACTTGTTGATAATGCAGATGATTGTATTATATCATGAATTTGATCGCATAATTGAGTTAAATCAATTTGATATTTTTTCCAATTCCCTTGAAATTGTTCTATTCTTTCATGTAGTTTATCTAACATAACAGGTTGATATGGTAGAACAGCTAAATAAGGAAATTCAGTACCAAGTGAATGTATAGTTGGCATTTTTTCCAATGATTCATTAATTATAAAATGATTTTCATCAGAATAATTATCCCAATCTAATGATGGTGCAGTGGATATTTTCGGATCAAAACGTTTCAACGCTAAATCTAACCATTGTGATTTGATTTCTAATTTATGCATTAATTGTTTAGCTTTTTGACGATTACTACCAACAATTTTAGCTAAATCGGTAAGCTATGTACAAATAAAAGATAAAAATAGACAAATCAATCAACATAGAATAAACAAGTAGGATACAGTATGAGATTTTATGACATGCACTGACTTTCGCATAGTACAATGATGAATACTACTTGCTACTTATAAGATATTTTGTTAACAACAGATTCATGGAAAATTGATGTTGACCTCATTAGTTTAAATAGTTTTTCGACTATATGTCCGATAGCTAATCTAGCATTTTCACATTTGTCCACCTTCGTACGCATTATAAAATACTATTCCTCACCATTGATATTATTTTCTTTTTCGTTAATCAACAGTCGGGTTAGGACATGTCATCCAAGTAGAACATTCATTATTGTTTGACTCGATCATATTAAGTCGTATTTGAAAGTAAGAAATGATCGTGGGGTTACTAATGAGTTGCTTTTCGATGAATTCCTTAGTGAGAGATCATTGCTTATGAATTTAACTGGGTAGCGAGTGAGATAGCAGCCAAATGAAAGTGTTAGGTGACAATATCTCTACGGTGAAAATTGACTGAATTTCAAAATGCAGACCAATAGATTCCGAATCAGTGACTTAAACACTTTGTGCTTGTCACGAGGCGTGAAGCGTATAATTTCCATTCTGTGTAGGGTCGTAGATGTGTGATGTTTGACAATGTCAACTTAAGACGACACAGATATTCATAGCTCTCTAGTTTTCAATATTTCTGCTACTGGGTCAATTAGAAGTGAAAGTTATGCTTAACAAATCGTGTTGATGAGCTCTTGCATTCTACTGTGGTATCTATTTTGAATGACGAACAATATTACATTTATGAATTCGATAAAGTCTTTGATAGAATGGAATGCAAAATATAACACTAATTTAAACTAACCTTTTCATTGAATTCATCATATCGTCTTAATTCATTATCGATTTGTTCTACATGTCCAAGTCTAGCATCTGAATGATTAGGGAATTGTGTTGTTGTCAATGTTGAAGGATTAATAAACAGATCAATAGGTTTACATATTTGTTTTAATTGATTCCAAAGACTATGAACTTGTTGATATTGTGGTTCTAGTCCATTGATCATTTCATATTCTAATTGATCTATCAATGACTTTTCTAATTGGGCTGAAGAGACGTCTTTTGTATTGTTTTCTAGTAATCCATTAAGCCGTGATTCAACATTAAGCAAACGTGAACTAAGCGTATTCACAGAGGATGTTAAAGATTGCGCTACAGGCAAAGCAGATTCTAAAATAAACAATTTTCGTTTTGTATCTGATTGAAGTTCTTCATAAATATCACTTAGATTTACTAATCGATTTTGTATAGAATCTTCATTTACAAGAACTATAGTGGAAAGAAAACATGGAATAAAGTTTATAATGATGGTAATTACTCATAATTTTCTTATACTAACATATAAGTTTATTTTAAACTACTTAATGACTTTGATCTTTACGTCTAATAACATCTTTGTTGAATAGATAAATTCCATTTTGTTTGAGTTCCTGTGTAAACATTAACACTGGAATGCAGGTACATCCGGCTAACGAGTCCCAAATAGAAGGAAACATGTGTACTGGATTCTACTGTCATTATTATTATTATTACAATTATTACTAATGGTCACAATCTATTTACTCTAAAAGATTCAATTTAAATTTATGCCTTGTATCTTAATGTGTAGATAAAATCTAAGTGGTTTGAGGAGTTAAATTTTAAACACAGAGTAATATGAACTTCCTATTCACTTCATCTGCTAATTTTTGAGAAGCCAGGTAGTTTCTACTAGACATAATATAAAAGAATTCAATTAAACTATTTATTTCAACAGTTGAGATCATGAGTCAATTGAAGCTGGACCACCATGGAAAACCTGGAATCACTGGACGACCGTTTCGTCCTATTATGGGACTCTTTAGCAGTGCGCATCCACGACCCCGTCTCGCGGGATTCGAACCCAGGACCTATCAGTCTCGCGTCAGATGCTTAACCAATAGAATACTGAGCCGCCACCCAACGGTGTCAATGTCTAACATTAACCAGTCCGCGAAATTGCGCCGCCATACACCACTGTCTTCAGTGAGCTGATATCTCACAGAAGACCTGGTTGACCTCCATACTAGGACGAAACGGCCGCTCAGTTCTTCCAGGTTTTCCGCGGTGGCCTAGCTTCAAATGACTCATGATTTCAACTATTGAAATTACTAAAATCCTCCACAAAACCCCTTCTGAAAATATCATTATTTAAAAATAAATCATTGTACTACTTACATCTACCTGATTCACATAAGTGTTCACCGCTTAATTTAATCTCTTCAATAGTTGTGTGATAATTTTCAATGTCTTCTGATAAACTCTGAAAATGAAAAACAAAACAATGGTGAAAACAGTAAAAAATTGAATAAACAGTAGACATGGAGACAACAAAGAAATTTTAGTTAAAATAAATTATCTTATTCCGTTAATGTTTACAAAAAAAAACAAATAATTCGAGAACAGATACTAGGATGAGTTCGAAGGATATGTAGTGTTGGTTACTGTGTTAAGCCCATACACCATATTCTAGTTTCTGGACAGGCCAGTTTATCCATTCTTCTTGAGTCACGTTTTGACCTTGTTGATTATTCACTTATCAGCCCTGACTGTTTTTTTATGCGCACATATGTGTGTAAACTTACTAAATTCATTCATCACATATTTGGCTATAAATATTGATTAACTCTTGATTAAATGGAGTTGGCTTACACGCCTTCTCCAGTGCGCGTCATTTTGTTTCGCTCTCTTCTATTCGCTTCATCTCTCACATTTCCTGTCCAGATCAGTGAGTGTACAAAATATGTGTATTCTAAAATCCATTCTCGTATTTGATTTATTTAATTCCGTTATTCACCAACGTTATTTAAGTCGATGAAATATACAAGGATAGGCGACATATATATTTTAATAGCAATCATTCATACGATCTAAGTGGAGTCAGATCCTGGGCCACTAAAAATATATGGTGCATTTCGTTTCGCCTATTCAACAAATAAGAAATAATATATATGAATTGAAATGACTTCATTCTTTGCATCAGTGTAATTTAAATCGATCACAAGATCTCCAGTTGCCAAAGATTAAAGATAAACAGAGTAATCTTCATCACTATGTCTATGGTAAATCTAAAGTGAAATCGTGAAAATGAATATATCTGAAAGGTATTAATTGCTTTCATTATATAGAACTACAAATTTTTATAAGTTCTAACACGACTTTGCAAGGTTAAATAAACTGCTTTTGTAACATAATATATATTTTTGAATATTAGTTTCGTGGGGATATATGAACAAAGGATGAATATGATGATGCAATAAAAAGATTACAATACTAGATTACGTAATATAAATAATGACAATAAAAGTTAACAACGGATTATGATATGAATGGAGTAAGATAATTAGAAAAAAATTCTAATATATAAGTACAATTGTACAACTATGTAATATATTTTATTAAGCACTATTCCTATAATCAAATATTAAATAAACTTAACATGTTCTGTCAAGATCGCAGTTGAATAAACTCATGCTACTATTAATTTGAATCCTAGTAGAAGGTCTATTCTCCTCCATGAGATGTAATAACCGCATATAAGTCAGTCAGTCAGTAACAACGTAGAACTTCGTATGTACGTACATCAGTTCGAGTTGCCATACCACATTGGCACAAAGATACAGTTGTCGATTCAAATCCCGTAGTGTTAGAGGTAGTAAGAGTATAAGCAGTAATCCGAAAGATTAGTGTTTGAAGATGTTATTCAAGGAGTATAATCCAGTCAAATAAATTCGGAAAGAGAAAAAAAGAAAGGGACATGATAAATTCAGAAGATTAGAATTTTGGAGAACACAAAGAGTGGATGCACCTGCGCCATTGCAAACGATTTTGAGCCATGTCATTCAGGGTCCCTAACCATCGGTTGCTATCATCTCGCAGTCCCCAACCAGGTAGTCTACACCAACAACATGGCTCAGTCGACTTGTCAGTGACTTCATGGACTTGTGCCATGTTTTGGTCTGACCGCCCCTAGCTTTATTCTAATCTACTCCTATACCACAGAACATCGCACGTCGAGGCAGTCGGTAGTTGGGCATACGTAACACGTGTCCCAGCCATCTCAACTGATGAAGTTTCACTACTTCATCAATTGATTTTCCACCCTTACCTAGTACCCGTTTCCTAACAACTGCGTTAATTACTCGATGGTCCCAGGATATACGAGTAGTGCTTCGAAGATACCTATGATCAAATACTAGTAACCTACGAATATCCTCTACTCTTACCATAAGTAAATATACTTATATTTAATGTTATATATCTAAGCAAAAGAAAAGACAAGGGATTATTAGAATAAAACTATAAAAGTAAATTATTCCAATCATTTTATAATATAAACATGTAAAAATTCATTCAATATCAAAATGAATTCATAATAAATTTTAATATTAACAAAATATAAATATTTCAATAGTTTAGATCATGAGTTAATTGAAGCTAGACCATACCATGGAAAAATCTTCAAGCACTGGACGGCCATTTCGTCCTATTTTGAGATTTCTTTTCCATGATGGTCTAGTTTCAATTGACTTATGATTTCAACTATTGAAATTACTACAATCTTTACAAAAACCCTTTTCTAATACTAAAATATAAATAATTCAATAAATAAACTTACTTTTAATTGTTTTAATTTTTCATTTAAATCAATTAAAATTGTTGTATTACCTATTGTTGTATTCGTTATTTGTATTGATTCATTTAAACAAATTTGTTTTTGTTTTAACCAATTTAATATTTGATATATTTTTTCATTAAATAATTTTTCATTTTCATTAAATAAATGAAATTTATTTAAATTAAATTGTATTTCTTTATAAACATAATTATAATCATTTTTAATTAATTGTTTTTCATTATTTAATCTATTATGAATTAATTTATTTTGTATAGATTGAATTAATTGATCTAATTGTTCAAAATGATCTAATCTTGCTAATATACGACTATTTAATGTATGATAATCATCGATTATTGATGTAATCATTTCTTGATTAGATGATGATGATAATTGATTTGAAAGTATATGAAGATCATGTTGAACCTAATTATGATAAGCATAAAAGGATTGTTTGATAATTAAACACTTTGAAAAGAAAATTGGATCAACTGAAAGACTACTATTGTCAGGATTAACACAGTCTATCTAACCTACTGTCCTTTCCAAGCTGAAACTGATTTAAGGAATATATGTAGAATTTCCAGTTGAAATCAAAAGTTAATCTACGCTAGACCATCATTTTGTCCTAGTATGAGATACCTCAGAAGAGTGCATCTAAGATCATGCATGCACGTGAACACTGAACCTTTTAGTCGATTGCCTGAGGTGAATAACTGTCTTAAATCTGACACGGATTGGACTCCAATGATCATGGCTTTTCACTAGGACTACAGGAGTTACATCTTGAGGCTAGTCACTAATTAGAACATGAATTGTTTAAATCGAGGTATTGTAATTAGTAGGAGAATAATTTCGGAGATTGTTCAGGAAGACTAAATTCCTCTTTATTTACATTCCAATTACTTCATATCATAACAAGGTACATTTAAGAACTTTCGGAATCGTTTTTAAACTGTTGTTTGTTAACTTCTATCTAGAAATTCAAGTGATCCTGATTACATTAACGATTATTTAGTGGATGTATGTATGTATGGTAGTTAGAAATGAGTGTTGTAAGGCCTAGAACTGACTTGCCTAGTATATGTACCATTAAGAAAATATTAAGAAATTTACAAAAAAGACTGGATTCAATAATGATAATTGACAAATCTTCTGACTAAACGCTTGAATTAGTTTCCTAAGCTCTTCTAACAACCTCAGGCTAAATATACACAACAACTTGAACACGAGAGAAAAAGCGCGAATTATGGAAGGAAATCTTTACTCCGAGGTTAGTTTGTGTACAGAAAATCGAGGGTATTTATAGCATTTCGGATGGCTTTGGGCTTTTGGAAGATTCTGGAACCCTACTAGGCATAATAGCGTGATAATTAATCATCCAATCAGAAAGGTAGCCCGTGACTCTTCACTTTCTAGATGTTTCTGAGATACTTTCATTCAATGCTGGTTAGAAAAAATGTTTTCCAGTGTTTTCAGGTCCCCTCTGGGTTTTTTCTTCAGGAACACTCTGGATCTATCCAATAATTATATTACTGGTGCTTAAAAGCTGTAAAATGAAGTCAGTATAGTCATAGTAGTTGAGTGGATATACAGGTTTGGTCGGTTCAATGGTTTATTTTCGCGGTTGTTGGATTTTCTTCATAATTCACCACTGAATAGCGTATACTATATCTTACCTAACACAAAAGTTAAATTTACATTAATTAGATATCTCTTGCGTTACTGAACGCACATTCAGACGAAATAAGACAACGGAAAGGTAAGTAAAATTAAACAAATAAAGTACGAATTCAGGAATGTCATTTAATATCAATAAGGTATCAACAGAACGACTAAGAAGCATAATCCACTTTTAGTTAATATTCTACCCCTTTTTTACTTATTTAATTTAATACTCAGAAAGTAAATCTTCAATATTCATGGATATACCAGACGTATCAAAGCTATTTCATTTTGATCTAAATTTTCTTACTTTAAACAATCACCTTATGCGTTTACGAAACTTTACTTAACATTGGAACAATTAACGGCACATTTTTAGTTTTGTTCGTTTGACAAAATTATAAAAAAATTCTGTATTTATGAAGTCATGATGTTTGTTAATTTAATTAAGAAATAAGGAAGATAGTTTATAAGCTCCTTAGTCGAATGAAAAAATAAGCTTATTATAACATCGATAGATTATGCGCTCAATTTTTGTAGGAGTTTTAATCACATAATACTGAGAAATACACAATTCATCAGTTTCCAGAGGTTATTTTGTTAAGTTCACTCAACGGAGGCAAAACAGAAAACATACTCAAACAACAAAAAAAAACAACATATGATTATGATATGTAACATCTACCTCAACTAGAGTATCACGTAAATGTGATATCAGTCGTTCAGCTTGTTTTTCAGGTGATATAACAGATTTTGAATTGGCTAATTCTTCATGTATTACATTCTCTAATGTTTTTATTTCATATTCTAATTGATGTGAACTAATCTGTTTGTCAGATGAATCATTTGGTGATTTACACAGCTCTTCACTTAGTTCTTTCAACGATTTCATATTCGAATCTAATACATCTAATTCGTTTTGAAGATATCTAAGGAAAGAGAGGAAAATCGAAAGGAAATTAGTGGAAACAAAATTCAATAACAAAACACTAAACAATACTTGTTTTGTACTACAAGTTAATATTATACAATAAAATCATTAAAAAAGCAAATAGGTACTAAACAAATCTTGATTGCAATGAATGTTCCTGCTTTAGACTCATTTTAAGTGATTCATTATGTATGCTGTGTAAATTTAAAATAAATATTTAGTGTTTTGGGGACTTTTCATTATCAAGAAGACGAATGCTCCTTTAAAAAGGTAAACAACTGTTATTGAATGTTTCAACTAAACACTTTATCACAAATAGAGTTGGGCTGTAACGCAACCGCATTTCAGATTTATTTAAGATAGTCTTGATGCCACTTTAGACAAAATTATATTGTTGATTATCCAATCATCGATGAACAATTGGTCAAATGTGCAAAAATAAGACATGGGAATTATGTATTCCCATGAAGTGCTCTCAAGGACTAGAGATAGACAACGAATATCTGGATTAATGAAACCTGGTATCATTCAGAGATCGAGAAATGTGAGTGTTGTGATATACTAGCGTATTCATTTTTAAATGGTCAGTAGATTGTACGAATTCAGTCATCACATATGATGTTTATCACGAATCCTATTCAATTCTCCAACGTTTGCTGTTTTCCTTGTAGGGAACCAATAGTTCCGGAAACTGAAAACTTCTAGATATAAACATACAGATAAAATGTACCAATCTTAAAAAAATATGTATACATTGTATCGCTTATTAGCAGTGATTTTTTGCTTTCGAAGGTCCGATGAACAAATTTTGAAGGGAATACAATATATTACTTGAAGAGAGCACTAAAGATAATGTTAACTTACTGTTCATTTAAAGGTAGTTGACGAGATTCTCTAACTTTTTTCAATGAACTATTAATATTTTGACGAAGTGTTGCCATTTGTTCTGTTTGTTTAACGCGATTATTTAATGCGCTAATAATATGATCTATTTGTTTTGACATATTATTACACTGCGTGTCATATTGATTCAGGGTTGTTAAGAAATTTGAGTAAATTGGACTAAGTTTCCTTTCATCTGGCAATGATACCATTTTATCAGCTAATTCAGAACGTCCATCATTCACATTTTGCTTGCAGTCATTAAGCTGTGGAGTAAATTAATGTAAACTAATTTACAGTGTAGTAGAACTTAGAATTGACAAGAAAATAATGTAAAAATTAGTAGATTGAAATAAAAATATAATTCAATGTGGGGTCAATGATTGCTAACTGCTGAGGAATTTAAACTAGAGTTGAGTTATCATCCGGTCTTCTTTGATTCTCTGGTTGATGTCAGTTTGTGAAGAATACTATTTCTAATGCACTGAACATCAATAAACTCTTGACTAAAGCGTATATCAGCTCCATGATAGACATGGATGAACAGGTCATATAGTAGTAACCAATATTATATTGTTTAAACTTTATTATTGTCAAGATCTACTAATAAAGTCATATTTTATATGGTGAAGTAAAAGGTTGGCTGGATTTTCATAGCATAAAAGTTATTGGCTTACAGTAGTAAAAATGAATAAAATGAGGACAGACAGTTAAAATAATAAAAACGGAAGCAGTATGACTTTACTTTTACTTGTTCTAGATAGTCATATAGCTTTACGATCTGAGATGTTCGGATTCCACAGAGAGCATTGATTCTTTCAAGATTGTAAGTACAAATTCCTGATGAGCACCAAACGATACTAAATTTAGGTCATATATTTCCTTTCAACTACCTAACAACACACAGTATCGAGTCACTTAGACTCGTAACTACATTGTTACTTGATCAAGAGAACTCAATCAGCCTTAAGGACTAGACAAAGATAAATTATTGTAAATATGGATTTGTATTTAAAACGACAGTTGCCAGTTTTGAGTTTGTTTGAGAATACCAGTAATAATTTACATTTATTCTAAACAAAACAATATCATGTACGCCGTAAATTTGCAAGAAACTGATGGTAAATTCTATTGACCGTGAATATCGTTCAATTTGTTGAGTAGATTAAGGTCTCGAAACTAAGTTTATTGGAAAACCAATTTAATATTGGTTTCCTAGAGAATAATCTAAAAGAATTACTCTTAAGGTGTACATTGAAAGTGAGAAAGTTTTAAATAAATAAGGGTAATAAATTAAACAGAACTACAAATGAGAAATCGAAACTACTCATTGGTTTTTAGTAAAAAGTTATTTCACTTGTTGAAATCATGAGTCAATTGAAGCTAGACCACCATGGAAAACCTGGAAGCACTGGACGGCCGTTTCGTCTTAGTATGGGACTCCTCAGCAGTGCGCATTCACGATGATAAATTTTTACGCATATGTGATATGATAAAGTAGCAGCTAAAATTATACAGCAATTTTAGTACTAATATGAAGGATGATGCATAGATTTGATACCTTCTGAAAATAAAGCAAATAATATGTTAAGTCTAGTATTCATTACATCTATCATATTACTAACAATCCGGATTGCTAGTTTATTAAAAGTTATTGTCAGATATATTATTTTTACTTTGTCTTCTCTGAATTAATTTTCCGCGACAATTTATGACAACCTGTTAAATTAGTAAAGTTATGAAATGAATAAGACTACTTTTATTAATGATAATGAAAGATTTTAATTATATCACAAACTGTTTGAATCTAAAAATACTAGTCACTAGTTGAATGATTTAGTTCAAATTGTAAGTTTTCTCAATAATACGAAGGTAACATTAAATAAAAACAAAAGAGAATTATTATGATTTAAACAAACAACATAAATGAATGAGTAAGATTTGAAATCAACTAAAATATTCAATCCTCTTGCTTAATTGATCTAATTCTAAATAAGGTGTTCATTTGATCTCAATCTATAAGCTCGATTATACTTTTATTCTAAAAAAATAAAAACATGATAACCCTGAATCGTAAGTGTTATATCCCGATAAGAATAATGAATGGTAATTTTTAGGATCCATTTATGGACTAATACTATGAGTATATTTTTATCGTATAATTGTCATTTAACTAAACTGTTCATATTCATATTCCTCTCATTATGAGTTTCATTTTGACCTATTATTTTGAACTATTATTATACGATTTACCATTCTTGAGTTATAGCCTGTCTATTAATTACTATATCCCTCATTCACAGCCACTTTTGACTAAATATTATACAAATGTTATTTTCTATTTTATGGTACGTTGTGGTCGGTTTGATTAGTATATAAACCCCGTATGTTTGAAATAAATGATTCATATTGCATAGGCTGAGATTGGTGTTATGGGCTTATTTTATTTATTTTAACACATAGATATTGGTACAAGGAGGCACCAAATACATATGCGCCACACAAATCTCATTCGATATGTTTGAGGGCTGTGATACTGACCGGGTGCCCAAACCGAACCAGGTGGTTTTCTTAGGGCTTAACAGGAAGTGAAACCAATCAGGACTCTAGGTTGCTCGCACGTGTTTATACGTCACTGATTCGATCGATTATTCGCTGTTCTCTAATAGGCAGTGTCATTGCGTTATACAATAAACAGGGCAAACAAGTTCATCAGTTATAACAGTAAGCACAACTGATAACTACTAAATAAAGTATTTATATGAATGTTAACAAGCTAACTAGTTACGCAACTAACAAAATGAATGAATCAATAATTAAAAATTCATACAACGATACAAGAGCTAGAATATTAAAACTGACAATAGAAAAAAGTTACCTGTTTTAACAATTCTTGAAAATATTCAATTCTATGTTGTGTTGTCTCTGAATTTAAATGAATTATTTTTTTATTTTCATTAATATTGTATTGAATATTTTGTAATTCCATATAAATATAATTTAATTTTTTAATAAAATGTATTGAAAATGGATCCATATCTTTCACTTGAAACATTTCAAAATTCATTTCTAATGCTTGTTCAATAGTTTCTAATCGTTTCGTTGTTAATTGTAATTCATCAAAAAGTTTTTGCATTGATTGTTGTGATTTTTTATCACCATATGATTGAATTAATAATTCTAATTGATTTAATTGATGAACTAAACTGATATTAGATGAATGATCCTTTGAATCGAAATATTTTGGTGAATGATTAGTTAATTCTAATAATTCACTTTGTAATTCAATCATTTGACCACGTATTTGTTTGATTTGATTTGATGGTTTTGTAATGGATGGTGAAGATGGTGGAGATGATGATATTGGTGATGAAGATGATGATTTGAGGAGATCTTTTACTTCGATAGTAGATAAAACTTGTTGTAGATTTAACCAACGAGTCTCTAGATCATCACATGAATGTTTGTAAGTATCCAGTGAATTTTGTGCCGCTGAATAAGCCTTTTGAATATCATCAATATGAGACTTTGAATAACAAAATCAAAAGGAAAAATGTACAATAAAGGACAGGAATATTCATAATCAAATGATAAGGATGAGGTTTTTGTCAAGATAATGCAGAAAATGTAAAATAACATACATCAAACTGTGACTACATTTAACTTAATCGAAAATATCTTGAGAGAATCATGATTTCTTATCACATACCCTACAAATTTAGTGATTTTTCTCACATGATTAAGGGGTAGAAATTTAACTGTCAACTTACACTTACTAGATAGTAATCTAGAAAATGATTCTAAACACAAGTTATGTAGGAGCAACTAGATAATATCGATACGATAAGTAAGACTTAAGCAGTGGCATACATAGTTCAGTTGGATAACCACCGATACTAAAGGGAACTGCACAGACTTTTTTTGCAGTTTGGAACTTTTCACCAGTGAACATCTAATAATCATACATGGGATTATGGCTATAACGATATGATTGTTTTATGCTTTCTTTTTGTTAGGAATCTGAGGTCAGATTACAACCAAATTTAATTTATAAAGTATACACTTGTCTATTCAATTTAAGGTGCCAAATAAGTAATTGATAACATTTGAACATTGAACAGTATAGGTAATTAGTCTTCTATAACTAGGAATAAAGAAACTTTTTGCCTTTGATATATACTACTATCGAATAAATAGTAGAATGTGTATATTTGCAAAATTTTATTGTTGACATTTACCCCGATAAGGCACATTGTAGTCTAAAATAGTCAAGTATTTTAAAGAAAAAAAAGTGAAGCTTACAAGTTTTAATTTTACATCATTCTCCAATTTATTAAGTTTATTTTGTAAACCATTTGTACTGATCTGTAATTCATTTTGTTGATCTTCTGTTAATATACTTGGTTGATCATTATAAGTTTTAATATGACTCAATTTTTCTTTTAATGAATTTAATTCTTTCTGTTTATTATAAATAGATTGTATACGATTTTGTAATGTTTGTTGTTGATTTGTTAGCGGAATCGGTTTTTCATCTAAATACTCCCCATTTATTGCTATAGGTTCATTAAGTAATTGAATTGCTTCATTCGTTATCCATGCCTAAATTATTGATAATGTATATATATATATTCATTTGTTAGTTAGTACACGTTCAAGTTAGAGAAAATATACTATAAAAAATATTTAGTGGTAATAGCTGTGATTCCAGTGGCAATCAGCATAAGTTTAAATGTTATGAAATGTGGTTCATTATATTGAGATTGTGAAAATATCTTGTTGATGAATACCGTAAAACACTAAATTCATGTTCAACACCTTTTGATCAGAATAGATATAGCCAGTTGAACTGTATTGTTCAATTTGTTATGTATTAACATAAAGCTTATAAAATATTATTTTGATCAGATGGCATTAAATAAATTGGCTTCATAAAATGAGGCAGTTGACTAAATATTAGATTCTGTCAACACTACGAATCATATAACACAATATTAATCGTAAAACGGTGCCTTATTAATTTGAACTACTATCTAGACAAACTAGATCTAGCAGACAATTAGCCAGATTTTATTATGTGTAACAAATCAACTATTGGAAATGATCTGTAATCTTAGTGATACAAAGTGTAAATAAAGTACATCTGGTGACTTTTTCAAAGATGTATCTTTCTTATAATGATCATATATATGAAATTTTAATAAAAGACTGATATAGTCACTTACTTCTAATTGTTCCAACTGGTCAGATAAGAGAAATTCTTTATTGGTTCTTGATTTTAATTGGTGCTGTTGTGCTGTCACAGCGTTTTGTAATAAATTCATTTGATTTATGCATAAATCTATAGTTTTAGAATCCATTGGAAGTGACGATGAATTTAACTTATTATTTTCTTTTAAATCTTGTAATTCTCTTTGTTTAACTTTTAATTCTTCTGACATAGACTATAATTGATAGGAAATTTTTTATTGATGATAAGAAGGATGATGATTAAATTAGAGTAATATTGGAAAGGAAGAAGTTATTGAAAAAGATGAACGATAAATTAGTTTGTGGATACTTTTTAAGTTCGAAAGCCGTTGACGTCAGTTGAGCAACTAGAAAAATCTAGGGAAATATTCTACTACAAAGCTTCTCAAAGATACACGATCTTTATTCCGTTTAGAAATAATCTGAAATTTCTACGTGTCTATTAGCAAGTTTATTTTGCAATCACCTCATCAAAATCTCATAAAACATTGTTGCAGCTTCAAACTATTGTATCCTAACTCATTACTTGAATGGTATTTTGTGAACTTTAAAATTATTGAGTTTATTCATGTATGAAGTGAGTCAAATAACCAAACGAGTTTCAGATAAGGAGGGAATAACCGTTTACCAGTTAGTTTCAATTTGTAATAGTTATGCACATAATCATTAACTATTCATTGTTAAATAAACCGTGTTGTTGACATAATCAGAATGCTGACCCAGTTCAATGTAAAATATAAATGGTTGTATTTTTTATATTCTTTTCCCATCGACCATTTTTAATGAACCATATCTAATTTGAAATAGTTTGTTTTAAATTCTAGCTTGAGGTCTTTTTTCTCACAAATTTGGTTAGATGGTAAAAATTGAAGTTTCTCTAACATGCTTATTAAACAATTTTCTTATCATTTCACATTTGTATTACTGAAATACAAATGTTTGAGTTTGGAACAACAAATGTAAGTGTTAAATTTTACTGACAATAATGATAATAACTTACTTCTAAGTTTTGTAAATCACTTTCAATTTGCTTTGTCTCTGGTATATTTGTATGTGATACACTGGAACTTAACAGATCATGAGATATATTCTGTAATTGTTTATTCTTCACCGATAACCATTGATTTAATTCATCTAGTTTATTTATTGGACTCAATTCAGATTTGCTGGGCAATGATGGTGAATGTTCAGTCTTCCCATTTTCACGTTTATGATATTCATTTATTAATTGATCATATGAATGTTGAAGGTCTAAAAGCTAGAATCACAGTCAACAAAATTGGACAGATGTTATTAGTACTTAAATTTATAGTTGAGAGTAATCAGAATTCTGGTTGTACTTTAAATAGCTCATGGATTACAATGTACATGTTTCCATGCTGTCTAATGCATTTCTATGTGTGTGTGTGTGCAAAAAAAGAGGAGGTCAATAAGTTCTCAATTCATAATTTGACTTGAAATCTATCATTCCCTGACACAGTTATATAAATGGATATAGATGAAATTCATAAATTTACAGAACGATCATCTTAAACAAGAATAATTATTAATGGTGATCTGATTTAACAGTTACTTGTAGAGCTGGTTTAAAACAGCTCATCTAATCAAGTGTTAAAAAATAAATTGAATCCTAATAACTTCTTATCATTTCTGATTGCAGATAAGATAGATAATTTGTTACTGAACAAAATGAGTTCCATACATATTTACCGATCGTAAATAACAGAAAAACAAATACTTATTTTCACTGAAGATAACTATGGTGTGAGTGTCTGAAGTGTATCTATGACAGCCGATTTCTATGGCGACACCTATTCGTTTTAACTACGCATAGAGGACAAGTGGTTTTAGAGGATTAAAATATATGGCATATTAATCAGACAAGATGTTCAAATAAAACATATTGTTAACAAACTTCTGCATAGTTAGAGTCTTACATTACTGGATTAGGCACTTAACTTTCAACTAGTTAGTCATTGGCTTAAATTTTACGCATTTTAGTACGCTTCGAAGAAATAGTTGTAGCCTCTTAGTTTAGTATATGAATAAATAAACAGTTGGCCGTACAGGTCCTAAATTAAAAATGTACATTCCTGACAATGTTTGATAATGATTAGCGAAATCTCAGCCTATGTTTAGGTTATTATACTGAAGTGTTAGAATCTAAATTGACATTGTTATTCTAACTGAGAATAGATAATAACACTTCTCTACATAAATGCTAACATTTGAAAATTTTAAGCTTTAGGAATATATGTGTTCACTACTCATCCAGCAGAATCTCAACTGAATTTTATATCTGTTTAGAGGAAATTAAAAAAAATGACGAAAATAACAGGGAACTGAATGTCAACCTGATAATTAATTTAAGTAATAAATTAAAGGGTACAACTTAATACAACATAATTTTGTATTTATTTAACAATGAATTATCCTTTCAAATCCACTTAGTGTTGTTTCACTCGTATATTCCCATTGTTATTTAGGACTGTAATTGATCAGTCTCTTGTTGGCATATGTGTATACTGTGCGTATTGCCTCGATATAGCCTTCAGTCACAAGCTCTTTAAGCAAGGATGGATAGTAGCTAGCAGTGGATTCAAGGTGCCTAAGTGGATAACGCGATGGCATTTCCAGCGAACGGTACTGTGCTCGAGTCCCAGACTGGACATCAACTCTGGGATGAAGGTATATTCAACCGACGAGTCCCAAATAGGACGAAACGCGCGTTCTGGATTTCACTGCTAATCACTATCCATCTTTGCTTAATTATCTTTTCAGTTTAAGTTTATTTTGATTAAGATTTCAATGCTAAGTTGAATAAAAATTCGTGTAGAAGTAAATGATCTCGAATTTTGGAGGACGACAAAGACATTATTATAAAAGCTAACCAGCTTATATACATCTTATTATATTCCAGGTTAGATAGTGAAAGTTAACCTCTAAAGATTTGTAAGCTCTAATTATTAATATAAGCTATTTCTATATAAAGTTATTTATTTCTATATACTGAAAAGTCTACTAAATGAATGTGTTACTTTAAAAGACAATTGAATATGAAGTAATAATAATTTGAAATAGGGATATCATACTTACTTTCGCTTTCATATTACACTGATCTGTTGGATTTATAGAATGTTCACATAACTGTGTACATAATTGTTCAGCTTTTTCTAAAACTGGTTTTATTTCTTCAATTTTCTTATTTATCTCATTCAAATTATTTGTTTTCTCAATAGGTTCTTTCACTGGACTGCTAAAATTATAATTAGTGTAATATAACATTAATTGTTTTTAAATAATAATCAATCATGAACAAGTTCAAAACTTGGATTAATTTTAATTTGGTTAATTATTCTCTGAAGAAGTGGATTACACTAAGTCGCGAAACGTCAGAAAATGTCATTTTTCTACTCATTGGGATAGTACAAATATATTATTTATTTATAAACTTTCTATCCTTAAAATATGCCACTAACAAAGTTAAATAAGCTTTTCATAGAACTTTAATTTTTTATCACTACACTTATAGATTTCAGTTTAAGTGTCTAGCAATTACATTAACAAAAGGATAACATTTCGAACGTAGAACAAAGTATACTTGACTTATCTCACAATATAAGACAGCAGCGCAGTATCTCAGTCTGGTTGAAGTTAGACGTGTACGTAATTGAATTCAGCCTCGGTGGTCTGGAGATTAAACATCTCCGGGAGACCAGAACTCGTGGGTTCGATCACTTGTGGTGGGGTCACGAATACTAATTGTACAAGAGTTCTATATTAGGACAAAACAGCTGGTCAGTAGTTTTTAGTTTTCTATGGTGATCTAACTAAGATCAGTCCTTAGTTTGAACTATGAAAATTCTACATTATTAACAAGCCTCCCCTCCAATCCCAAGTATTTCTGTATCTTGTAAATAACTTGTTTGTAACTTCATATAATTTATTCTAATAACAATTAGAATGGAACTAGACAGTATTTTTGCTTACCACTCCATTTTTGTTTTAATTGTTTTCAATTGTGAATCTAATTGTTGCACTAATTGTTCATAATTAGTTTTAGGTTCAATTTTACTCATTGTTTCACTTTCCCATTTTGACAATTCGTTTACTAATTGATTGAAATCATTTCGAACACGTTCATTTGTAGAATTGAAGTCTAATTGATTTATTAAAGATTCAGGAATTAAATTTTTGAAATTTTGTACTAAATGATTAAATTTATTTAATTCTGGAACAACACTGTCCAATTCTTGACGAAGTGTTGAAATCTAATGAAAAGAAACAAAATAGATGAATATATAATCGAATGTGGTGTTAATTGTAATATGAAATTACCAGTTAAATAAGACAGTTTTTTATCATAAGTTTTATAAATAAACAGTATCCCACTAATTATATGCTTAACACCAGAAAATTTCAATTCTCTATTGATTTAATAAACTAAATGTTACAGATTAGGTCGTCACACATAGTTCAGTTATGTAACTGATCAAATTAAAGTGTCAAATGGCAATAGCCAGAAGTGAAATTACAAATATATATATGGTTATTTAACTGTTCAAATACAAAGAATTGCTAATAAATATCTGAAATTTCTAATTTTTGCCGTGATAGCAGTAAAGTAAATTTCCTGTTGAAGAGTTTCAACTACTCCCTGCTTCATAGGATATCAGTTATATTTTTACCAATATGAAATGTGTACAGAATGATCTAAAGTATAATGACCATGTCAAATGATGAATCCGAACCGAAATATCCCAATACAGTATAGATGATGCGATTGATTTGCCTTTTCCTCTGTTAACCCGTACTGGTAAATACTGCCGTATACGATAAAAAAGCTGGCCTCGACGAACGACCTACATAACTACCTCCACAGCAGTAGGTCGACTGGTAGACAAATACTGAATTCGTCAGTCTATCAGTATAATTTAGCAAGGAACAAAATAGATTGATCAGGCCATCTATTCTGAAAAATTCAGCAGATATAGAACATTCAGCTTCGCATTAATCGCTTAATATTATTTATAATAAATATACACAAATAATGTAACTGACTTGATTCAGATGACTTTCACTTCCCATGGTATTATCTGCAAGGCATTTGTCATGTACATTGTGTATTCGATTCGCTTTTTGTTGTAGTTTTCGTGTGAGATCAATATCAAGTTTATGGAATTCGTTTAAATCATGTTGTAACTTGTTTAAATCTTGCTGTGATTTATCATTTAATACAACTGCTTCATTCCACTGTTGTTCAAGAGAATGCATTGAATTTCTTAATTCTACAGCACCTGGCATATGATCACGATTGTGTAAAACTTGTGTAAAACTTTGACGAACAATTTCAAGTTTTGGTATTTGTTCATTGAACTGAGTACGATAACTAGATTTAAAATAAACCAAACAGGCGTAAATAATAGTTAGAAAGAACACATCAATTTATGTAGTTAAGTACGTCGTTTATAGAGTAGGAATTTGGTGGTTCTTCAGACAAATGGAATAGCTGAGGTATTTCAATTTTTGTTTGAGTTTAAATAGAAAATTTAGAAATAATTGCAGTGTAGTTAGTAAAATGTCTGTTTAATTATTCATGGGAATATAATTATTTAAGGAAGAAGAAACTATTAACATATAAGGTGAACAAAATTAATACAATTATCTCTTACTTATATTGTATTAGCAGTAGCTATCTCTCGTCAAATATCTACTACGAAAATTACTCACGATATCTAATTATCAGATCCGACATGCTTTGAAAATAACCTGGTGAAAGTCTGAATATGTACTTATTAATTCCACCTTAGGTAAATTGTGTGAAATACAATACTAAGTGACATGGGGAAACAGAGAACATTCACGCGTATTAACAGCGTTCATTAGTTTAATTATCATGGAAAAACATCAGATGGCAGTTTCACTTTTGAAGGTTGAGTTCATCTTCTATGTATCTAGAGCACGGAGGAAGGAGAATAGTTTGTTAACAGATAAGTACAAACAATAATAATAAAGGATGCCCACGTGACTTTCATATGCAAATAGAGACTTCTCAATGAAGCTGTGAAGATCAACAGCGAAAGGTACAATTTTCGAAAGTAACCAATACCTTTTTAGTAAGAGATGACCACAGTAAGCCAGGAACCTACTAGATAACGGCTTGGTGTTTACGACGACCAAGTCTAGTTTCTACTTGTACAGAATGAGGCAGGTGTATGCTCTTGACCAGTTCTCAGAAGGATTGCATATTTTCTAGATTCTACTTCTATAACGATGAAGAAAAGTGTAAAGTTTGAGAAACTATTTTTTCGCAAACTAGTCTGTATATTTTTTAATGACCATTTACCAAAGAGTTGTTTCATGGCACTGCTAAATAGTTCAAAATTGCAAGCTAATTTTTATTGATTAACTCTTATTATATCATTTACAGTTCACAAGTTACATTCGTTGTAATATTGCAGTTCGAGTTAAGCTTGATAACGATCTAAATGAAAACAATATTTCTAACTTATACATACTGTGTCAAAAAATGTCCTGGTTGCATATCTATTGAAATCTATGTTTAATAATTCGAAATATTTTCCTGTTTTACTAACATAACCATCAGAGTTATGAGTTTAAGAAATAAAAGTACATATGATTTGTTATTCGGTGTTTAGCTGTTTTTAATTGGTGGCTATAGATTGTAAAATGAATACAATACAGTTTTGAATAGAATCCGGATTAATATTATACACTGCAAATAAAATAATAATCTCCGCCAGAGTGATCATCAACTCTCAAATGCAGGTACATCCAGCCGATAAGTCCCAAACAGGACGAAACGCGCGTCAAACTGGATTCCACTACTAGCCACTATCCATCTTTGCTTATAATACTTGTAAATTAAGGCAATATCGAGGCAATACGCACAGTATACACATATGCCGATAAGAGACTGATCAATTGCAGTCCTAAACATCAATGGGAAGATTCAAGTAAAACAATACTAAGTGAATTAAGTTGAAGAAAACTATGAATAATAAACAGTTTTATTATTTATAATACTAACTTACTTTTTTAATTCATTAACAGCTTGATTTACAGATTGTACAGTAGAAATATTTCTATTAACATTATTCACTGTTTTTACATAATCACCAAGCCAATTTATTAATTCTAAACGTTTCTCTTCAAAATTATTTAAATTTATTATCAAAGATTTAAATTCATTTCGGCGTTCATTTAAACAATTACCTAATTGATCATAACGTTCGTGTAGTTCATCTAATTCACGATTGACTTCATTAATTTCTTTATTATGTGTAAATTTCGACAACAACAACAAAAAACAAACATGGAAAATAAAAGTTTTTAACGTTTAAAGAAAATATTAGAAAAATGAACAACTAATTAGTATATACATACGATTGTAAATCATATTTCATTAGTTGAGATCATGAGTCAATTGAAGCTAGAGCATCATGGAAAACGTGGAAGCACTGAACGGCCTATTGTGGGACTCCTCAGCAGTGCGCATCCACGATTCCGCTTCGCGAGATTCAAACCCACAATAGGTTCTTCATGGTGGTCTAGTTTCAATTGACTCATGATCTCAACTATTGAAATTACTATAATATCCACGAAAACCCTTCTGATGTAAATCATATCTTAAAACAAGTTTGTTACAAAGTTCTCTTGATTTTTCCTTACTATGATGAATTAATTATTGTAAAACAAGTTTTGACGAATATGAATTCATTACCTCATCTTCTCTATTTATTTAAAGAAAATTTATGCAAATTCGATGAGAGTGTGTGGAACTATTAATATACAAGTATTATTTCATACTTAAATGTATTCATTATTAATGAGTATAAAAAAAATGATTATCTAACATGCATTGGTATCCTAGAAGTAGGAGATCCTAGTTTAAATTTCTTGTATCTCCATTCCTTGAGAGAAAAGTAGTTTTATTAAAATGGATATGAAATGAATTAAATGCATTATTCGTTCCATAAGTTGACTATTATACCTTCCACTGTATACCAGTTATCTAATCATAATTCCTTTGGTTAACGTTTAGGAAACCGATACATAATTGAAAACTTCTCAAATCCTATAAATTGTATGTTTATTTTCAGCATATTGAGAAAGGATGGAAATGTTCACATAGTGACTTTTTTCAAGCCACATTAATACATGTTCAAAAGAATTTAGGTATAAAGTTACCGAATTACATCCTCCTTTATCTGTTTCCAAGAAACCGATGAGAAATACATTTGGTCATTAAATATAATGAAGACGTTTCGACTCAGCTAAAAGAACCTTTAATCATTCGTTCATGAATATTGATCTAGAAAGGGATACAGCATTAGAAATCTTACGAAACCGACTGTCTAGTGCTTAGAAAAAGGGTTTCTTATTCATTTGAGCTACGAATTATGTTTTACAGCCGACATCTGATACAAAGATGTGTCAAGGATAAAATGTTGCTCTGGGTCACCTCAACGTAAATATACCAATTTACTTGCTCTTGTGGAGTTTGCCACAATTGTTGTATAATGCGTAATCTTTCTAAAAGCATATCCAAGCACTATTCACTATAGTTATCGAAAGGTGAATGCCAATCAGTCAAGAGCTTGATTGTTGAACATCTAATAAATTCTAGTCATCTATCCACATCAGATTCTTCATTCAACAGTGTTCGAAAAGTAAGACGAAGAGGTTCGAAGGAAAGCCGAATGAAAAACTTTCACATGCCTGATCTTTATGCTCAGAAGTTATATACTCAGTCGCATAGTTTATCATGGTCATAAAAACCCACCATATTTTGTCAGTTATTTTTTAACATTCATTTGCCCTTCTTCTTTATCTTTCTATATTTTTCAAGTGTACAATTATGTTTCAAACCTCTTGTTTATCTTATTTGGACCTGTATTTTTTTCATGTTCTTGACTTGCTTATTATCGTCAAGTCAATACTCTTTCATATCTCGTTTTTGTATGCTATCTCATTATTATTATTATCAGTATGGATTGTGAAGATTGTTAAATTTCATTAAAATCATGAACCGATATAAGTTAGACAACCATTAAAAACCTGGAAGCACTGAATGATTGTTTTGTCTTGGTATAGGACTTCTCGGCAGTGTGCATCTACAATCCCGTATGTGAAAATCGAATCCAGGACCTTCGGTTTCGCGCGTGAACGCTTAACCTATAGATTATTTGAGCCGGCATCCAATGGTTGCGCAAGATCATGAGTCAGTCGGTTTTTAATGTTGATCTAGCTCAGATAGACTTATTAGTTCAACTATTTTAATTCTATCTAATACCTAATTATCATCTAGATGATCTTTTGACCTTAGTGTTCAAGATTATTTAAAGCTATTGAACTAATTAGTTAAGGAGTATAGACCATCATTTTTATTACGTAGTCACTTATTTGGCATTTGATCTGCAATGATCTTTTCAAGAATAGACTGAAGACAAGTTGGATACTATTTAAATATAGGTTAATGTTAATTGTTATATCTTTTATCATGCTTAAAAGTAGTAATACGGAGACAAATATATAAATCAAATATTTATAATCAAAATAATTCATCATTAACATGTCGGTCAATAAATTTTAACCAAACAAAGTAAGGTGTGTTTATCTTTTACTAACAATCGTTACACATGTTTTACAATAAAACGATTTATTTAAACAAAGAAATTTGGTTACTAGAAGGATGCACTTATGAATATCACAAACTTTTATCGATGACCATGATAATGATATCGACAACAATAATAACAACAACAACAACAAAAAATGATGATTAGATATGAGACGTTATATATCGAAATCATGACAATGTTTCATACAAAAGAATTAACTATAACTGACTAGTATTTAAACAAATTTACAGTGGTATATATTTAAGAGAATCTTGAATAAATAACTAAACTAAAGTGAGATCATATTTATCACCAGAATCAAAGCTGAAATGTACATGAATAGGCAGATACATCAGAGATATAATATTTGACAATAATTAAAAGAAATAACACTTGAACTGATAAAATGTTATATACACATATACAAAATAATCATATGCATTAGGAATCAAGCACATCAAGTAATAAGGCGCCGTTATTAAATGTTATGTGATATTTTATTGACAATAAGTTACTAATAGTTAGAATTTTCAGATTTAAAAACCCTGAATCTAATTTACGTAATGATTGGCTATTGTTTGGAATGCGTACGATTAATTTTGAGTGAACTGGTGTTCATTGTAAGATGTAAACTAGTATCATGTTGATCAATTAGCATTCAGCGACACCAGAAGGATGATAACCTATGATATTTGAAAACGTATCTACTTTTTTTATAGTAAGGTTAGTTAGTATTTAGTGTTAGAGATTAAATTAGTTAATGATTTAAAACAAACTACTGACTATAAGTAAATCTAATTACTCAGATGACAAAAGTGCAATATCATACGTTTTAAAAGAGTAAAATCAGAAACATAAAGATATCTCTATTACCTAGTGTGTACATCAGAGGGCCTTATATGACCTGAATATGATTTTAATTAATAAGCTCACATTACTGATAAACCAAAGAGAAGTGAACAAATGCTACAGATTAGCTTGGGATTTTTCACCGGTGTGTATGTATTTATGTGTACCAATATTTATGTGTTCAAATAAACAAATAAATAAATTCACAACTCGATTAGAAAACATGGAACGTAGGATTCCACTTCGAAGGTATGAAAGTTATGGTATTTATCACGATACTAAAGGTTCTATGTTCAGTTAGGTATGCGGTCGTTGTTGAACGCTATTGATGAACTAGGAACTAGGTTGAAACAGTTATTCGACGTACTATGGTTCTTGATATAAAATGTATTGACTCTGTTTCTAGATGTTTTAAAAATTGGACATCTTTAAAGTCAAATAGAAAAAACCAACGCTTTAAGCAAATTGTTGCAAAAGACGATTAGTGAATAAAAATGAAACTGAAAGATCAATTATGAAGTAGAATGTAAACAGAAACAAAGCGACAAACATGCACAAAATATTTAGTTGTTATTTTGTTACATGCAAATAACACACTCGTTTGTTTATATTTGTTTACATATATATATATATATATATATATATATATATATATATATATATATATTAATGCATAATGCTTGGAAAGCTTAGCTTACCATGTAGATTACACATAGGATCGGCACTGGAGATGCCACTTGATCCACTGCTAGCCATTGGACTTAATACATTCATTAATTTATTGTCTTTTGATTGTTTATAGGCAGCAGAAGTGGATACACGTGGTACTGCTGTTGAGTTATAGTACATACACACATATATATGTTGGGATAAAATGAATGTTTAAAAGATTGAAATTTTCAGAGAATATTATGGGTCATATAAATTGTATAGATGAACTAGACAGATAACTATGAATAACTATAGAACGAAGTACGAAACAGTATGGCTTATGTAATATTGATGAAATTTATCAATTAACTGAAGGCTAGCAATGTACTGAATCCGAGTGGCTTATAATCAATGTTGTTTTCATTACGATTCAATTTGCATTACCATGGAGTGTGTATACACAATTTAACTTTGGTCGGACTAAACTATAATGATAGATCATGAAATCCTTTATTTATTTATTCTTACTAATTGAAGTCGCAATAGGTCATTCTAATTCCTTAATTGGATAATAACTTATTCATTTAAATTCTCAAACAGAAACAAACTTTATGTTAAAAATATACATCAGGATATGATTTTCGATATTTGATTTACAGTTTAATTATTGAGATGCGATATGATGAACATGAGCTACAAATTTACATATAGTCATTTTGACAAACTATTATCGTTTTAACTGGATGCCTGAAGGATTTAAGATACAAATGATTTAATAGACCGTCCCGTTTAAACGCTTAACATTCCAATATTAATTCATACTAGCGAATATAACTCCAAAATAATATTTTAAAAAGTACTGGTTTACATAAAGATTCTTTGTAATAACAATAATAATAACAGTGTTTTAAAATATGTTTATCAAATTTCGTGAAGGTGACTAAATTCGTTCGTTTCTCTGAAGTTACTGCAGATGCTATCAGATTATGTGATGATGAACACACCGAACAAGTTATGTCACAGTTAAGGATAGTGAGCTTATTGACTAAATAAAATTGTCATTAGGCAACTGTTTCAAATTTGACTTAAAGAGCTTTCATCATTGTGTTGTTGAATAAACATCAGTTGACGGGATTGTGGTAGTACAGTACAGGGTTTAGCCAATAAGGAAGTTTTGTATACCAAATAAGCAACAAAGATTTACTGGAAAACATTTTGTAGATTATGATAGTGTGGTAAGCTTTAAATTACCTTCATTTTATGTTAACCTAATCTAAAAATGAGCCCCTAGTAGCTTGGTGATTGAAGTGACTTAGCGCTTGCAGTTCGCCTGTTGATAGTTCACTGTTTAGATCAATAAAGTATGCCTTTAAAAAATTCGGAAACATCTACTGTTTGATACTTCATTTAAAACTAAATTTGCTTACCAGATCTCATTATTTTTCCGAAAAGGTAAAGCTGCATCTCCTCACACGCAAATTGGCCTAATTAACTATGTGAGAGTGCTAAGTCGAAATTATATCATTACAATTTATATTTAATAAATGTTCCCATCTTTTTATGAGTCATTGGAAATTTAATTAAACTTGGAATTTATAATTCCATGTGTGACTTGCTTTATGAACATCTTAATATAACTCTCCCTTAATAAACTATACAGTAGTTAAAACATTTAATTATTTGATTTGTTACGTGATGAATGTGAAGAACTATTACTATAGATATACTGCTCGTTTGCCTTAATTGTTCCGTTTAACATTTGATAAACCCTTATTGATTTAAGTTTTCAACTTTATCTTAGATACTCAGTAAATCAAGAAATATCAGTATTTTTTATAACTACTCATATGATGTAAATATAATATGAAAATAAGCTGAAATTGTATTCGTATAAATATTTAATTAACATATTCAAAGTACCTGAAGAAGCAGAAATATGAGCATCACTTGATGAAGTTGTTCCACGTCCGAAATTCTTATCAATTCCACTTGATGTATGTAATAAAGTATCATAAGCAGAACCTAATTGGTCCACTTCATCTAAATGTTGTTTGATTGTCTCTCGGAGTGAATATAATTCATTTAATTTGTCCATTTGTTGTTTTACCGAATTCAAATTTAAAGTGATAGGTGATGATAAAGTAGTTAAACGTCCATCGGCAGTTAACAACATTTCTTGCACTTGATTACGTGCTTGTGCATAGGAATTATTAAATGACTCTCTTGCTTTTAAATCATCTTCACGTGTATTTATTAAATGAAGTAATTGTGACCAACGATTATTCAATTTATTCATATTTTCTTTCATCAATTTACCATGATCATCACTTTCAGGAAGTTTAGTTAATAAAGCATTAATAGATTGTTGTATATTATCTAACTGTAGTTGACGATTTGGTATAAGCATCTAATCATGTTCAATATTCGTAATGAAAGGAAAAGTTGGAGAAAAAAACAATATGTATTAGTTAGTATTCGCTAATTAAGTTTTACTATGCAATTCTAGAAATAACAGTTATTAATCGAAACGTCTTAAAAACTGATCCCCTGTCTGGAGATAATTCCAAAGACCTGAAGTCCATAAATGAAATAGTCTTATTACATAAAGATGCTGACAAAAGGCACTTTTCTGAATATTTTAAGTGATAATAAATCTTAACTTTCGAAGTTTGAGTAACGGTATGGATCGATATGTAGTCTGACAATTAACAGTGAAGTTGGTAATCAGGCTGACAACTTAACCTACTTTCGAATTCTATCAGGTTTGATGAATTTATTACCTTATAAAGTCTGGTTATAGAGGTAAAATGTTTGGTTAAATTTTATTAGACAATAATAATCTTGCTCAAAGTAATATGTCCGAATAATTAATATAATATAAAGTAGCGTGAATTACCTTGAACTATGTATCACTACATATGATATGTATCTTGAATTGAAGACTATGAGTATTGTGAAATATGAGCAAAACAGAACTGGTGAAAGTAAATCTATTAACATAAAACTTGAAAAAGCAGAGCAGAATAAAATGAAACTAGTAGCTTACTTTAATTGACTGAAGTTTATGCTTCAAATAGTTTTCTGGTAGATGAGCAGTTGTTTGACAATTTAACTGATTTCCAACTTCATCAAGCCATATATTAAATTCATTAATATCACTATCATACTGTGTCAACTGATTTTGTAATGTATCCAATTGTGAAATTCGTGAAATAACATCATCCTTCAAAGTTTCAAGTCTGTCGAAAAAAAAGTAATGATAGTAATAATATGTAGGATAGGTGAAAATTTTAAAAAAGTATTATACTACTCAATGGATTTATGTATAGGCTGTGATACTGTCCGGGTGTCTAGACAGAACCAGCTGATTTTCTTAGAGGACCACAAAAGGAGCCTTCAACCTAAACGTCTGATCCACAAAGCAGTGGAGCAACTTTAAAAGATGCAGTCCCATGGTAACCAGTGACAAATTACTGGTCCATACACTATTTGTTCCTTCAGGATACTGCAGCATATGTGCACCATTGGTTTGGAATTAGGGTTTTCAAACTCCCCTAGATGGATCCTCCATATTCACCAACCCTGTTAAAGCACCGGACATTCGCTTTTCGTCCCCCCAATTTCGTAGACAACAGTGATGCCACGAGCAGGCAGTGAGTAGGACTTCTCTAACAATGGCTGTATACGCGTGACCATGTGAGAGCATTTTGAGAGAGAGGGAGAGAGAGAGAGCTGACTCATCTCACCCTCGGCCGTACCAGGGCATTTGGGAGCTGAACCTAAAAGCACTGGACAGCCGTTTCGTCCTAGTATGGGACCCCTCCGTAGTGTGGATCTACGATCTCGCCTGCTGGATTCGAACCCAGGACCTTCAGTGTCGCACGCGAACGCTTAACTTCTAGACCAATGAGCTGAAAGTGCTATAGTTATGCAAAATATCACATCTAGTTGCTATCTGGATGGATTTGAATTTAATTTATGGTGTGCTTAGTATGCAAGGAGATTGGTGGATAGAGTTACTTGGTGAAATGGGTACTTACCCTTTATGTTGTTTTAAAAAAAGAATACTTTATATTCTACTCATCCGTTATACTATATTTCCTTGTTCTGATTATAATTCATTACCTTTACCGATAATTCTAATGTAATACCAGGTTTTATACTGATTCATTTACTAAGGTACTAATAAAAATTTACGTTATATTATAATCTTAAATTTCAATTATGTAGGTAAACGGTTTGATGTAAATAATAATTAGTTTATTAATGAAACATCCTCCATTAACGACAATCAATCCTATGGAAATTCAATGAGATAAATTGTATTCTGAATTTTAGGTAACTAAATTAAAAATTATTGTTTATCGTAATGAGGGTTAGGGTTGTCGGAGTAAAATTCTACCTTCAAACAATAAAATCTCGATGAAATGACTCAAATTTTCAATTTTAGTTAACCTAATAATCAGATATTGAAACACTTTTTGACAGTATCATAGAATAAAACAAAATATTTGAATAATTACAATATTGAAGAATAAAATCATACCGATTATCTAAAATATCAGTTTGTTTCAATTCGGATTGTGTTAATCGTAATTTATTAGGATCAATTGTTTTAATTTGTTCTATTGTTTGATTTAAACGATTTCTTAATGTTTGTGAAGCTGATTGGATAGAATTGATTTGTGCTAAAATTTCATTTAATTTATTCATATCTAAAGGAAATTCAATTGATTGTTTTTTAATCTCATCCATTTTATGATCAATATAATCATTAGATAATTGATCACCAATTCGATTTGTTTGATTTAAAAATTCATTTAAACATTCTTGTGTTGTTTGATTGGTTAATAAATATTTCATAAATTGTTTTTGTAATTTTTCACATTGATCAATTAATTGTTTTTGATAATTTAAAGCATTATCTAATGGTTGATTCATTGCATTCATTGAATTATTTGTAATTAGATTAGCTTCAGTAAATTTCTTTTCAATTAAATCTAATTCAACAGATTTCAGATTCTGAGAAGAGAAGAAACATGACGGAAAACAAAGGAAATAGAATGAATAAATTAAGTGAGAATGTTTTTGTTGTTACGTTTCTTTTAGGAGGGGATGAACGGGGAATAAGTGAAAATGGTGTTATTTACTCAGTTGCGGTTTAATTGATAATCAGAGTTTACTTATTGATTCCACTCTGCTTATGTTATTTTGCACACAAGTTTAACTTTCAAAATATCCTGATAGGCAACAAATCAAATACCTGAGAGAATAGGTTTGTAGAGACTGTGCACCATAAAATTAATCACTTACACAGAATGGTTTTGATGAAGAGAACTGTTAAGATACCGTTTCAGGGTAGTTTAAAGTTCTTCATAATTGAGTAACTAGAACAACACTACTGAAAATAAGAAGTTTAAGCTTTATGGGATACTTATAAATCATCGAGTAAGAATTTTACTGGTTCAAATTTCCAATCAACTCATGATACGGAGAAACCATAGATTCGGTTAGCCAACCAAAGTTTCCTACTCGCTCCTGTTTTTTTCATTTATATGACTGATTTTATCATGCACAAAGAATATAAATATATCAATATCGAACACTTTCTGACGATGGGCTTTTAATTCTATACGGGAAATAAATTCAAACACATCAATATACCCAAGGCAGCTTAAATTTGTATTGGAGTAGTAGCAAAGGGAATTTCAAGAGTTTTAATTAAAATTAATTTAAATAATGATCCGAGATTGTTCAATCCAAGCCAATTCAGAATAGATTTCCAAGTTAACAGGATCAGTTGATCCTTGACTAATTCTATAACTGAATCTCATTTTGATTCCCCTATAAACGTTTTATTTAAGATATGAAGATATTTTCTTCACAAATAAATATTTATTCGGTCAAACTGTTGAAGCTAGACCACCATGGGAAACCTGGAAGCACTGGACGGCCGTCTCGCCCTATCACGGGATTCCTCAGCGGTGCGCATCCACGATCCCGCACCCCGCGGGATTCGACCCCAGGATCTATCAGTCTCGTGCTAAGAGCTTAACCAACTAGACCACTGAGCCGGCACTTAATGGTGTTAATGTCTAACTTCAACCAATCCACGAAGTTGCTGAGGAGTCCCATACTAGGACGAAACGGCCGTCCAGTGCTTCCAGGTTTTCCATGGTGGTCTAGCTCCAATTGACTCATTATTTCAATTTGATAAATAGGAATAATTAAATTCACTTGGTGTGGTTTCACTTGTATCTTCCCATCAATTGCAGTCTTAAATAACAATATGAAGGTACAGGTAGAACAACACCAAGTGAATTTAAACTTCATCCTATTGCATAAGCAGGTGGCTATCAGGACTCAGTAGCTAAGTGGATAACACGATGGCGTTTGAAGCGAGCGGTACTGGGTTCAAATTTCGGAGTGAACATTAACTCTGGAAGGCAGGTAGATCCGGTTGACGAATCCCAAATAGGACGAAACGCAGGTCCCGGACTCCACTGCTAGCCACTATCCATCTTTGCTTGAAAAGCTTGTGTCTTAAGGAATAATTAATTGGTATCAGAAGGGGGTTTTGTAGAGATTTTAGTAATTTCAATAGTTGAGATCGTGAGTCATTTAAAGCTAGACCACCATGGAAGACCTGGAAGCAATGAACGGCCGTTTCGTCCTATTGTGGGACTCTTCAGCAGCGCGCACCCACGATTCCGCCTTGCGGGGTTCGAACCCAGGACCTACTGGTCTCACGCGCAAGCTCTTAACCACTAAGCCACTGAGCCGGCATTCAACGGTGTTAATGTCTAACTTCAACTAATCCACGAAATTGAGTGACACATCCACCATTATCATCAGTGAGTTACTTACAACTGACCCGGTTGAATTCCACTAGCCACTGCTTCTCATTAGAACTCCAAGATACACATCTTGAAGCCAGTCGCTAGTGATTGATTCAAATAACAAGATTATAAAATTAAATTAAATTAATTTACTGCCATATAAATGATTGACTTATAAATCTTACTTTTAGATCATTTTCAGTTTTATTAAGATCACCTTGTAATGTATATAATTTAGTTAATCGTTCTTGACTAAGTTTTTTAATTTTATTCATTGTTAAAATATTTAATTCATCAGATCGAAGAAGACTTTTTTGTATTATATTCAATTGTAATTTAGTTTTATCTAATTGATGAATTGATTCAGATAAATGTTTTTCATATTGTTTATATAGAATATTAATTTCTGTAAGATATGTTGATTGAATTTCTAAACGACCAATTAAATGTAAAAGACGATTATTTGCTTCTTTTACTGTATATTCTATCCTATCTTCTAATTCTATATTATTTCTTTGAATTTTATCTTCATATTGTTTACAATTTAAGCCAGTGAAATGATTCAATTTGATATTATATGTTTTCTATTATTAGAAAAACAAATAACAGAGAAAACAATAATGAAAAGTTGGAGAGTTAAGAAAAGATGAAGTTTATATTGTAGAATCGATGAACAAATTACATTGTATCTCAATAGTTGAAATCATGAGACAATTGAAGCTAGACCACCATGGAAAACCTGGAAGCACTGGACGGCCGTTTCGTCCTAGTATGGGACTGTTCAGCAATGAGCATCCACGATCCCGCCCACTGCGAGATTCGAACCCAAAACCTATCAGTATCTTTTTCTTACTTATGGATTACATGAATAATAACTAGAAAACATAGACATTATATTAAAATAATATGACTTGAAGTTGAATTGTATGATGTAGATAAATGTATACTCTATCTTTTTTGCAAATTTTGCACTCTTTTATCATTTCATATGAATTATTTATTTTTAAATCCTACTTTTTATTATGAATTTAAATAATGGATTGATGTTAATTAGACAATCAGTGAAGAATTAGCAAGTATTGGATATTTGTTTCATTCGAGTATACGATTTGTCAGCAATACTCATCCATAACTTCATTTGATATTGAATCTAGAATCTTCGGGTTTCGTAGCTAGAGCTTAATCTCTTAATCACTGAGTTGATATCCAATAATTTAAATGATTAGTTTCAGTCAAATCTTATTAGGTTGTTTTTGACTAGAATTGGTATTATTAATTTCATATTTAAGCTTTTTATCTTGTTAATCACCTCATGTTGTTATTATACAAACTATATCAACCTGGACTGGTGTATATTTTAATCGAATCCTATTAATTTATTATTTCCCTTACTAAATTACCTAATTTGCTTATAATTAGAGAAATGATAAATGGGAAGAAATATTTGAAATATATTGAGTGCTTTAACCATTCAACCGCTTACCCATTCACAACTAAAGTAGAGTTTTTAAATAATTTTATTTATGAATTAACATTGTACTTACCTTACTATCAGCGTAACGATTAACAGATGCGATGAATTTTTGTTTTACACTTGGCAATGTACTAATAACGTTATTATGCGATGAATTTGATTCACTTAAAGCTGCTTTTATTCGTAAAATACATGAATCTATTTCATCTGGATGATTAATTGTATTTAGTTTATTTGACAGTTGATTTTCTCCAATTGTAGTAGTAGTATTTACGGATGGTGTGTTAACAAGTAAAACAGAATCTAGGTTTTCTAATAGATTACGAAGACTTTGTAATTTATAAGTAAGATGTTCTAATGAATCTAAACTATGAAGTAAAATTCGAACTCGACCCTCAGCTTCAGTTTGTAGCTTGAAATGAGAAGAAACAAGGAAAAAATATACATTAAACTTGGATAATATTTTATTACACTGATTACTCATAGAATAATAACTAATGTCATAGTTATTTAGACTATTGTGTTGGTTGAATTTTATAGATCAAATTGAAATCTGGTCCTTAATCCATGTGACTCAATATCACATGCGATATAAGTTTTGAGTAAGGTTGTTGGATTCAATAAGTAGAAAAGCTTAGTCTAGTTGGTACTTGCCATCAATGCGCATTTACAATATTGAAGAATATCTATGCGATATCTATGAGATTCAAACCCGCGTTTATGAATAATAGACGTCTAGAGTGTTACTGATAATGGACAAACATGGTTTTCCTATAACTGACCTTGTTCTCAGAATATCATTCGAAATTTACTGAAATAATAAACTCAACTTACATCTTCTAAACGTGTTCGCAGTTCTTGACATTTTACTTCTAATTGTTTCCAGATAGATTCTGGTTGGTTAGTATGACGTAAAGTTTCAATAGCTTGTTCAGCTTGAAATAATACAGATCGACTTGAAGATTGACGAGTACGAATTTTATTTAAAATTTCCTGTAATAATAAACATACGTATATACAGTTTATAATTAATAAATAATGGTTATTGTTATCGCAAAGACCACACATGCAAAACTGTCAGTTAGTTGATACAAAGATACAAAAACATTAAGAATTACGTGTTGTTATTTACTCAAGTGGTGCTTACTCTGATAGTTATGCTTTGTGGTAAATCACCCCGTCAATAAATAAGCGAGACTGTTGATATAAGGTAATAAATAACTAAGCATATAAACCCAACTAAAAATACAAAGACGGTTTTGCACCTTAGGAATCAGCTTATCTTATGAGTGAGATTAGTTTTGATTGCGAGCAATTACTTAACATTTTTGAGCATATCTTGTCATTTGATTTTAAAAATTTACAAAGCCAGTGGAATTAAATCCTACAATAATTAAACATAAGAGCAGATTAAAAATCAGTATTATTAATTACTTCTGATATTCCCCTTTATTTGTCATTTCCTAGTGGTTTTTTCAACTATTAGCCTCCAAATGCCCTGGTACGACCGAGGGTGAGGTGAGTCAGCTCTCTCTCTCTCTCTCGAAATGCTCTCGCATGGCCATGCCTATACAGCCATTGTTAGAGAAGTCCTACTCACTGCCTTCTCGTGGCATCACTGCTGTTTACGAAATTGGGGGGACGAAAAGCGAATGTCCGGTGCTTTAACAGGGTTGGTGAATATGGAGGATCCATCTAGGGGAGTTTGAAAACCCTGATTCCAAACCAATGGTGCACATGGGCTCCAGTATCCTGAAGGAACAAATAGTGTATGGACCAGTAATTTGTCACTGGTTACCATGGGACTGCATCTTTTAAAGTTGCTCCACTGCTTTGTGGATCAGACGTTTAGGTTGAAGGCTCCTTTTGTGGTCCTCTAAGAAAACCAGCTGGTTCTGTCCAGTCACCCGGACAGTATTACAGCCTATACATAAACCAAGTGATTTGTGTGGTGCATATGTATCCGATGTTTCTTTGTACCAATATTTATGTGTTCAAATAAATATAAATAAATCAGCCAGTAAAAAGAACTATTTTTTATAAGTAAGCTGTGAATAAAAAAACCGAATAACCTAATATTTTTTTGATTGGTGAGAACATATGAGCAACTGTACGCATAACAGAAAATGATAGTTATGTAAAAATTTGTACAAACTTACTTGGTGATCATCCAGGAGGTGGCGGTTTAAATTATCGTCTAAAGTCAAATTCCCCATTTGTAAAAGTTTTAATTCTAAACCAGTTATCCATGATGTTTCTTCGTCCAAAGCAGTGGAAAGCTGAGATATAAGCTTTCTTGTAGTTTCTGATTCTGCAGACTATAGATATTTAGTTTTGATTGAGAATTATTTATATGTTATAATCGAACCAATTTTATTATGTTCCGTATAACAAAACAATGAAGAAAATATTTTTGTTTTAACGATGACAAATTCAAAGCTGATAAATATTTAGTATGATAATATAATTTCGATGTTACTTATAATGATAGTAGTAGTAATTACGAAATAGGGTTTATATATTGTAACAGAAAATAACAATTATTTTTGATGAAATATAGGCTTCAGAAAGCCAAATAAAGACGGACGACTATCTAATAAGACAGAAAGTTGTATCCCGGATTCTTTCACGAATGGTTATGTAATCGATATGTGCATTAAAAAATACCACCCAATTAACACTAACAACTAATAACTCATGACAGAAAATTTTTTAAATCATTACCAATTGACTGTGAACAAGATTTTTGGTTTATTTGTTTCTGAAGAGAAAGAGACGTGATACAACGAATTCACAGTATTCTGAAAATACTGTCGTTCTTGTTTTGTTTATATTTGTGAAGTAGATAGGGTTTTGTCAGAAGATATTTAAGCCCTCAAACAAGCAATAATCTTTGCAATGCAAGTTCAGAAATATAATAGCAAAGTGAAAAACCAGTATTATTCACTTCTAGACTTTCTAACCAGTTATTATTTAGATGAAACGACCGGTACATTTTATTCACATCAGGATGATTATTTATTTGAAAGTCAACATCAATTTCTCAGTGATACTTGATTTGTATAGACCATTATTTTTCTAAAACTGTTGTCTGTAAAAGTGGTAATGAAGTCTACAAAAAGACATGTAATTCATGAGAAAGGGCAATAAGTAATATACGTGCTTCCGAATTCAAAAAATGAATTGAATTTTCAAATCATTATCAAAAGCGGTAGGTAAAGCTAATCGGACAATAACAGTCTCATCACTGAAATTAAAACGTAGATAGCAGGGAATTTATGCTGAGATTTTAATATTTTTTACTGAAAATCCCCGACTGAGTTATGTAATAATGAGTAAAACTATTATTATTATTATTATTATTATTATTATTATTATTATTATTATTATTATTATTATTATTATTATTATTATTATTATTGGTATCACCATTAATATCAGTGCTATTTCTTTCCAAAAACACTCAGTTGTGTTAACTACTACCCGAGATACTAATGGCAAAGTTGTGAGATCAGGTTCTTTTTGATATTATCAGTGTGCTTATACTATTCAGTCAATACAGAATAGTATAAATATTTTGTGCTTTGAATTCACCAACTTTAAGAATATTAGCAATCATTCTGTTCAGCACAAATGAAACAATCACTTTTCAATTTTGTTTAAATGTCTCTCGTTTTGGGTGTCAAAATGTGATGGGTTATATAAGTGTCTAGTTAAACACACACACTTCTGTAGTAAATATATTTTGTTTATGACGGATTTGATCATTTATACAGCAAAAATCAAATAATAATAATAAGCGTATAGATTAATAATTTCATAAATATTGCTCCTAAATGACACCATTTAATAACACTCCTATGATACATAACTAGTCGCTTCATGCAAAATCTGTTCTGATTTGAGGTATTGGTTTCAGCTAGTGAACTAGGATTCGTTTACCAACTTTCATTATCCGAGTCATGTTATCGCCTTCACAAAAGATACAAGGAACTGCAAATAGTTTTTCAGATTAGTAAAACAGTATAACCACCATCAGCAACAAACGATGTACAAACGCTATGAATAACATGAATTCGTCAGTCCCCACGAATGAACATACGATGAAGTACTAATACAAAAAATTAGTATTGGATAGAACTCCAAGAATAATTAGGACCAGAATCGCATAATAGCGTTAGATATTAAAATGCCTTTTAAATCGAAATCCAGAATGATAAATTTCAAAGAAGAGGAATATCAATCATAGAAACAAGTATCTTAGTGCCACCAGGAAGTGAGTAACTGATTTTAAGACTATATAAGTCAGTTCAAATCTATATGATACATCAGTATTGTTAGTTTCCATGTGAAAAGTCTAACTTACACCATCATATACGCCAGTCAGCAAATAACTAAAGGTGTACCATGTGAGGGATATGAAAAAATTAGAACATTTGTCACTTAATGAAGGTTAGATATTAATGAATACAAAGTGGTTGTAAGTCATTTATACTGAGGTAATCCAATAATGATTAATAAATTTTTAAGCTCTCTATAAACTATCAAATAAAACTTTAAACAAAAAACAATTCAATAATTCAGAAAAACGGGAATATTTCTTCACTTTAAACAAGCGTAAAATAAAACTTTACCAGTGATTTCTAAATCACTCATATTTAAAAAAGATATTTAGATATAAAGAAAAAACAGTGGTTGTTACAAACCACGGTTAACCAGAGATGCAATTTAAAAACGGTGCATTGGAAAACCGTTTTAATTTATATCCTACGACAGCAACAATGATATTGATTGCAGACGTGAATACAAAAGCATGATTAAGAGAATGAAAATGATTATGAAATTAATACATATAACGTAAATTAAAATGCAGTATGAAATAATCATAAATCTATTCAGTTGCGATGGAAATCCCATATCAAACACAAAACATTCTTATACATGCATAACTAAAACGTAATAAAAAGGTTAAAATGAGGCCTGAGAAAAGTAAAGATTTACAAATGTGAAACGATTCAACAAATCAGCATGTAAGACCCTGCTAAAGAAAAACGAAGGAAAAAGTTGGGAGCAAGAACAACAAGTAGAAAACTTTGCAAAATTAAAAAACGAAAATATAACGGAAACGAACAGAGAAGAAAATAAGGGAATATGCAGAAAGATAAACCAACACAAAATATCAGATTACAATGAGAAGGAAAACGCTTATTAAACGATAACGAAATACAGAAAATAACAAAGGACAAAGCAAACACATCGAAAATTAGAGTTACATAAAAAACTTACATAATAATAAATCTCATTAGTATCACGATCAGAAACCAAACAAGCAGAAGTGGAACCATATTTCCACGAGAGAGGATAATCAAACGAAGTTGTATCAGTATCACTTAATCTCAGATCTGTAACAAACATATCCGATGAGCGAGAAACTGATTCCAGTTGATCGCTCTTCAAGTCCGCCACACTTGCACCAACCTCATCCACACACAATGAATCACCCGTGCCACTGACAGATCTCAACTCAGACAACCTGCCCACACCAACATCTACAACTGGCTCCGAAGCACTCGTCAACTCACACACCACATCTCCTGGTCTCGAGGACGTCGACTCCATCGCCAGAGCAATCAAACCTACAGGCGCCAACAAACCTGTCAACATCATTCTACCAAGACTCTCGAGACGTCCGGAACTAGGATCGCGAACCAACGACCGCTCACCCGATATAAGACCACTGTTCACAGCCTGTGACAACGTCAACACCTCGCCACTAGACGGATCACGAACTAGTCCAGACTTTGTGTCAACAAGACCCGCTTCAATCGCCTCACGTAACTGAAGTCCACGCTGGTCAGGCACAACAGACACTTCTCCATACCTAACACCATCTGACGACAGCATGTCCGAATCCAAACCACTGTCCACACCTCGTCTCTCTGTCATGTCCGACAACAACTCGGATACACTCGTCGAACACACACCCATCACAACACCATCTCTGCTCAACGACAAAACATCCTCACTCGTCTGCATCGCTCGCCTCTTCACATCAACGTCATCCACATCCACACCAGATACACCGTACTCAGAAATCGTCTCTGATGACACAACACCCTCAGATCCATCACCGCCTCTGTGCACTGGTGTCGCGTCACGACCGACACTCATCTCACCACGTTCACCCACTCTCACATCGGTCATCATCAAGTCGGATGGACGAGTCACTGACTCCAGTTGATCGCTCTTCAAGTCCGCCACACTTGCACCAACCTCATCCACACACAATGAATCACCCGTGCCACTGACAGATCTCAACTCAGACAACCTGCCCACACCAACATCTACAACTGGCTCCGAAGCACTCGTCAACTCACACACCACACCTCCTGGTCTCGAGGACGTCGACTCCATCGCCAGAGCAATCAAACCTACAGGCGCCAACAAACCTGTCAACATCATTCTACCAAGACTCTCGAGACGTCCGGAACTAGGATCGCGAACCAACGACCGCTCACCCGATATAAGACCACTGTTCACAGCCTGTGACAACGTCAACACCTCGCCACTAGACGGATCACGAACTAGTCCAGACTTTGTGTCAACAAGACCCGCTTCAATCGCCTCACGTAACTGAAGTCCACGCTGGTCAGGCACAACAGACACTTCTCCATACCTAACACCATCTGACGACAGCATGTCCGAATCCAAACCACTGTCCACACCTCGTCTCTCTGTCATGTCCGACAACAACTCGGATACACTCGTCGAACACACACCCATCACAACACCATCTCTGCTCAACGACAAAACATCCTCACTCGTCTGCATCGCTCGCCTCTTCACATCAACGTCATCCACATCCACACCAGATACACCGTACTCAGAAATCGTCTCTGATGACACAACACCCTCAGATCCATCACCGCCTCTGTGCACTGGTGTCGCGTCACGACCGACACTCATCTCACCACGTTCACCCACTCTCACATCGGTCATCATCAAGTCGGATGGACGAGTCACTGACTCCAGTTGATCGCTCTTCAAGTCCGCCACACTTGCACCAACCTCATCCACACACAATGAATCACCCGTGCCACTGACAGATCTCAACTCAGACAACCTGCCCACACCAACATCTACAACTGGCTCCGAAGCACTCGTCAACTCACACACCACACCTCCTGGTCTCGAGGACGTCGACTCCATCGCCAGAGCAATCAAACCTACAGGCGCCAACAAACCTGTCAACATCATTCTACCAAGACTCTCGAGACGTCCGGAACTAGGATCGCGAACCAACGACCGCTCACCCGATATAAGACCACTGTTCACAGCCTGTGACAACGTCAACACCTCGCCACTAGACGGATCACGAACTAGTCCAGACTTTGTGTCAACAAGACCCGCTTCAATCGCCTCACGTAACTGAAGTCCACGCTGGTCAGGCACAACAGACACTTCTCCATACCTAACACCATCTGACGACAGCATGTCCGAATCCAAACCACTGTCCACACCTCGTCTCTCTGTCATGTCCGACAACAACTCGGATACACTCGTCGAACACACACCCATCACAACACCATCTCTGCTCAACGACAAAACATCCTCACTCGTCTGCATCGCTCGCCTCTTCACATCAACGTCATCCACATCCACACCAGATACACCGTACTCAGAAATCGTCTCTGATGACACAACACCCTCAGATCCATCACCGCCTCTGTGCACTGGTGTCGCGTCACGACCGACACTCATCTCACCACGTTCACCCACTCTCACATCGGTCATCATCAAGTCGGATGGACGAGTCACTGACTCCAGTTGATCGCTCTTCAAGTCCGCCACACTTGCACCAACCTCATCCACACACAATGAATCACCCGTGCCACTGACAGATCTCAACTCAGACAACCTGCCCACACCAACATCTACAACTGGCTCCGAAGCACTCGTCAACTCACACACCACACCTCCTGGTCTCGAGGACGTCGACTCCATCGCCAGAGCAATCAAACCTACAGGCGCCAACAAACCTGTCAACATCATTCTACCAAGACTCTCGAGACGTCCGGAACTAGGATCGCGAACCAACGACCGCTCACCCGATATAAGACCACTGTTCACAGCCTGTGACAACGTCAACACCTCGCCACTAGACGGATCACGAACTAGTCCAGACTTTGTGTCAACAAGACCCGCTTCAATCGCCTCACGTAACTGAAGTCCACGCTGGTCAGGCACAACAGACACTTCTCCATACCTAACACCATCTGACGACAGCATGTCCGAATCCAAACCACTGTCCACACCTCGTCTCTCTGTCATGTCCGACAACAACTCGGATACACTCGTCGAACACACACCCATCACAACACCATCTCTGCTCAACGACAAAACATCCTCACTCGTCTGCATCGCTCGCCTCTTCACATCAACGTCATCCACATCCACACCAGATACACCGTACTCAGAAATCGTCTCTGATGACACAACACCCTCAGATCCATCACCGCCTCTGTGCACTGGTGTCGCGTCACGACCGACACTCATCTCACCACGTTCACCCACTCTCACATCGGTCATCATCAAGTCGGATGGACGAGTCACTGACTCCAGTTGATCGCTCTTCAAGTCCGCCACACTTGCACCAACCTCATCCACACACAATGAATCACCCGTGCCACTGACAGATCTCAACTCAGACAACCTGCCCACACCAACATCTACAACTGGCTCCGAAGCACTCGTCAACTCACACACCACACCTCCTGGTCTCGAGGACGTCGACTCCATCGCCAGAGCAATCAAACCTACAGGCGCCAACAAACCTGTCAACATCATTCTACCAAGACTCTCGAGACGTCCGGAACTAGGATCGCGAACCAACGACCGCTCACCCGATATAAGACCACTGTTCACAGCCTGTGACAACGTCAACACCTCGCCACTAGACGGATCACGAACTAGTCCAGACTTTGTGTCAACAAGACCCGCTTCAATCGCCTCACGTAACTGAAGTCCACGCTGGTCAGGCACAACAGACACTTCTCCATACCTAACACCATCTGACGACAGCATGTCCGAATCCAAACCACTGTCCACACCTCGTCTCTCTGTCATGTCCGACAACAACTCGGATACACTCGTCGAACACACACCCATCACAACACCATCTCTGCTCAACGACAAAACATCCTCACTCGTCTGCATCGCTCGCCTCTTCACATCAACGTCATCCACATCCACACCAGATACACCGTACTCAGAAATCGTCTCTGATGACACAACACCCTCAGATCCATCACCGCCTCTGTGCACTGGTGTCGCGTCACGACCGACACTCATCTCACCACGTTCACCCACTCTCACATCGGTCATCATCAAGTCGGATGGACGAGTCACTGACTCCAGTTGATCGCTCTTCAAGTCCGCCACACTTGCACCAACCTCATCCACACACAATGAATCACCCGTGCCACTGACAGATCTCAACTCAGACAACCTGCCCACACCAACATCTACAACTGGCTCCGAAGCACTCGTCAACTCACACACCACACCTCCTGGTCTCGAGGACGTCGACTCCATCGCCAGAGCAATCAAACCTACAGGCGCCAACAAACCTGTCAACATCATTCTACCAAGACTCTCGAGACGTCCGGAACTAGGATCGCGAACCAACGACCGCTCACCCGATATAAGACCACTGTTCACAGCCTGTGACAACGTCAACACCTCGCCACTAGACGGATCACGAACTAGTCCAGACTTTGTGTCAACAAGACCCGCTTCAATCGCCTCACGTAACTGAAGTCCACGCTGGTCAGGCACAACAGACACTTCTCCATACCTAACACCATCTGACGACAGCATGTCCGAATCCAAACCACTGTCCACACCTCGTCTCTCTGTCATGTCCGACAACAACTCGGATACACTCGTCGAACACACACCCATCACAACACCATCTCTGCTCAACGACAAAACATCCTCACTCGTCTGCATCGCTCGCCTCTTCACATCAACGTCATCCACATCCACACCAGATACACCGTACTCAGAAATCGTCTCTGATGACACAACACCCTCAGATCCATCACCGCCTCTGTGCACTGGTGTCGCGTCACGACCGACACTCATCTCACCACGTTCACCCACTCTCACATCGGTCATCATCAAGTCGGATGGACGAGTCACTGACTCCAGTTGATCGCTCTTCAAGTCCGCCACACTTGCACCAACCTCATCCACACACAATGAATCACCCGTGCCACTGACAGATCTCAACTCAGACAACCTGCCCACACCAACATCTACAACTGGCTCCGAAGCACTCGTCAACTCACACACCACACCTCCTGGTCTCGAGGACGTCGACTCCATCGCCAGAGCAATCAAACCTACAGGCGCCAACAAACCTGTCAACATCATTCTACCAAGACTCTCGAGACGTCCGGAACTAGGATCGCGAACCAACGACCGCTCACCCGATATAAGACCACTGTTCACAGCCTGTGACAACGTCAACACCTCGCCACTAGACGGATCACGAACTAGTCCAGACTTTGTGTCAACAAGACCCGCTTCAATCGCCTCACGTAACTGAAGTCCACGCTGGTCAGGCACAACAGACACTTCTCCATACCTAACACCATCTGACGACAGCATGTCCGAATCCAAACCACTGTCCACACCTCGTCTCTCTGTCATGTCCGACAACAACTCGGATACACTCGTCGAACACACACCCATCACAACACCATCTCTGCTCAACGACAAAACATCCTCACTCGTCTGCATCGCTCGCCTCTTCACATCAACGTCATCCACATCCACACCAGATACACCGTACTCAGAAATCGTCTCTGATGACAC